TACGCCAGCAAGTTCCTCGAGATGGTCCTCATGCTGACTGCCGATCACGGTCCCGCCGTCTCCGGTGCCATGAACACCATCATCACCACCCGTGCTGGCAAGGATCTTATCAGCGCTCTCGTTTCCGGTCTGCTGACCATTGGTTCTCGTTTCGGTGGTGCCCTGGATGGCGCCGCTGAGGAGTTCACCAAGGCCTTCGACAAGGGTCTAAGCCCCCGTGACTTCGTCGACAGCATGCGCAAGGAGAACAAGCTCATCCCCGGTATTGGCCACAAGGTCAAGTCCCGCAACAACCCCGATCTCCGTGTCGAGCTTGTTAAAGAGTTCGTCAAGAAGCACTTCCCCAGCACCAAGCTGCTCGACTACGCTATCGCTGTTGAGACCGTCACCACCTCCAAGAAGGACAACCTGATCCTCAACGTCGACGGCTGTGTCGCTGTCTGCTTCGTTGACCTCCTCCGCAACTGCGGTGCCTTCTCCCCCGAGGAGTGCGAGGACTACATGCGCATGGGTGTCCTCAACGGTCTGTTCGTTCTCGGCCGTTCCATTGGTCTCATTGCCCACTACCTCGACCAGAAGCGTCTGCGCACTGGTCTCTACCGTCACCCCTGGGATGACATCACCTACCTCCTCCCCACCCTGCAGAAGGGCGGTGCCGAGGGCCGTGTTGAGGTCAACCTGTGATTTTGTTTATGACGTTTTGCAGCGCCGTCCGCTGGCATATAGTCCGTCCGTTCAGGACGGTGGAGTTCGGATGGTTCATCCCTTGGTTTTTCTTTTTTTATGTTTTCTGAGCAGTTATGTGTATCGATGTACCTGCGTTCATGTGGCATGACCAAGTTGACGGGTTGACACTCAAGAAGGGTGCAACCCGGCTACAGATCTGATTTAATTCGTTTTGCAGTAGATGATTAGACCTTTTGGGAAATAATGAACGTGCCCTTTCCGCATGATACTTTTCCAGTCTACTCTGTAGCATTCTATCATAGTTTAGGTATTCAAAGCTAAGTCATGTTGTAGTGTTGTAGTGTTCCTAACGTTCTTTTTCTCGATGGGCCGTGCACTCGATTAGGAAATATCCTTATCGCTTATCAGCCGCAATCTTTTCTAGCCTCAATCTCAGCTTCAAGGTTCACCCACCTTACATTCCGTACCCAGGAAGCCACATCTACACCCAGCTCTCGTACAATCCGAACCAGCCATACAGTACACTATCCGTATTGCTTCTAAGGCCCGCCTTCTCTCACCCACACCAATCACCAACCAAATACAATCACACCACCGCCATGGTCCGCCTCAAAAGCCGCTACCTCCTCGTGGACATCCTCTATCCAGACCCTAAAACCTGGCCCGCAACCTCAACAACCAAACCACACAACCCCCAACTAGCAATCCACTCTCCCACCTCCGACGCGCTGACCCAAGGCTTCCTAGCCAAGATGATCCGCGAGTCCGTCGCAGAGCTATACGGCGACTGGGGAATCGGCAAGCTAGGCGGTGCTAACGCAGGCGGAATAACCAGTAAGTCTCGTTTCTATTTTCCATGCCCATCTCTACCCCTCCCCCATCTGCCCATGCATCCATCCTCACAAAACCACCCACTAAACAACACTACAGTAAAATACCTCTCACCAGCAACATCCACCGCGATAGTACGCTGTCCACGTGCCGCCTTCCGCATTGTCTGGTCAGCACTTACATATATGTCCGGCGTGCCGGAGCCATCGAATGGTCCCAAACGCGCGGGGACGGGACGCGAGCGTGGATGTGTATTCCGCGTGATTCGGGTTTCGGGGACGATGCGGAAGGCGGAGGAGGAGGCTATTCGGAGGGCGAGGAGGGAGATTGTTAGGGTTAAGGATGCGGAGGAGAAGGGGGTCCTTGGGGGGTTGGTTGGGGCGGGGTCTGTTGTTGATTGTGTCATGGATGTAAGTGAGGATGAGGGGATGGGTAGTGGGGATGATTGAGATTGGATTGGATGAGGTAGTGTTCCAAGGTTGTATTGTACATTGTTTTACTTTAATGAGATACCCTAGTTTTTGGTGCGTTAGGTTATGCTTGCATGGTTATTTCGGCTATCGTACATTTATCGTATTATATTTGACGTTTGACGTTTAGAATGGCTGGAAGGAGGTCGATAGAACAGGATGATTACTTGCGGCGCACCCGCACACCACTGTCTGGCAGATCCTTCTTCCACTTCTCCAGTTCCTCGTCGAAGTCATGTCCATCATCCATGTCGTAGTCATTCTCCTCCTCCCCTCCATCCGCCGCACCGGTTTTCTCGACCTGGCTCGCCGCATTGCGCACACGAACTTCCTCTTCTAAATCCTTCTCTTCCTGCTCATCGTATGCATCCTTAGCATCGATCCAACGTTCCTGAACATCCCGCACGTCTGTGACACCCATGCCTTCCCGAACAGCCACTTGCCAGACAGTATCATTGGCGCCCTCAGCAGGACCAAAGGCATATCCAGAGGCACGGTCGATGGCGCGCAGGAGACTCATCATACTTTTTTTGTCCTCGACGGCCAGCGTCTCGAAGGCAACGAGTCCGAATTCCTCGACCAGGTCGATGATGGTCTGGTTTAGCTTGCCGAATTTCTCGTGGGAGAATCGCGAAGACTCGGTTTCCAGCTCTGGGAGCAGATAGGAGAGGTCTTGTACTTCGGTATAGTAATCTAGATTGAAAGGGAGCGGGGCGTAGTTGGCGAGGTTGTCGATTTTGGTGAGAACGTTTAGGTGTGGGAGGTCGAGTTGGAGCATGGCGCGGAGAGAGAGGAGGAGGGCGGAGATATACATTGAGGGGAGGGTGAGCGTATAAGAGTCAACGAGATGAACGACGACCAACTGTTTTATAAAGAGCTTGGTTAGCTGTGTCTCCTTTGTGTTGTGCTGGAGGTTCTGTTGCCACTAACCCGGATGCCCATCTTCTGGATCTTGTAGATGATATTGCGCAGTGAGGCGTGGTGTGTAAATATCTCGACTTGGCCGGGACAGTCGAAAAGGATATAATCATCTAACAATTCATCCAAACCCAGTTAGAAATACATAGGGCCGGCCAGGACATATCAGACATACCGCCAAGTTCCTTCAGTCCGTTTTCCAGCCAGTCGAAGTTGTGTTCAAGCTCTTCCAGAGCATATAAGACTCCGCCATTCGGGCCTAACTTGTCCTCCTCCATAATAGTCTCCAGAGTAACTAGGTCACGAACGTCCAGCGCGCATGGATACGATGTCTTGTCGTTGGCGGGGTCAAGGTTGACGACAGAGCATTTCCGGCCGATTGCGCCTAGGAATTGATGCATGCCATTGCAGTAGGTGGACTTGCCAGCGCCCGGTGGGCCAATCACCAGCTGTGCAAAGGGCATCTTGTCAATATTACGAAGATGTGAGGAGCTGTCTTTGTGCTGAGAACAAATGATGTCAAGCAGTTTGGTCTTTTTTCCTTATCGATGTATCGCGGGGAATCAGAGAGCGGTGACGATGGCAGAAAAGGACACGGCCAAAGGCCCCGGAGAGCTTGGGGTTTAATCTTCTACAAACCTGCAGCTTGCCCAAGATGACTTCTCGTGAGTATTTCTCAGTATTAATTGATCTTGTATTTGAACCATGTCTAACATTTTACCATAGAACAATTTATCGTGGCATCCCCACCTACAGATGCTATCTCAGCCTTGAAGTTCTCCCCAGACCCTAACTCCGCGCGGATCGTCGTTTCATCATGGGATAAGAACGTGTACCTGTATGACTTGCGGGATGAGAATGGACAAGTTGGAGAGGGGAAGCTCTTGCAAAAGTTTGAGCACCGCGCTCCTGTACTAGACGTCTGCTTCGGCGAGAACGAGAACGAGATCTACACAGCTGGACTGGATTGGGATGTGAGGAAGTGAGTTATTCCCATTGGGTTCTTGCTACTATCATAGCGATAATTGAGGTTCATGAGTTATACTAACTAATTAGAATCAACCTCGATACCTCCGAACAGACCGTGCTCAGCAGCCACGAAGCCGGCGTGCGCCATGTCCTGTACAGTCGCGAGCACAACATCGTTATCTCTGCCTCGTGGGACTCAACACTGCACATCCACCGATCAGACGCCGGCTCAAACCCCGACTCCCTGCCCATTACCGTCCCCCTCCCGTCGAAGCCATTCTCGATCTCCGCAACCGCCACGAAGCTGGTCGTCGCGATGGCATCGCGCGCATTGCACATCTACGACCTCAAGGCGCTGGCCCTCCTCACCGCACAAGCAGACACCCCAGTGTCAGGTGATAACCGAGTCGAAGTTGAGCCCTGGCAACGCCGTGAGAGCAGCTTGAAGTTTATGACCCGCGCCGTTGCGTGCATGCCCGATGACGCTGGATACGCCTCGTCTAGCATTGAGGGTCGTGTCGCGGTCGAGTGGTTCGACCCATCGCCTGAATCTCAGGCCCGCAAATATGCCTTCAAGTGTCACCGCCAGACTGGCGAGGATGGCGTGGACGTCGTCTACCCCGTCAACGCATTGGCTTTCCACCCTATTTTCGGCACTTTTGCGTCCGGCGGCGGTGATGGTGTTGTGGCGCTCTGGGATGGGATCTCTAAGCGCCGTATCCGCCAATATCAGAAATACCAACACAGTGTCTCAGCTGTCGCGTTCAGTGCGAGCGGTCAGCATCTAGCTATTGCAGTCAGCCCTGGATTTGAAGACGGCCATGACGAGGTCCCTGAAGGCACAGTGAAGATTTATGTACGGGAGTTGGGCGCGACGGAGGCCAAGGGCAAGGGCGCAAAATAGGTATTTTTTTGGATTCCACACTGAAATGAAGCGTCTGTCCAATGTTGATACCACACACGAAACCTAATAAATAGAAAATCTAAAACACAATCGCAAGTATTCACTAGATCAATTCCAATTCTAGCATCTTTTCCAAGGTTTATCAAAAAACAAAATCTTGGTATCATCTATGTTGTTTACGTAGTCTCATGTTCGTCCCCCCAGATCCAACCGCCAGAAATCTATTCAGCCTTGCGAACAGTGACCGACCCATCAGCCATACCGAAGTAGGTCGCGACCGGGCGCTGACCCCCAATACCACCGGCAATAGTAGCCTGGGGGCCGGTCTGGCCATGGAAAATACCGACCTCAAGGACACCAACAATCTCCTTGATCTTGCGAGCCAATACATCAACCGCCCACACACCATCCTTGCCGTTGCCATCCTGGCCAGCCTCGATATCGGCCTTGATCAGCATGGACTTGAAGGGGGCATCGATAATGAAGAAGCCCTGGTCGGTCTTGAGGGGACCTTCCTTGGCGCTGGCGGACGCGCGAATGGTGGGGTCGATACTACCGAGTTCCTTCAACTTAGAGATAACACGGTGGGCGGCGATGGGGGCGACCTCAATTGGGATTGCTTTCCAGTTTGTGAGGAGACGGGGTTGGAGTTTGCGGTGGTCTGGGATTGCAAGGGTTAGTTAGTTGGGGGCAACGTTGTCAAAGCAAGGGAAGAAAAAGAACGAGGGAAAAAAAGAGTTGGATGGTCTACTTCCGAGTCATCACCCAACTCAAATCCCATAACTACAATTCAAAATGAAATAACATCATATCAGATCAGGTCGCAACTCACCTGCGACACAGATGAACTCCTTCGCCTGCATAGCGACGATCTTCTCCTGGAACAAGCATGCACCACCGCCCTTGATGCAGTTCAGATCCTCGTCGACCTCGTCCGCACCATCGAACGCCACATCAAGGACAGTGCCCAGCGGCATGGTGTCGAACTCAACAGCAGTCAATCCGGCACTGATAATCAACTGCTTGGACTGGTAACCGGTCGGGACATACTTTGTGGCGGAGGTGTCGACTCCGAGGGCCTTGATGGCCTCCACGACGTACACGATCGTTGTGCCACTGCCGATACCGACCCAGCGGGCATCCTTGGGGTAGTGGTTTCCGACAGCGACCTTTGCGGCGGCGCGCTTCGATTCTTCGACGGCGGACATGGTGGATTGGGGTCTTTGGGGACTTTGGATGGTGCGAACTCGAAAAAGTGTGGGGAGGGTGGGGGTTAATCTACGGCAGAGGAAAAGAGGGGGGAGGACTGGTTGGATCATGGAGTCCTCCTTATACAGACGCTCTTTAGTATGGAATTGGTTGTTTTTGAGGGGAAAGGAAATTAGAGAGGAATTTAAATTATAAAATTTAATCTATAACTTTACTTTAGTCTTCTACAACGTCACGTTACAGATTGTGGGGTTTGACACTGGCATTTTCTTCTTCTATATAGTCCAGACACAGGTGTCCTACACATTGATTCAAGGTTGTAGACAGTAAATACAGTATGTCCAAGGGTTATCAGTCTGATGTTGTATGAAGAGAGGAAATAGAGCCCTGGGAGTCATAAAATCAAATATCTATAGTATACTCCATGCAATCACCAATGAGAATGCGATTGCAACATATTGATATTTTTAAAGTAAACTCCCTCGAATACCATAATGGATAAAACAAAGAGAAATTCCACATTTGAAAAAAAAACCCTTCAGCGGTATGGAACCTGGCTATACCTGTTACTCTCTAGCAACCATCTCATTTCACCATCTGGAAACAACACCCAACCACATAGGAAACAGACCAATTGTCATTCTTAGATGTCGAGGATTTCCTTGAAATCAGATTGAACCTTGCAAATTTTCTTAGCAACGGGCAAAATCTTGTCTATATAATCAATGAGCTTAAGCGTTTTCTCATATGGAAAAGACCATACTTAGAACAGTATCGATGCCACAGCTCTTCCAGACGCAGCTTGAGCCGCCCCTTTGAATCACATCTTGATCCATGCAGATACAGTTTTACTGGTTCTTTTGGCAGCTAGTGAGCTCCATTCCTTTCTCTAAACAAGGAAGCATGCAGGCAGGCAGGAGATCCTCCCCTAGGGCATATGTGAGTGTAGAAAAGGTGAGGAGAAGGATGGTCAACTTCATTTTGGGGTCAACTTCATTTTGGATAAGCTGATCTGATAAATGGCTCAACTTATTCAGAGATGAGCGCACTTTATACTGAACTTGGGCAATAAATGGTATAAATATCCCATGGACTAGGTACTATTAGCGTTGGCCTAGGCTCTCTTTCAGCTTTGTCTTTGAGATATATATACAAATTACTCCGTATATGTGCATAGATTTATAATTTAACTTGCCTTCCTATTGTTCTTTCGAAACCGAACCATGTCGATCCTATGTCGATCTCGTTTCGAATACTCCGTCTTTGTGCATATTGAAGATGTCCTGCATATTCGATCTCTCAGTCCCCATATCATTCCTACGGGCTGAAACACGTCAATTTCAATTTTTGTATAACTGCCAGTCTTCTCAGGTTATAAATTGCTCTGAAACAACGGAATAGTCATCTGCGCGGAGTATACGGAGTACCTCATACTATGAGCCGGAACAGTCTCTTTACTAGGATTGCCAAAGGAAGGACTCGCTGTTGTTGCCACTAGAATTCGAAAAAGAACTGAGCTATTTGCAATCAGAGAGAAAAATCTTAATACCCAGTAAATTGCATATAGAATATCAAAACCGTACAAAATATCCATCATCGTTCATTTGTGTTAGCCTTGATTATCAGGCCATGCATGCGCTTACTAAAAACAGTCACGCATCAACAAGTCGACATCAACGACTCCATCGTTTAGGGAAGTTGCAGATTAAGGAGCAAACGGTGTAAACAGCACGACAAGAATCACGTACAGATAAATAGGCAATGATTTGAGCCTCAAAACAAAGCTCTTTCACCCCACTGCACTACTTTATATCTATCCACCATGACGGATGCCTTCCCCGCCGCCCTGACAGGGCCAACCTCCAAGGAGCGCAAATATGATCGCCAACTCCGCCTATGGGCAGCAACTGGCCAGCAAGCACTTGAGGACTCTCACGTTCTGCTGGTGAACTCTGATGGCCCGCTCGGCCAATACAACACCGGTGTTACCGGCGTTGCTGGTGTGGAAACACTCAAGAATCTTGTACTGCCTGGGATTGGTGGTTTCACTATTGTCGACCCCGCAATAGTCACTGAGTCTGATCTAGGAGTGAACTTTTTCCTGGAAGAAGAATCCTTGGGCAAGTCCCGTGCTGAGGAAACCTGCCGACTACTGAAAGAACTGAATCCAGATGTGCAGGGACATTATTATCTTAAGGTATGATTTTCCATGTCTCCAAAAGTAGATAATCATTTACTGAATTCTGAAATAGCGCGTTGAGGAACTTCTTATAGACCCTGAGTTCTTGCCCCAATACAAGCTGGTGATTATTTCTGGACCAATGAGACGCTCAACACTGGTACCTCTGACCCAGGAAGCGAAGCAACTGGGTATCCCCGTGTTGTACCTGCACTCGGTTGGATTCTTCTCTACCTTCTCCGTGCAGTTGCCAGCTCAATTTCCCATAGTTGAGACACATCCAGACCCAGAATCAACTCAGGACCTGCGTCTGCTAAATCCCTGGCCTGAGCTTGTTGCCGCCGCAGCCAACCTGGACAACCTGGATACCCTGGATGACCATCAACACGGCCATGTTCCCTACATACTCCTCCTGCTTCACTTCCTGGAGCAATGGAAACAGTCTCACGAAGGAAACGCACCAACTAACTACAAGGAGAAAACCGAGTTCAGAGAGTTTGTGCGATCCCAGACGCGCACTTCCAACCCCGAGGGCGGCGAAGAGAACTTCGATGAGGCAGTCGCTGCTGTACTAAAGACAATTTCACCATTCAGCCTCCGCAGCTCGATTCGTGAGATCTTCGAAATGGACCAGTGTCAACAACTCTCATCATCATCCGAAGATTTCTGGGTCATTGCCTCAGCTATCAAAACCTTCCATGCGTCTCATGGTGTCCTTCCTCTCCCGGGCTCCCTACCAGACATGAAAGCCCAGTCTGCGGATTACGTGTCACTACAAAACATATACAAAGCCAAAGCGCGACAAGACGTAGAAGAAGTCACAGCAACAGTACGCCATCTCGAATCCCAGCTCCGACGCAAAACGCAGGCAATCCCAGACCGAGACATCGAAGTATTCTGCAAGAATGCCGCACATATCAAAGTCGTGCTCGGTCGCGACATCCCCCAGATCAGTATCGACAGCGACGCGTCGACACTTAAAACTATCCGCAACGAGCTAAATGTCCCGGAAACGCTGATCCCGATATTCATTGCGACACAAATCCTAGATTCGGTCGTGGATGAGATCCAATCAAGTAGTCGCGAAGAGGAACGATCTGTTGATGACGACGGGCTGTGGAATAGCCACACCGAACGGATCCTTGCTCTGTTGACTGGGGCGGATGGATCGGCTGTTTGTCAGGAGGCACGCACGCAGATCGCCTGTGCGGTTAAGGAACTGCGCAGGGCGGAGGGCGGAGAGTTGCATAATATCTCTTCGTTGACGGGGGGTTTGGTTGCGCAGGAGGCCCTAAAGGTCATTACTAGGCAGTATGGTCCGCTTGATAATACTTGTGTCTTTGATGGGGCTAGAAGCAAGAGTGAGATGTATAGGCTGTGAGTGGAGGATGGGATTGCTATGGACGTGCTGGATGATTGCATTGCATTATGCAAGACTCTAGGCATTCGTCCAATTCTTGAAAATTTACTCAAAGCCATGTTATGATTTATGATCTAGTGATATTGTGGTTTGCGGCTCTCAATGAGTAGTATCCAACTGTGTAAGTGCCTTGGTACTTAAGTGGCTCAGAAGATATGTACAGACTGGCGAGCCTTGGGTCAGGCTTTCAGTGAGAATGCTGAGACATTTTGTTGTCATAGTATGGGATACGTAGATCTTCGCTTCAATGCATGTAGCCAGACCGATCCCAAAACAAGACATGTGTCTGTTGAAGTGTGGTGAACAGTGTAGGATATCCTCGCAAGAATAACCACAATTGCTCTAACATCCGCGGAGAGTATTTTCAGCTCTCATTGTGATCCACCACAGAGATGATATGGTATGGATATAGGTCAGGTCCATAGTCTGTACATGGTCCTGTCGTCACCTTTGCATAAACTTTCCAGCGACGGCGCTGTAATCAATCGAGGCATGAGTTGATAACCCGAGTCTCTCAGCGTTTCCTCGTCTTCTGGTTGCGACCCCGCTTAGGACCCTGAGGTCCACCCTTATTCTCATAAAGCTTCTCCTTTCCGAATGCCGAATCTGCAATTCGCAAGTAACTTATCACACCCTGATCAACGACAGCCATGACGACATTGCGGTATCCGTGCCGCAGTCTCATGTACATCATGCGGTCCATTTTCTCCCCACGAGGGGGATCAAGTGGTGTGCTTTCAAGTAAAGCACCGAGTTGTGTCATAGTGGGCATGGTGGTTTGGTCGCGTGTGCTGACGACTGCGACGCGGAAGTCTGGAGGTGGAGGTGCGGACTTTTTGAAGGGAGTTGAGGGCTTGTAGACATGGAATACGACGCGGAAGGGTGCGGTGGTGTCGGAGGGGTGTCTTTCGGACGCAGTGGCTGGATCATACCAGGGGATGATGGCAAGCTTGCGGTATACATCCACTAAGAAGTACTGTCAGTAAGGAGAGAGCTAAGATGATTATCACGGAGAGGAAGGTGCGACTCACTGTAATGACGATGAATACCAGTGCCGATGATAGGCCCAGTTGCCGTAGAGGCCGTCGAGTGAGGATCATGGATCCATTTGAAAAGCGACGAAAGCATACCAGCCAGGCCGGGGCCATGAAGTTTAGGTGATGTTATTTCACTGGCATCTGAGGCATCCGCTTCTAAATGCTCGATGTCATCGCACCATCCGGGAGCTCGAATGAGCGCATAACCCAGACGTTTAAGACCGGTATAAACGGAGTACCGCTCAAGCGTGAGACCACCACGGCCCATGAAGCATGCATACGCAGCCTGCAAGCTCATAGGGATAGAGAGATCTTCTTCCCCTGGGCCCGCGGTGGAACCGGCAGGGCTAGGCCATCTGATATCCAGACTTCCTCGCTCAATAAGATATAAGGCTTCCTCAGGTAACAGCCAAACACGGCTTGACGAGTCTGCCTGGCCCATTGACTTGAATAACTGGCCCTTTGGATTCGGCACGTAGACACACGCATCGGGGGATATCCTGGCGGAATTGGGCAGAGGCCTCGCGGGTTTGGGGGTAGACTCCGAGCTCTTTTCATCTTCGCCAGCTTTCGGTGTCGGGCGAGCGATCTGAGCTGGAGGAACGAATCCGTCCGGTGCGTAGAAGGCTATTACACGAGTTTTGGGACCGTGAAGACGGGGGTATGAGAGCGCATTGTGCATGGCCCCTCGCGAAGCGGAGAGGACATCGGCTTGAAGCTCTGTCGGATTAGGCTCAAAGTCCTTCTCGCCGCGGCGCGGGATACTGGGGGATGAATCGGAAAAGCTGTAGAGATATGAGAGGTAAGCAATATTAATTGAGGACGCGGGAGATTGGGATTGCCATGTCAAAGGAACATGCGGTGCTCATACAAATTTAAGTGGTTCAAGAAGCGGAAGTCCTGCGTCTCATCGGACAGGTCAACCTCGGGCTGTGCAGCGGCGTTTGCAGGGACCTGGATGGCCTCCTCGTCTACGTCTGCCATGTTGAATTGTTTGTAGAGAATAATACTAGATCAGAGGTTGGGAATTTCGGAGTCAGAGGATTAGAAAAGATGCGCTTATCGATAAGTGCGGGTTTTTTCCGTCCGGCAGAATAATATCTATGCCCCGGGTCCGGGGAATGTTTCTATCATCGTCAACACTTGACAATTGCTAACCCTTCAAATTCTATCAAATACATAGCATCCATGGATGATTGCTCACAGCCCTTGGCTTCTCAAATATAAATGTCGAGTCTATATATTGTAGCTGTTCTATAACTATTGCTTCTCCAACATCACAACTTGACTGCCATAGTCACCTTTGAAGGGGAATTGCAGACCAATATTCATCAAAGTTCCACCAGTATAAACCACACCTCCATCAATCTTATAGGAAGCCTGTGCATCCAATCCCTGCAACCTAACACGCGGCCATGAGTGATCAATATTCGGAGAGAGCTGGAAGACAAACAACACAGCCTTCTGGCCATCCTCAGCGATGAACAACACAGCAGGCCAATTCGAGTCCTCTGGAAGGTTCAATCGCCACATATCACCAGTAAGGACAATGGGGTTCACCTTCTCAGCGAGAGCAATAAGCCCTGGCAGGGCTGCTTTGTCATCTTCGGGCATATCAGCCGGGTTGAGTTCCAAGCCAAACGAGCCGCCCATCATCGCGACATGTCCACGGAAAGCCACGGGGACTGTGCGGCCAGTCTGCTGATTCGGCACTTCCGACAGGTGAGCTCCCATCGCGCTGGGCGGGTAGACTAGCGAAGTACCAAGCTGGATGGAGATGCGATCGACAGCGTCTGTGTTGTCCGAAGTCCAGATCTGCGGGAAGTACTGCAGAACACCCGGGTCGAAACGGCCTCCGCCTGAGGCGCAACCCTCCCAAAGCACATCGGGGAATTGGGTTGTCAGTTCATTAAAAACGCGGTACAAACCGAGCATATAGGCGTGGTTTGTAGATGGGGAAGGCATCTCGTGAATGCCCCTGTTATTATCCCACTTGACATAACTAATATCTGCACTCTTGAGAATGTCTGAGACGGACTTGATGATGAAGTCTTGGACTTCAGGAAGAGCGAGATTCAGCACAAGCTGGTTGCGTCTTTCAGTGCGAGGGTAAAGTCCTGCGTGCAAGGCCCAGTCCGGGTGCTCGTCATACAGAGTCGATTTCGGGCTGACCATTTCCGGCTCGAACCAGATACCGAAGCGCAGTTTCTTTGACGAGTTAGCAACTTTCAGGTCCGTGATATTCTTCACTATCGGCTCTAGACCGTTGGGGAACCGCTGAGGATTTGCGACCCAGTCGCCCAGTCCGGTCGTATCGGAGAGACGGGGATATTCCTTGCCGAACCAGCCGTCATCCAGAACGAAGAGCGAGGCACCTACGTCGGCGGCTTCCTTTGCCAGCTCGTAAATGCTGCTCTGGTTGTAATCGAAAACCAGTCCTTCCCAGCTGTTCAGCAAAGTGGGACGATCACTAGTGGCAAACTTGCTCTTGATGAGATGATTGCGGTACAAGCGATGCAAGGAGCGTGACATTCCACCGAGGCCATCCTTAGAGTATACTGAAACACACTCCGGTGATGTAAGACTCTCCCCCGGCGGCAGAGTCCATGAGAGCTGGCCAGGGTTGAAACCCAGAAGGGCACGTGTGAAACCCTGTGAGCCCTTCTCGACGTTCACGGAGAATGAACCCGTGTACACAAGCGAAAATCCCCATACCTCTCCTTGAGACTCGGTGGCAGAGGGATCCACCAATGCCAGGAAAGGATTATGCTGGTGAGAGGAGTAGCCAGTGGTACTTCCAAAGCCTTGGGTGCCGTACGTGACTCTTTTCCGTTCGCGATGCGCTTCCCTTGCCCAATCTCCACGAAGGCTGATCATGTCCAACTCTTCGAACGGCAAATCCACGCTTAGACTGGCCAGAGATTCAATTGTGATATTTTCCTTTCCATGATTCGTAACATTTACGCTGCGCACAATGGCATCATGCTTGGGGAAAATCGAGTATGAGAGGTCCGCAGCCACATCGCTGTACTTGTCATATAAGCTGATGACCAAGGTGCTAACATCTTTTTCTGTGCCAAAAGTGCTTGGCAACCCTGGCAGAGCAGGCTTGCCAGGGATGATCTTGTGCGACTTGTAATGGAATTCAGACACGGTATAGCCTGCTGATTGACGAATGCGAATTGCAGGGATCCGGAAATCGCCTCGGCCTTGGTCTGGGAACTCGCGGCGTACACGTCCTATGTGACTGTCCCAGCCATTGACTTCGCCTACAGCTTCTAGAGGGATCTCAGCTCCAACGGAGCCGCCGAAGTGATCTCCTAAGAGATCACCAGTGGCGTTGTCCACATGGATGCGGTACGAAACATTTTCTCCATTGAGAGCAAAGAAAGTACCATCTGCCACGATTGCTATAGGGTATGTGGTCAGTTTTGAATAATAAAAAATAAACGAACTAGAGGACTCACGCTTTGCGCTTGATTCCTTAGCCATAACAGCGGAGGAATATGCAAGGAGAGTAAGGCCTGTGGCCACAACACCCCTTGATAAGTGAACCATTTTAGCTGTGCTTCTCTGTACAGAATTCAAATGCAAGATCTGGAAAACACATACCTTTTTATATCTGTTACTTCGAGTGCCGAGCGTGGGGAGGTTACATCAAAGGGGTATCTAGCTATGCAGATCTCCGGAAGTCAAGTAGAACAGGCCTAAATTCCGATAGACTTGGACAAGTCTGCAAAACTATGACTAGTGAAATGCCGATCACCAAAAACCTCGGCGATACTCATGATATATGTACAGCATGGGTTGTTATTGTGGAGTCGTAAATGCGGAGCAAACCCCGGGGAAACTCCGTGTCGTGGGCGGTTTTGAACGTCGCTCATTGGTCTTAGACCTTTTAATCCCGACGAAGTCCGCCTACTCCTCAATAATTTTGTCAATAATCTGGCAAGTGACCTTCTTTTTTTGGAAGGATGAGACCAGCAAAGGCCTGCTCAATATGTCGGTGAGAAATTGATACCTCCACCCGACAGACCCCAATACTCATTACGTTAGTGAACGTCGACGAAAATGTGATATACCGGCACCTGGTCGCTCGTGTGTCTATTGCTCTGCCCGAAAATTAGCTTGTACTCGGAAACAGCTCTCCGCGCCGAACATATCTTCTATAGAAGAAATTGTTGGGACTTTATCTCTACCCGAGAAATGCACTTTACCAGACCAAAACATCCGCACTGAACTAGTGGAGCTGTATTTTGACTATGTGCATGACAAATTTCATTCTCTCTTCCATCGGCCGAGTCTGATGGAAGACGTGCGTCGGGGTCAAGCGCCCGAGAATTTAATATACGGGATGATCGCATTATCGGCACGGTATGCCTCTTCTACTCGGCCCGAGTGAAACAGAATCTGACGCGGATAGATTTTCAAACCACTCTTTCTTTGCCCAAACAGATCCTCGAGAAAGAGGGAAATGCTATGCCAAAAAATGTGAGCAATTGCTCAATTTGAATGATGTCTCTTTGACAACACTCCAAGTTTGTGTTTTGCTCGGCGCCATTACTGTAGTAGATGGAAATCCTGCATCGGAGACTATCTACTACTCAATTGCATGCCGTATTGCCCAACTTCTTGATCTTCCAAACTGCAAGGTTTCAAATCGCGTGGAACAAGAAGTAAATATAAGAGGTTTGTGCCCAACCACTTGAAGATGCCCAATACTCTAACTTCCGACGCAGTATGGTGGACACTATGCATGATAGATGTTTGGTCTTCAACAGGAGTCCGACTCCCACGACTAATGATCCCGCAACCAAACATCCCGCTTCCAATGAACGAGGCAACCTTCCTTGCGATGACCCGCACCGAAGGCTTTACTAGATCAATCTCAACCGACCGCACCTCATCCCTCCTAGCACAAATGGTCCTCCTAAACAAAATTCTCTCCGAAATCAACGATTTCAACACCGAAGCTGCCAAAACAACCCTCACCGAAGAATATAAAAGAACAACCATCACAACTCTTTCCGCCAACTTGTCGACCTGGCTCAAAAATCTCCCCGCATACATGCACGATACACCGTCGAATCTCGAGTACTACGCCTCCCAAGGTCAAGGACATCTCTTCGTAACTCTGTACCTAGGCTACTACCACTACGGGCAAATGCTCTTCTACCGGTTCCTGCATGAAGATGTGCGAGGGTACACACCACGCACGCACTTCTACGCAGAGCAATGCAAAGAGCACGCCGTTCGGCTGTGCGAGATGATCTACCGCTCCGAGGAAGTACCAGGGTGCGCTGTGTTGTACAATATGGTCGGCCATGTGCTTGTTATTGCGTCCACGGTGCAAATCCACACGTTGCTTTTCGGTGATGAGGGGAGTGTTGTGAAGGCTCGGGCGAGGCTCGAGAGGAATTTTATTATTCTGACTAAACTGCGTGCGCTGTGGACTACGCTTGATGTTTGTATGGAGCGGTTGCAGGCATTTCATCGGGCTTGTAGGAGATCGGTTGATACTAGTTTTTGTATGGATGGGTGGATGGTGAGGTTTTTGGTTGAGTTTGCTAATCCAGTCAGGGATAAGGATAGTGAAGGTGTGGAAGTGCCTTGGGCTCTGAAGGACATTGGAATTGGTAATTAGAAAGGAGGTTAGTTTGTTGATTGTGTTGGAATCGATAGATCCATTGTATAGTTAAAACTAGGCGGTGACGAGAGCGGTCAATTAGATATATATCGTGTGTTTCATGAGTGATATGATATGCCCCTCACATTCAACAGAGTTATTCAGGCACCGATTTTCGAAATTCCAGTGCATATTTCCCACTTGATAGTATCACATGGACGAAAGAAATCAGAATATCGTGGACTACAACGAAAGTTTGCGCAAGGTACTAATCGCCCGATAAAATCACCAAACACAGGGAATAACAAAAGATAGATCTCTAACAGCCTTGAGAATGCCCTCAAGACCTTTGGACCCTCCTCAAGACAGTACCAAACCATACTTGAAATGTTGAAAGAATGTCTCCGGGACATTGAGAATGAAAGCCAAAAGCAGAGCAAAGCCCAGGTGGTTGACGCAGACATGCTAAGCATTTCCATGGGATTTTTAGAGATTGGAAAATAAGCATGTATAATATAATAAACCACAAACCTAGCCATCGAAAACAATGGAACTAAATGAGAAAATACAAATCTAAAGGATAAAAGCATGCAGCAATGAGCGCCTCGCTTTCGTCAATACGCAACACAAGGTTATTCTCGAGTACGATGGTCATGCGCATAAGCTACTTGAATAGTTCGTCCAGGGGATTGGCTTTTTGTAAGAGCAATATCCGGCAAACGAGAATGTCGCGGACACGTTTTCTTTACACAGCTACTGGAAAGAGTTCATCGGACCTGGCTGTTTGATATCATTGGTGCAGTACTCCGTACCCAGACTGCAATCTCCTCAAAGCTACAAGACGAAGCTACATATGCTGCAAGATGGAATTGGACCATTTTTTGGTAACTTGAAGAGAAACTGATGTTACTGTTGCATTTCATAGATCTACAGAGCAACATAAATTATGAATTCTGCCGAGAACTTGCTTTTTATCCTAAAGGATGGCAAGGCGCTTCGAACATGGCATAGTAACTGTAGCATTGCATTAGAATGATAAGCCCTCCCCCACAAACACATGGATAAGAACTATGCTCGGCTCCGAGTTCCACCCAAGGCGATTTGCCAGTGAGCTTGATGGTCCAGTGGAGCAAATGTTTGATAGAATTAGGGATAATTATACTTGAATTAACTTGAGGATCGAAGTAAGCAATTCTTCTCTCTGAGAAGTGCCGATTCGGTGACGGGTGAAAGGCTTATCTCTACATATTACATATGGTTTGTTAGTACGTTAAAGTACGCTGTACGCATAACCAATTCTTCAACTTCTAAAGGCAACAAATAAGGACTATAGAAACGGAAGGATCTAGGGAGCTAGAGCCCTCTATTTCAATAATATCGTCTACTAAACGGTTATGCTAGGAAGTAGAGTATTCATGCCATTGTTCGAAAAATTATAGTCGCGAAATGCCACATAACTTCCAATGTATTAGATGATAATCTCGTTCTATATTGGTACAACGCTATTGTGATGTTTGCTATAAACAAGGCATAGCAATCTTGAGAACAACTTGATCGCTAGAACATTCGTATTCTCGCCAGCTTAGAAGATATATATAAGAACGAAACATCTATTGGGCAAGCTCAGCCTTAATCATCCAATTTAACTTTACAAAAACTGCAACGCAACCCCAATATTTACAACCATCGGATGTCGAACTCAACTTCTAAGTTGACCACCTCACAGATCAAGTTATTAACAAGAAACGCCAATGTAGTCCTTGGAAACCTTTAGGAATATGAGATCATTGCTAGGACCCTCGTAAAATATTCCAAACATGTCATCGTCGAGCGCGGTGATTGTGGAATATTGCGTTTCACCGGCTTCGAATACGCGGCCTGAAGACCATGTCGTGCCGTCATCACAAGAATACCGTACTGTGCCGTTCACTCGAGATTGCGGGTGGTTTGAATTGGTAAATAGGAGGATTTTAGCGGATGCCGAGCCCTCTGGTGCTTGAGGGTACATTCTTGTAATTGCTCCATTGTTTGATGGATCAGGAAGCTGAGTCTCGATGGTTGGAACCGAATAGGTTTCGCCCCCGTCGGTTGAAATAGCGACCTTTCGGTATCCTCTTGAGTTCGGACGTGAGTTAAGCATCAGGTTGCCATTGGAAAGCTCGACCACCTTATTCTCACTCATCTCCGTGCCTTGAGGTTGACCCATCTTCCATGTCTGGCCACCATTATCGCTGAAGACGCTGTAGGCTTGTAGTGATGTTGAACCATCTGCTTGGATAACGTTTCCGATGTATTGCTGGACTAACCGGCCGGCATATGTACCATATTTGAGTTGAATACCTTCACCAGATGTCGCAAAGGTTCCTCGTACACCACCCACGTTAGCTACCCCGTTGACCGTACTCCCTACCGGTTTAACTGCTGTAGTGAGAAGTGGCGGAGCACCAACCTCTTCGGATGCAATAGGGGGAAGAAGCGGTTGATTGGCAGGGTCAGTAGACCACGTAACTCCTCTATCAGTTGAAATTGAGACTTCAGCACTCATCACGCTCAAATTGGTGTCGTCGGTTCCGAGTGCACTGCCCGCGAAGCCCTGATTCTTCGAAAAAACATGGAAATTAAACACATTTCCAGTATTTTCGTCGAAAACATAGCTTGGATCGCTAAATCCATACTGCTGCACTGTCGAATTTCCTATCTGACCTCGGGCAATATAAGTCACCTCGCCCCAGGTCTCGCCACCATCTTCACTGCGACGTTGGAGAATTGAATTCGGAGCTGGGCTATCTCCGTTGTTTGGGCGTCCATCGAAGGCTGCTAGGATAGTACCATTACCCAGGTTCGCTAACCCGACAATTCGGTAGTATGGAAACAGTCCTTCTCCATTTGTTGTTAGGGTATGCTGAGTGATGATTTCAGCTGTAGGTTGAGCAGGAAGGGCCACGGCCGCGAGTGCATGTAACCCAATCGCAGCAATGATGGATCGAAGCGTCATAATGAGTATCTTCGGGGATTTTCGATCGCAATTGAAGGAACTGTGAGGGGTCGTGAGAAGGCGAGCACACATAAAACGTCTATTTGAGATGAAGTTATGCAATTCTATTCAGGCAGTGAAGAACAATTTATATACATCATTAGCCTCTGATTTATGATTCTTCATATGGATAAGAACGCTTATTCCCATGTCGATATTAACGGATGCAGATGATGTGGTTTACAAATTCAAACCAATATAAATCACTTTATGTTACATCAAAACGTCGGAATTTCAAAGCTTTGCGAGCCGATCGGGTCGTGAGATCCGATCGCTTCAAAAAAAGTACCATGGGAGCAGCAGCAGTCAGCTTGCATGAAATTCACAGGTAATTGATGGGATGAATACGAAGAGGGGCTAACTCTTTATACAGTCGTTGACTTAACAAAAGGTGGAGACGAGGACCATAGTTTTACCAGTAGCACATTTTTGTTTATAGGAGCAATAGCTAGATATGTTGTACTCCTAGGAGCCTTGGAGTCTGTGGATAGCTAACTACTTTGGGTGTGATAGTATCTCCGAGGAGGTTACTGATAAGGTTAGTTATTTTAATACGAACTAAATAGGACGTAGAAAACTGCGAGTTTCCATTTTGGATTCATTACTTCGTACTCCGTACTCCATAAGTCATTATATATGAGATAGACTTGTGAAATATGGTGAACGTGATTGGTTATCCAGAGATATTGGTATTTAAGATATCCTAGCGGGCAGTCAGATTGGTGGAACTATTGTGAAGAGTACGACTGGTGTTATGATATATGCAGCAGCCTAGGTTGTTTATGGAAGCTGAAGCATACTTCGGAGTAAGCATTAACGTTAGTGGACCAATGGACCTCGGGATTACCCCATGTGATACTAAGTATGTATATATAGTAACTGTATCGCTTCAATGCTCCCGACTTGAAAAGACCCGTTTTCGCTGCTCTTCCTCCCTTTCTCTCACTCCCATTATTCTGGCTCCTGGCGCAGGTGGCATTGCGAAGAAGTTGCACGGCTTTTGGAAGAGCAATACGGTACTGATTATTCGTTCACAGTATATTCACTCAGCCTTCATAGTCTAGACTGCAAACCTCAGCGGACCATTCCGCTGTCAAGGTTTTCAGCGGGCCCGGACCTACGAGGATTTCGGTTAGTACACGACAGTCTTAGGTATATCAAGAATAAGTTCTCTTAGTTAATAGGTAGAAAATAGATTTCCTTATCACAAAACCCGAGGACGTTTTGTATCTTCTGCCTCCACTCGATATAGTGGTCGTTTCGAGGCCCCAGGTCGCTTTTTAGCTGGCCGGTATATCAGGGTAGAACGGTGAAAGTCAATGATCAAAGCACGCCCGAGCTCTTCACTCCAAAGGACATTGTCTTAGCTAAGGTCTTTATATATAATCCCGAGAGCTTTGATTTCCTTGTTCGATTTGCGAATCTCGCGGCGAAGCCGTTGTGTCAGCTCTATAGTCGCTGTTAGACTGCGACATCGCCCATGGACGGGCGGGTGGGCAGTGCCCACGGGCCTTATATAAGCGGGCGATGGGCACTATCTATACGCCCATGGACGGGCCCTACCCTTAGGGCCTATTGTCCATAGACACCGTGGGCGCCTATAGGCCTTTTTAGTAAGCAGAATTTCTTGACCTCGTGACCTGTATTATTTGTGCATTTTTTCTCTGTATTTTTAAGTAATTCGATTATATATACAATAACTTGATACTACTGTCAATTTTCTAACCTCGGTCAGAAAAATAAACTGTGGAAGCCTTTATACAATAACTTAACACCACAGTCAATTTTCTAACCGAGGTCAGAAATAAGCTTTAGAAGCTTTTATATAATAACTTAATATATTGTCACTTTTTTGACCGGGGTCAGAAATAAGCCTTAGAAGCCTTTGTATAATAACTTAGGTATTTATTATATTTATATATTCACACTAATACGATACAAATTAATTATTATTGGGTTTACTACGCTTCTTTACTTCTCTTAAACCAGGGCGCTTTTAAGTACTACCCTTATCTCTATAATAAGGGAGATAAGGACTGCTCTTATCTTCGCTGTCGACTAGCTCACTTCTCTATCGCTTCTGTGTACTTAGCACTATAGAAGGACAAGGAAGCTAACTCTCTATTATAAACTTATACTCGATCAGTCTAATAGGATTATTATCCTCGGAATCCTCACTATCGCTAATTGGTTTAGGTATATCAGTAGTAAGCTTAGCCTCTCTCTGTTCGTCTACTTCTTATATTGAATCTAAGGATATATCCTTATCGGGTAGTTCTTCTATTTTAATATCGAACTGGGTTTTACACCGGAATATTATAATATCCTAGACTGTCTTCGCACTTAGCCGCCTATATCGGTAGTGGTAGATATCCTATACTGAATTGAAAAGATATTTAACTCCAGCGCCTGTTATAGGAATAGAGAGAATATCGCGAGCAACACTTAAAAGAATTGGGAATTTATTCTTATATTCCTTCCAGAATTGTAAAGGATCGACCTTTCTCCTTACTATTATAGGTATTAGTATTCCTACTTATAATAATAGTGAATATAACGTACACTTTTCAAGGTATCTAGTAAGTTTGTACTCCGACGTTAATAGATCAGAGTGGATATAAGGTAGAAGGTTAAGGAGGGTGTCTAGGTCACTTATACTAGCTGAGTAACACTTAGGGGGTTACTCTTCTCGTAGGGACTATATCTGAGTGTATCTTTAGGTGTAAGGAGCTATAAACTAGCGAAGCGTTTCCTTATACTAATCACTCCAGTTTATATCGTTCTCCGATATACCCTACACCTTACTTAAGAAGAAGTAAAGCTTATACTAGGGTATAAGAATTATTCTAATTACGTAGAGACTACTATAGATCTCTTTCGTCTTTATATAGTAAGAGGTAAGCTTTACTATCCCAGTATTAAGGGCTTATAGTATCGCCTTCTTCTAAGGTATAGTTTTCGGAGTGAGTTATACAATCGATTCCTCGAAGTACTTAAAGAGGGTATTATAAATACTAAAAATATAATATACTGTTATCTCTTTAGTCTTTAAAAGCACTGTAGTAAAGCGATAGAACAGCTCTATAATATATAGAAGGTAGTCGACCTACCGCTATTCTACCTTACTGAGTTTATATTTCTAAGTCCTAATATTATCACAGTATTTATTGTAGGGCTTACTGAGGCGTTTCGTATAACGAAGTATTAAGAAGGTAGAATTCCAGCGGGTACAGATATCTTAGATAGGCGTAAGTTTTGCTCTATTAGTCTAGAGACAGAAGAAATCATCGCGACGTTAAGGGCTTATATTAATAAATATAGTAAGCCCTCGAATCTAGATAGTTATTAGATATATTAAGTGATAAACAAAGTGATACACTTACCTTAATAAGGGTTTATATAATAACTTATTCACTCTGTGAAGTACAGAGTGATCGAGCTTAGGCTTAGACTTAGATATTAGAAATATTCCGATCTATAGTATCGTTCTAGGGATCGGCCTTTACCGATCTAAGTAGCTCGCGAAGGCTTAGCTGGATAATATATATAAGATAAGGGATTCGAACAACCACCGGGCTATTCGGTAGTTTAAGGGAGTCAATAGAGTCTTAAACTACCTATACTAAAGTTATATTATTTAACGCGTTATCTGATATAATCGCTAATATACGATCAGTAATATTAAGCTTCTTAAAGATCTCTATAAGTACTTCACTTAGATTTACACCAGAATACGCCCTATTAAGTAGTTCGAAACTAAGTAGGAGCTTACGGTAATTCTAGTCTCGGTCGATAAAGTACCCTGTAATTGCTATAAATACCTACTAAAAAGGCGATATCTAGCAGTCGAGGGTAATTAAGAGCTTTGTATCTTATAGTAAAGTAGCGAGAATTAAATATTACTCCTTGTCGACCAATTTCTTAAGCCGGTGTTAAGCAGTACGAGGATAGAGTAAAGTGGGTTCAGCTAGAGCCTTTTATACTATTCGAATTAAGGAAGTAAATTGCTTCCTCTTAAGTATCCGGAAAGGGAGGTTCAGACTAGTAAGATATTCAATCTACTCTCTTTCCTATTTATTATTCGAGAATTTTAAGTTATAAGATAACTCCAGTGCCTAATATATAATATATTAGTTATCTTAAAGGGTATAATAATATAAGACTTACCGGTATATACTATATAGTCTCCTTAATCGACTGTTATATAGCCTTACTTTTACCACCCTTTTAGTATTTACCTAAGGCTAGATACCGCTTAAGTGTATTAGTACCGCTTTGCTTTGTACTTAGATAAGGCAAGATAACCCTATACGTCCGATATATAACCAAAGGTTCGCCTATAATATAATATACTACCTAGTCGAAGTTCTCCTAGATATCTGATATATATTTTGTATCCTATTGTAGCCTTTATTATATCTTAGTACTGCTACCGCGTACTGTAGTACACTACCACTCGATAAACTTTACTTTAGACGCGTTGTTTATCGCGTTATAGAGGATAAACTACTTTCTCTGATCGGGGCCGACGCGTTTAAGAGAGTAATTAAGAATAGCCGGTTAAGTAAACTCGGACTCTATTAGTAAGATAGAAGTCTATTAGCTATTAAAGAGACTGGGATCAATATTTAGATCAAGGTTAGGATTAAATATATCGGCGATATAGGAGAGGTCTAGTTAGGAGCTCGGAGGAAGTGAAGAAGGCCCTACAGTATAGGCACTAGGTTAGGATATAGTTAATATAATATAAGGGATAATATAACGACTATAGGAGAGTGAGTGATCTAAACTTACAATAGGTAACTTACGACTGTATAAAACGAGGATTACTAGTAAAAGGGGTGCTTTATATAGATCTAATAGATCGTAAATTAAGTGTAGACCCACTATATATTATAAGCTGATTAGCTATAAGTGTCTTTGTCTATAGGTATACCCGTAGGTATACCCGTAGGTACACCTATAGGAATATACCTAAACGCCTATCTTAAGTTACAATCGAAGGATTTAAAACTCCCAGAATAATAATATAAGTCTTTAAGTGATATAATTGATAGAATTTAGTGATATAAGCTTATAAAATAAGAATTATACTAATTATCTTTCGATCTACCTATAAGAAATATACCAGAGTAAGAGATAAAGTAGAATCTATAAGTAGTATTTTACTTATAGAAAATACCAGGTATATACCACTGACTTAAATATATATCTTTAAGCTGTTACAGTATAATTTGATAAGTCAATAAAAATACCACACAATATAATATATTTCGATTAAAATTTTATTCTAATTCGTATTATATATATACTAGTTTCTTATATATATAGATATTTCAGTAAAATTTATAGATATTGTAGATTAAAACTACCATTTTATATAGAGTTAGCAAAACAGGTGTAAATAACAGTTATTTATTATACAAAGTCAGCGAGTTATACGTCCATTTTGGGTGACTTTATACAATAGTGGGTATCGTGGGTATGCCCGCCGTGGGTATACCCGTGGGCCTTGGGCGTTATAGACGGGCACTCGAAAATCCAAATAGCCCAAGGCCCACCGTGGACGGGCCTTGGGTACCTCCTAGGTGCCCATGGACGGGCGATGTCGCAGTCTAGTCGCTGTATATTCACCTCCCTAGCCTATTACGAGTATATAGCGAATTTGTCCAGCGCTATAAAGAAAGTAGATTTTTGCTAAGTCAATTTTCCCTAAAAAGATAGGTATAACAGATCCTTAAGCCTTACGCAGGATCTGATATACCTCCGCTTCGCGGGAAACTTCTTCCTACAGCCCCGAAGTAGTGCCTTTACCGATAACCGTGTAACTATATTTCGTGCAAGTAAGTTTAAACGGGGCACTGTAGGAGCTACAACCGCTAAGAGGAATACAACGATCGATATTTTTATCCAGTTAGCCCTTAAGTGAAAGTATTAAATCTTCGGCCGAGATAGAATACTAAGTCTAGTGGCCTTAGCCCCGGCGATAATAGTCTACGTTCGGATATAGCTTATCTAGGAATCGGGGTTCTCCGGTCTATAGGCCGAGTAAATATCGCTGCGTATAAAATTGTGCAGCGCGGCGTCGGGAATCGTCTTCTTGATTATACCCTGAGTCTTATCGGCGACTAGATCGCCGAGCGGACGGTAAAGGCGTAACTTAACTGATCCTCCGCTTATAGCTAGCTGTTTGATTTATATCGGACCCGGACGAGTTAGGTGACCGTAAGCGCGGTCGAATCTCTAAAGGGGTATAGCTGGTTTGAGATCGTGTAGGCACTCGACGGCTCTCTGAGGGAGACAGTAGCGGAGATAACGACGGTAGTTTATAGGACAAACCAGACTCTAGACTCGAAAACTTAGGGTTTATACTATCGGAGTAGAGAATTTGCTGTAATTCTTCTCTCGGGATTTAAGATCGTGTATATTTAAAGCTTATTTCCTACGTATAAAGATCGGGACGTAAGCGATTTCTCCACTCTTACCTACGGGCGGGTAAACGGAATACTATTAAATAAAGGTATAACACCCTCGCAATAGAGGTCTTCGATAGTTAGGGAAATATATCAGCTGTGTTCACTTCGCTGTGAGGATTATATAAAAAGTAGTAGAGCGTAGTAGGTTTATCTTATAGAATATAAGGTAGGACACGGGTAATTCCGTTTGTTAGATAGGAATATTCGAGTCCTTCTTGGATTATTATATAGTATTCTTAGACGATAGCAGAGCAGATAAGCCGCTCTGTATTGTACCTCAGCTTCGTATCCTAGTCGGTGGGTATTTTATTTGATCTAACTATTTCCTTCTACAGATCTATTGGTCGTAGTCCTATACGAAGAGTTACGATAGATAGCTTGTGAGGCGGCTTATACTCGACAGTTATCAGCACAGTGGTTGTGTTACCGTCGATACGATAAATACAGAACTAGTCTGGTCGTGAGTGAGGTATACTTAACAGCTGGCTGATATCTGTTTCTAAGGTTTTATTCCTACTCAAAGAATTTATATGATTGCTGAAATAGATTCCATCACTAAGGCCGAACTCGTTATATACCGCCGGAATTTTGCGTAACTCCGATATTATATTATAGACGTGTTCTTCCACTCTAAGCCGCTTATATACCTCGAGATCTTGTTCGCTACTGAGTGGCCTGCGAGCGAATCGACGGCTAAGTCCTTCTAACTCTAGTAGAGGTGAGAATAAGCGTGGCGCCTGCTCTCGCTCTAACTGTAGATATTTGCAGACAGACCTATAGACCCTTAGCAGCTGCTCTGGACAGTCGGTCCAATGTTCCAATCGAGTTAGGTAGTCTTTTCCAGTGGGAGGGGGTATTTTGCCAGTGGTTGAGCGAGAAGGTGTCTCGACTCGCAAACGGCGGGAGATAAGATCATGGCAGTGCTGTAAGAGCTCTGTGAAAGAGGTGTGTTGGTTGCGTTCTTCTGCTTGTCGCCTCCTTTCTGCTTCCTGCTTCTCGCGTTCTTCCGCCTGCTGCCGTCCTTTTTCTGCCTGAAGGTAAAGATCTTTGTAATTTGGAGAATTGTGGTCGGCCATCGATTCGTTGGAAAGGGTAAGTCCGTTGACCCAAGTGCGTCAGAGCCCGGCTGGTCCGATCAGCTTTCTGTCAGCAGATCCCGACTCCCGGAAAATGCTTTTTCCGGAAAATGACTTGGGCCTCATATTTCATGGTAAGTCTTTGATTAAGTTCCCAGGTTTGGGCGGGCGTTGATGGCAAAAGTGGCGGGCACGATCAAACTTCCCAGCAGAAAAAGAAAAGCAAAATTGATGGGATAATTCTTTGGATCTAAAAATGGCTTTGTTTACTATCAATCGAAACTTGTTGGAACACCCTCAGGGTAAAGCAGCCGCACTGTATGCCTCATTTTCAATGTCCCTGCGAAAATACCTCAAAAGTTATGCTCTCACGATAGGCTGATCTAAGATATACGAAAGTACGATCGTAACTGGCCGCTACTGGGTTACCTAAATCTTGAAAAATTGTCCTTTATGTACGTAGACTTCTAGTATCAGTAGATCATCGTCACCAGCGGTATGTAGATACACACCATAGTTGAATCTTTGGTTCAATGACGAGGTGCAATCAATAAGTACAGCACCAACGCATAGATTTCTATCCAGGTAGGATGTGGCACAATGAGTAAAAGCTCCGTCATGGCATACCTGGATCAATTTAAAGGATGAAGAAAAGCAAATCCAACAAACAAACATATTACCGGATTCGGGCCAAGACCAATCCACTCAAGCTTGCGTGCGCGTTTCAGCGCCGCTTCGTCCTTTTTTTTATATATTACTTGGATACAAGTGACCTTTTTCTGCCTTGTCTCTAGAAAGAGGCGTGGATTTTCAACTCCATTTGTCAATTTACTTTCTGATTCCATTTGAACGGTATATGTTATTTAGCATGGTTAAAGCGATTTCGCATTCTAATGATAATATGCATAGCCATGGCTAGATGATTCCGGATTCTTAAATCCATAGATCCAGGGTACATATGGATACAAATTGTATCACCATTGAGACAGATGCGTGGCTGAACCAATGTGCGGAAATAATCACCAAATGGCCAACACCAAATACACGTATGCAGTGGGCAGACACCAGAGAGAAGTCAAGGGAGGCAAGGCAACACTCGACTCCTCTAAATATTTAGGAACAGGTAGCCCAAACACCCCCGTGATCCCCGTTTTGTCCAGAGACAAATAAACAGCCAGCTTCCAGGAATGCCATGCAACCAACTCCAAAATGTATGCAATCGTAAGACGTGTCATGATATAGCGTGGTTGCGGAGGTAGTCCTCAGGCCTCCGTACCTGCCGGGGCATCAAAAGTAACGGCAGCTGTCGATCCCCGGTTGTGGGATTACCGTTCAGGGGCACCGGTATCAAGACGGGAGGAGATTTATTAAATAAGTTCATCGTTGTTACTGTGAAGAGTTGAGGCGTCTCCAATCTCAGTCGATCAACGGTTTCTTCTGGTTGCCAACAATAGCGGCACCTATATGGCTGAGGGCATTGTGATCATTTGGTCGTACAATTGCTGGAAGAGGCAGCATGGGGTTGTCCGGATTGACATGGGCGGCATCTCGTGCGGCTTGCTCGATTGCTTCCATTTCTTCTTTGCAGCCGGCGTGGTCGAGAGGACAGACCACGATTGGTTGTCGAATGGTAATGTCTCTTGCGGAGGTTAAGTGGGCCTGGCTGTGTGTGAGTTTGCAGGAGATATACTATGAAACTAGGGAAGAACAAACCTTAACTGTGAGGTAATACTCAATTTTATATAGACTTGCTGTAGTTGTGAAGCCGCTCACAGCATAAGTTGGAAACGCGGTCCTACTTCTCGGCAAGATTCCTTCTGAGTCGCGGAGGTCCTTGGCGGGAAATACCAAGCCCAGGTTCGTTAAATAGCCTGATTGGGGCAGTTTAACGCCGATGTTCTCGGTTTTCTTGGCTAGAACTTTGACTTTGCGCTGGGGCTCGTCGCCTTCATGGTTGTAGACAATTTCCTCGTCGATGCCGATGGTGATCTTGCTGATGGTCACTTTCCGCGCCTTGCCCATCCAGCTCTCGTTTGGTGAAAGTTTGACATAGACACTGACGGGATCGAGAGGACCGTAGGACCACCGTGGTAGTGAGATGGCTAATGTGACTAGATGATCTGATACGCGCTCCGCTGACTCTGGACGATTGTACATGCCAAATGTGGAGAGTGTGTCGTAACGCGCAATGGGCACTGGGAAGGTGTATTTGTGTTGCTGCTGTTGCCCTTGTTGGACCATCACCACCATCTCGTAGTATGTTTCCGCAGTGCGACTCGGGAGCTGTATACTAGCTGGGGGTACACGGCGAGATGCATCGCGACCCCCACGACCAAATGGAATAAAGAGAACGAAGGGCAGATCCATAGATATTACTTCTTCGTATTCTCGACCGGCAGGACATCGAAATAAGAGCATCTCTTTGCCGACAATGTCGGTGATCTCTTTCCGCGGTGGAGCCAGGCGCTTCTTTGTGAGGGAATCGGCGGAAGGGTGAATTGTCTCGCGGCGAAGGAGGGAAATAGTCACGAGCGAGATGTTGACAGGAGCTGTAATGCCAGCGCTTGGTCTGATTTCAACTTTACCCTCAATCCGTGGCTTGGATGGTCAGTCAATCGGGCCGCGTGGAGCAGGGGGCCGAACCGAAACGGCTCGTCGCATGTATCATAGGGCGCTTACCATGGTCGCTGAGATGCCTGGATATCCGATCAGAAAATTGCCATTCGCCGGGCCTGATACGCGCACAAAGGCGGCCATCTCGAGTCAGCCGTGCCTGTTGCACCGTAGACATGCGGCGGAGGTTGGTCGAGTTGTGGGGAATATGCGAGTGGACGGGTCGTGTGGCACGGTTCATAAGGATTCGGTGATAAACCGAGTAAACATATAGATATCTTAAATATGACTGGGTAAAAGAGGTGGAGAGTGCAGAGATCTAGAGGCAGGAGAAGTGAAGGAGAGCTTCCAACAGGTACAGTGGTTGTGGTGGGGAAAGGTGATCCAAGCCTCCCCCAACAGCCACAATTAGCTTAAGCCTCTTTGTTTTGGTTTCTATTGGCCTCTTGTATAAATATTCTATATATATTAAATGTTCTAATATATTATACAATATAGGAAGACATACTGGATCTCAACCCTCTACATATGTACCCAGACGCAATGGTTATCGCGTGGACAAATATACGCCCAGTTCCCAATGTCATCATCGTCATCACACATAATAAATCGCATGTTATACATCCATAGATAAGTTGGGTTACACACTTGGGCATTTTAAGCCGCTTTTACCGCTCATATTGTATATTGTACGCCTAATTATTCGCGTTCTAGCTATAGCACCAATAAAGAGAAGAAATATTCAAACCAAATTTACACCTATGGAGACATAAGGAGACACCTAAGGAGACATCTGAACAGACGGCTCATAGAAGGACTACAAAAATGGCTGAACAAGGCCGCATAAACTGCCAACTATTCTTGTTGCATATAACAATAACAACATATATCCAACCTTGGAACGTTAGTACGTATGAATCTCTATAGATTAAAACTATAAAATGCCCCTAGAAAGGTCTTTTCCTATACAAATATAACGCTGAAAGCCCGTACATATGTATTGTGTACTCAGAATATATGCAGCGTCTGCGGAAGGAGCCTCTCACCTAGGCAGGTTCCTTCCACAAAGTTGCGACTCTCCCCAGGGCAAACCTGACAACTTGCCTTTATAAACAACCCATTTCCAACTTCATACGCGATACTCGAGGCCTTTGCTCTGCCCCCGCGTCCCCTTCCTTCCTCCTCCTCTCATGAGATTGCCATGTCTGGTCAATCTGTAAGTGTAAATCGCTCTGTGTCCTGATCGAAACTCTCAATACCATGAGACTTGTATTATGACGGTCCCACTCAATCGCTTGGATATGCACTAATGGATAGAATAGCAGATTCTGCGATTTGTGTCGCTCGGTCAACCATCCGTTGACCGAGTCCGGCTTGCAGCCGGAGTGGCTGTGATGAACGCGGCGTCGGTCGTCTCCCGTGTAAGACTCACATGCACATCCCTCAAATAAAAGGGGAATGTTCACACTGAGTGTGATGATGCAGGTGAATGCCCCACAAGCTGCGCCACGGCTTGCACTCTGACAAGGCCAAGAAGGGTATGTGGTGTTATTTCATTCAATCGATATTGCCATGCTGTATTGCCGTTTCGCGCTGTGCAGAAAGATGGCTAACGCTTGTGAATAGCCAAGGCCGAGAAGAAGAGTACACAGGGTATCCCAAACGAATCTCCTATATAAGGGGATATAAGGTTGATCCTGTGTGCTTGGTGGCCAAAAAGGCCAGCCGCCCCAGCCTCTAGCAGAGAAGGTGAGTTACTCCTTATACAGACCAGAATGTCAACCTGGTTGTATCTTCAAGAGAATAGGCGCTGATGAGCAAATATTAGGCTGTGCCTCCACGGTATTAACAAAACAATGATGATGACCCTCGGGTCTTTATTTTCTGTTGCTTTTCTGTTAGCTTTCTGTTTGCTTTCTGTTTGCTTTCTGTTCTGTGTTGTTTTATTTTTGATTGTCCTTTTGAATTCTTTCATCCTTGTGGGCTGCAGCCCTTATACCATTATCAAGCTCTTCAGGGCCATTTGAAGCCATTCGGGACACTTCTTTGTAGAGGCAGGCCTGTAGATGACACAGCCCGCTACTCCTCCAGGCTTTTGTGCTCATTAGCCGTAGCTCCATTTCTGGGTGCCCGCTTGATTCGTGGTTGGCATAATATAATTCATGCAGATCTGGGGGCCAACTTATGGATGGGGTTCGCCCGTTCTCAAGCGACCTGCATTCTTCGGATATCGATTTCGCTCCTGTAGACTTCTCTCGTTGTCAGCTGCGTCTCTCTTCTATCCATTAGGATAGAAGATCTAACCAAAATGCAGAGATTACTTCTTCTTTCTATTCCAGTCCAGTACCCTAGTACTACTATCCCATATCAAGGTCAGGGGAGAAGGAGAGGGACTGGATACAATGCTAAAGCCTGACTCTGCAGCGTTGTTGGGCCATCTACGCTGTGCGCTTGCTCAATCAAATGGCAGACGGCAAGATTTTCAGAGCTTCCGAAGGCACTATCTAGTCCTGGCTTACTTTCGCGCATTCTGGCATGTTTGGCAGGCTTGATATCAACCATTTCTTTAGTCATTAGTGGCTGATTTCGTCTGTTGCACTTGCTATAGGTGTAGCCTCTGCATCAGAGTAGACGAAATAAAATAGGGAAGTGATATTAACTACACCAAGTAGAAGGGAAAATAGCAGAGAAGAAATCGAGAAAGGAAATGAAAACTGTTTAGCCCTACAGCCCTGGAAAAACGTGGCTTGATTCCTATGTAGTAATCAAATGAAATACTTATTGTGCCTAAGTAAAGACTACCACACTCAGTCAAAGGTGTTCGCCCTAGTCCCCTCAGCATGGTAAGATAAGGTACAGTACCTGAACAATAATATCCATATATCCGTAAACAGGCTTCAACCAAAGAAAGATATGTCAAGTACATACATGTATCCCATATATATATGTACCCCTACCTACCCGTACTTTCACTGCAAAATAAAAAACTCAAATGAACTCTGAAACCACGGAAAGTCCTCGAGATCCAAACCTTTGTCAGGTTGTAATATTGTTTGAGTCTATGGAAGTGGATGTGACTCCGCCGCCTTTTTCTGTATCGGCCGCACTATTTCTTTACTGTATTTCTCCATTTCTCCTCAACATCTTTCTCTTCCGCAACACCTCTACTTCCCCTTCAGATTAACCTTTTTTTCGAAATGACTTCCAGACAATCTTAGCCACACGCTTCTCTCAGATCCCTCTTTCAACAAGTCAGAGATCTTGAGCCTGACTTCCCTTCTCCTGACAAGATTCAGAGACTTGGAATACGAGTATCTGAAGTACCCCTGGTTGGTAATGACAGGACTAGAGAATTCGAACCGTGCTAATTTATACCACACCCGGATAAATTGTTCGAAATATATCCACTCCACCCAGATCTCGACCCGGAGGAATACCCAGATACTATATATCACGTACGCAGCGTACAGGATTCTATAGACGAATGGCCGACTGAATACCCGCCTGGAACCCCTCCAATACTTGAGAATCTCAGATTGACGGAACGTTTAGCCTACGATTTAGACCATAATGCCCTTGACCAAGCTATAGGCGTAGAGTATGTGATTAGCTCTCACTTAAGCATTACTAGGCAAGGAATTTCTGCGGAAGGGTTTTCCGATGAGTTCAGCCTTGAAGAGCTTAGAGATCAGGAAGATTGGGAGTAAGTAGACAGCAAAGTTAGAACTAAATATAATACATGATCATAAACTAACCTATCTATAGCCCGGACTGGACTGAACAGGACCCTATTACCACGGAGGGCTTCGACCATCCGAAAACATAGCGAGTGGTTGATCATGATCAATACACTGGGCTCCCACACTTAGTTCTGTCATGTCTTGCTCATATTAACCCCACCGAGACAAACGAGGGCCTCAAAACACCTGAGTTATCTTTTATGGGTGGTCAGAAAGGCAGAATTATTCAGGCTTCGTATAATGGAGAGGGACTGGCCTTACAATACTCATGATTATGGAGTTTTGAAAATCCGAGCACCGCACCGTTGGAATTGTTCGTTCGATATAGATTGAGCGAGCCCATTGATGGTGTTCGCACCTCGTGTATCGAATGGCTTTCTTTGTCTCATAAGCCGAACAGCTTTTCTCGCTACTCCAGGATCAAAACGAGGAACTTCTTCATATATTTACGATTTGGCCATAAGGCTCTCACAGAAAGAAACTACCATTCGTCAAATGAAGAGAGCATAAGTTAGCTGGGTACAAGGCAAAGTGATATGAAGAAATTAGAAGAGAAGAGAAGAGAAGAGAAGAAGGAACTCGAGGTTTCCCCAACTGTATTTTTGTCGAGTAGATAACGTAACTATTGGTTTCTCAAGTCTGACAAACTAGATACTTTAGATCAACAGAAAAAGAACGACTATTCTGAGTAAAGCATACCTATCTTCCCGAGGTCAGTAGGTTGGAACCCCTCGCCTTCTTGCGGTTGTCCTGGCAACGGATTGAATCCGAGTCGACTGTTGCTCGCGCACATCCATCACTTTCCAAAACACGCCTCAAGCTTGTGAGGCCGGCCAGTTCTATTTTTGGGTCAGCTTCTGCTCGTTTCATTAGTAGATTATTAGTAGATTCGCATCGGGAGGGTTAAGATAGGGAAGGTCAAGCTCGGCTTTTGTAGGAATAAGGCGGGTCCTAGTGGGTAATCACATGACATTGCCTCCTCCATCTAGCTTTCTTCAACATTGTATATCCCCAAATCTCAACTTCAACTACTACATCATTCTACATCATTATGCCTCGTCGTACAGCAAATACCAGGTCGCAGTCGACACTGTCCTTTGGAGCTAAGGGCCGAGTGACTAAACCAGTCACCGCGCCATCCCACAAAGCCAAGGCTCTCGAGTCAACTCCATCACTTTCCGACAAAGCTGCCTCCACTACCCCAGAGCCCCAACAACTGTCCATCACTCCAACCGAACCCTCCAAGCCCCATGTTGCAGAGCTAGCGGTGCGACAGCAGGCTGCAGTCGAACACGAAGCGCCCCAATCTGAAGAGGACAGGCGAGCACTGAAGCTGAACAAACAGGACATCTGGCGATACTGGCAGGCTCAAGAGAAGACTCGCATGGCACCTAGGGGTAAGTCGAGCCTGCTATAGGATATTAGTATGGATCAAGAGGCTGATCGTCGTACTCCATAGCCCACCAAGAAGGCATGGAGGTAGAGGAAAAGATTCTCCGGCATTTTGATCTTTCCAGCCAATATGGGGTACGTTGTCTGGGCCTTTGAGAGTACTCCTTTATATAGAGTCATCTAACATAATATCTTTCTCTTTAGCCCTGCATTGGAATCGCTCGAGTCAAGCGCTGGAGACGTGCCAATCAGCTGAAGCTTAACCCACCTATCGAAGTCCTCGCAGTTCTGCTCAAGGGAAAGAATACAAAGGAGCGGGCACATATTGATGAATTATTATCCTGAGCACATGAAGTGATTTGAATTAGCGTTGACAGACTAGCATGGATTGGGCGTTGGGGAATATTAATGAAATACGAATGACCTATGGGTATTCCCAGGTTGAAAGTCAAAGGCGTAATTTTTCCAGTTTTGCAAAGGCCGAGTATGCTCGAAAGCTGCTCAAAGGCATGTGCGATGTTCAAGCTCAGATGGAAGAATGACTCTCACGTTCAAGCAATTCAAGCAAATGCGCATCTAGACTTCCAGGTTAGCCGACCGAGGACGCTTTACACTGTCTCAGGCAAATTGAATGTAGACAATGGCAATTTCCGCTTATACGCACATCTATACGATAAGATGCCTGATCCTCGTGAAGACGCCGTCGATCCTCATTTAAGCTGTGGTCTGGAAATGGCTATATTTATCTCAGACGAGATTGAAAGACCAGGATGTTAATAAAATTTCATTTCGGGTCCGTGTTATCCCCGGATTCAACAATGGGTCTGTCCGGGGACCCCGCGATATTGGCGAAATTTGCTTTTTTCTCATCTTCACTTGATATGCTCTCTGCTACTCCGTATATATGTGTGAGAAGCGTCAGGCTCTTTGTTATACATATGTACGCCTTATGTATTGAATATGTACATAGTATTATTATTACGTTCAGATATCCGCTGCAAGGGTTTGCATTGCCTCAACGCTCAATCTATCATTGGAATGAAAGTCTAAGCCTAATTTGGATGTTTCATCCGGACGATGCGCCTTTTCTTTTTTTCTTTTTCTTATGACCGTCAAGGGGCTGGACAAGAGATCCGACCGGGGACAGGGTCGCGTTCGTCAAAATCCTCGGTGGCGACCTTAGGGACTCCCATGTGATCGGTGCTTTTGTATCTTTTTGCTTGATTTTGGTCATTGACCCCAACTTTACACTACGAATGAATACTAGTGTGCTTGGCACTGTCGCTCGCCAAAGACAAAGCATCTCTAGCCTGTGGTTTGACTGGGCCCACCCCCGCTAAATGTCTCACTTGGACTATGAAGGACACTTTTCGAGCCCGTTCGCGTTCTACGTCGGTCCCAATGTCCTTTTCTTGATGAAAACAACACAAAATCTTTGACCTAGAAGTAACATCTTGGCTCTGTCAAATTGCCACTGGAGGCGATCGCCCCTATGCAGGTACAATATTACATGATCGAGTCGCATCTCTTGGATGATCCTAATATTTCGGTAACCTTGCTAGTCTGTGGTCATCCCGGAAGATATCAAATGACCACTAAGCTCAATGAAACTCTGGAAGTGCCTGGAGTGTCTTTGAGGCCTTTATTCGACCTAAGAAGCTACAACGCTGTACATCCATAAGCCCTATATCGACAGGGTTGTTGATCATAGTCTCCTGAGTTTGGGCCCTTTTTCAGAACCTATCATCATTTGAGGAAGCCAGTGATGATGCCGTGTGTCACCCCAAGCAAATTTCAATTGTCATATTATTATATTGTTATATTAATCGTGCAGATATTGCATCGGACCAAGTCCTAATGTGGTATAGTCCAATGCTACGCTCTCTCGGGCCCTGCCGGGGTCCAACTATCTTCCCCGGATTTTCCTTAATGCCCAACATTATGGGTGTTTTGCCACTTTTTGGCCTTTGTCAATCACTTATTCATGCATTGTGCAGGCTCGCGTATGCTAAATATGCTGGAGTCCTGTTGTAGCCAAATTCATTCAAGGTTCTTTCCAGTGGGAACACTGCGCAACCTGCATGTGTATATACATGTAGGGAGAACGGAGTACTGCAGCCTGCGATCCGTGCCATACCGCTGTACATCCAGGCCGCTAAGAGTTTAGCCTGACACAGCGGAAATTAAAGCCAGTCTATTCGACCGTATGACTAGCTGGGAATGGGAAGTGTAGTACTAACATTGCCACTGGTTCAGGCTTTCCGGTGGCTTCCTGGTTCGTCCTGATCTAGTCTCAACTTGGCAATGCGGGCATACGTACTCCGTACGCTATGGAAGACATTGACACCAACCCCAGCCATTCCCACCCCAGCCTTCAATCGGCTGCGGGAACCCAGAATCCGGCGTAAGCCTTCAGCCTTGGCCATGCAATGAGCATCCGGGGTTTCCAATCCGTGGTAATTACAGATCTGATTCAACCGCGGCCTTGGCCCTGCTTTTCGGTGGATTGCCACCTATTAAGCATGCGGAGACATGTGATGGTCCCACGCGCCAATCTTTTGGTGCAACCCTCCCAGGGGTTTCTCCATGGGGGGAAGATAGGATTAGATGTGACCGGCAAAGCTTATAAAAAGGCCATCACCCATCCAAGTCCAGACCTTGCTCTTCCTTTCAACTCATCCGCACTCGCTATACATACTTGACTGTCTTTTCCGGCACGCCGTTGATAATATCTTTTTATTTTTAGTCCAGCTATATCATCAAGATGAAGTTCTCCACCACTCTGATCGCTCTCGTTGCCGCCGGCCTCGCCAGCGCCCAGCTGCCCGATGTGCCCGCCTGCTCGGTACGCAAAGAAACCGATATATACATTAGAAGAACATGTTTACTAACACTTAGCCTTAGCTGAGCTGCTTCCTCTCTGCCCTCCAAGCCGATGGCTGCTCCGACCTGCTCGACTTCGCCTGCCACTGCCAGAAGCCCGAGCTTGTGACCAGCATCACCCCTTGTGTTGAGAAGGCCTGCGAGCACAACGACCAAGTCTGTATGTCAAACACCCACCTATTCCACTTTGATCCGAACCCCCCACTAACACCCACATCCAGCTGTCTCCAACGCTGTCGTTGGCCAGTGCTCTTCCGCCGGCCACCCCATCTCGATCCCTCCCATCGAGACCACCGCTGCCTCCGCCCCCAGCACCACCAAGGCCAGCTCGAGCTCCGCTCCCGCTGAGACCTCCGCTGAGCCCACCGAGACTCCCAGCTCGAGCTCCAGCGCTGTCGAGTCCTCCTCCAGCGCCGCCGAGTCCTCCAGCGCCGTTGAGACCTCCTCCTCCGCTGTTGAGACCGCCCCCGCTCCCGGTACCACCTCCACTAAGCCCACCGCTGCTGGCTCTTCCTCCGGTGCTGTCACCTCCACCCCGCTGGTGACCAAGACCGGCTCGGCCACTGCCTCTTCAACCTCCCCCGCCTTCAACGGCGCTGGCAGTGTCAAGGGCAACCTCGCTGGTGTTGCTGCCATCGCCGCCGCTGCCGCTTACGTCCTGTAAATATATCTATACCTAATCTGAGGTTATTATCGGTGTTTGTGTGACTGGCTCTTCTTGGCGGGTGGGATTCACTTCCTTTTTTCGCTGGCTGGGTTGGTTATAAGAGACGCCTGAATGGGCCACCTCCCTGTATAGTTCGACATGCTTAATACAATGCAATTCTTTTTTTCACCTCTGGGTGAAACTGATTTTTATGATTTGATCTTTTCTTCTGTCTGCTTGCGCATTATAGTTGCCCAAACCCGTAAGCTTGATATATTTTTCAATAAAAGCACGTAAGTATAGATAATATAAAAATCCAAATCTGGAAACTTAGACAATATAAATTTTGGTGAGATTACCATCAATTTGGACATATATCTTCGAGAAATGCGAATTGTAGCGCCAATTGATAGACTTATTTCTTAGTAAAAGGCCTTGTGGGTACGAATATTAAAATAGTAGCATTTGTTCTAACTCTAAATGCCAGAGATCGGACACAGAAGAGCAGGCGTTGGGAGGCTCGCTTATGACAAGGATACAGTGCCAAGCGTGTTTGTTTCAAAAAGTGGCGCATATATAGTAAGTAACATTCGAATTGCTTTTTTCTTGTTTCACTTTCTTGAAGACTTTATTTCCACCTTATATATCTGTTAGGAGAGGTCTACAGCGACGTCTAGGTGCATGGTGCAATGTGAGATGATGTTGTTGAGACTTGTAGAAGCTGAATGCTAAGACTATGAATCTAACAATAACAGTAATATAAATGCAGAGAGAAACCGGATAGTGTAGCCCCACGATGAACAGCAATTTCCGAGCCCATGTTGTAATTCACTACTCCATACAATATATATCTGTCACCAAGCTCTTATGGCATGAGATCCTTTAAGAAAAGCAAATGAAAACATACTCCAAGCAATGATGATAATTGGCAGCGTGGTGGCTATTTTATACAATTTGAAATGGGACCTTAAAGAGTAATTTGTTATATGCATATAATTAGAAGGAATTGGAAATCATCACAGGAGGGCAGCCACTGCAGCCGCAACCATAGGAGCAGCGGTAATCAAAGCACCCGCGTGTCCAGCAGCACCGCCAGTTGACGCGGTAGTTTCTGCAGATGTAGCCGCTGCCGTTGCCTCGGTAGACTTGAGCAAATCCAGTCCTGCGGTTACCGTCAACTCGTAGTAGTTATCGGAGATTGGTGCCGTGGTGTAGGTTGCCTTGCTGGAAGTGGAAGACTCATATTTTTCTCCTTCCGTAGATCCTTTCATGCCCACACTCATCGTGCAGCTGGCGAACTCAGTTGAAGCTTTCAGAGAGCACTCATGGGACCGTGTGACGGTGATATCATAGCTGGTTTCCTTTTCCGAGTAGGATGCGATATATTTCTCATTGAGGCTCACTGTCTCTGGGCCTTGGATAATCGTCCACGGATCGGGGAAATTGCAATCTGTCTTGGGAGCGTCCTTTAGACAGTCAACTTCGTATGTAGCGACCCCGCTTTTGATGGCGACGAGGCTGGCGGCGGTGCTGGTAAACCCGCCGTACATGGGCACAGTCACATCCCAAGGAGGAGCGTAAAAGCCAACGATGGTGCTGCTGGCGTCGTCGGCTTGGGCGCTGAGTGTAGCAAGGGCTGCAGCGAGGAAAAAGCTGGTACGCATGTTGGTGGTTCTTTGTTTTTAGTACACGATGGATCGGGAAATTTAGAAGGTGCAGAGAGAGGTTATAAAATGCAATTATCGAGCAAAGCCCTTTAGATAAATAGTGCCAAGCTACTCATAACATAGGGGGTACGGAGTACATACTCCAGCCTCGGCCCCATTTGCCCGCCCCCAAACGGCTCATTCCCGAAAGTGTAGTACACGGAGTTTTCAAATGTTCTCTTATTGGCCTGGCTCCCTTTTCATTGATCATTCATTAGATACTGGAACGCTATAGCGAAGCGGGGATGGCGGTAATACCTGGCTATATTACTGTACTTTGTACTTCGTATAGGTTTTTAGCGATGAATGTAGCTGCAGGAAATTTCTAGAGGCTCTTAATTTCGGGAGGATAGGGCCCATAATTAGGATCCAAAACATACCCAATCTCATGATACTCTCATGAAGCTAGAGTGGACCAAACGAGGAAAGCCCCCGGACCTTCCGACGATTCTGCTTTTAAAGCTCTTTGACTCATCTAGGTTGCTGCCTACGGAGTACACTACGGGAAACTAATATTGGATGAACTCCCGGTGTGAAGCATAAAAGTTTGCTTAGAATATGGATTATTCTCGAAGTGGCGGCACTTAGTTTATAAGGCGGGTATATACCAAGAGGGAGTTTATTCGAGGTAATCTTATTCACATGGAAATAACTTTCCCTTATAATTTTCTCTTACAAAGTATGCTACTGACTAGTACTCAGTACCATATTCAACTCTTACTTTCCTGCTTGCTGCTATCACCAGTAAGCTGCGGAGATACTCAATTTCTTCATTTAAAGACATGGATTAATCTTGGCCATAGTTGCTCCTGGACCTCGATTAGCGTTCTTGGGTGTATCTTGCCCCCCTGGGAAGTCCACGGGTATTTTTGAGCCAACATTAAGCATTAATTTTCATCATCCAAATCAAAGAATGGCAAGGACAATAATCGGCAGAATGAGCAACTCAATCGCTATCTGGACAAAACACTTTTTCAGATGAAGTTCAATCAGCCACATAAACTGAGGAATGCCGAAAGCCTTCAATGCACTGCTAAATGCAGCAAGTCCTGGAGCGATTTTGCGTCCGCCTCGCAGCTCTGCAATTGTTGATCCGCGTTGCTTTGTGGGAGAAGGAATAAGTGTTTCTAATTTTCCCGGTAAAAGGCTTACTTCGGTCAATATGAGCGTGATAGACGCTGGCAGTAGTCCCAATAAACGGAATGCAAGCATGATGATCACTGCAAGAATTTCAGCACCGGCACGCCTACTCGTGGATATTGGCATTTCCCCCCGCGAGGTATCATTGAACCTTGTATTAGGCTCTGAGCCTCATTCATCAAGGCCTGGCATATCCCGTATGTAAAGCTGGGGACTGCTAAGTGCGTCCATTTTCTTTGGCCTATGTCTTTTGTCAAAGAAACGGGTTGAAGTGAATGTGCTGAGATAGTAGCACAAGTCCAGATCAAATGAAGTTGGCATAGTAGAACAGAGGAACAGGCGTATGCAAATGGTTTCAGCAATTGGTGTCTGAAAATTATAGTTTCCAAGCAAATTCTGATCGCATAATGAGTAACCTGATAGAAAACAGCTATCACGGGCGTAAGAGAGAATGCGTAGAGGCTCCGTGTACCAAAGATGAGACGTATAGCCCCGTAGATGGATCGGAAGGTCAGAGGCCGCTTTTTGTTCCCTCGTTCTTGATCCGAGAAAGAACCATCCGTTCGAGCAATCTCAATGATTAAAAGGGTTGCTACCACATGGCCAAGGAGATAACGAACCTAAGAATCGGTCATGATCAGTCAATTCAGAGAGACAAGAGGGAAAGAAACGGGAAAGAAACTTACCAAGCCGGAAATCAAAAGCTTGCCAAAAATGAGAATAAAGGAAGATAATGTGAACTCTTTGTGTATGGTCGTGGGAAGGAAAATACCATCAACTTGGCTTAGCAGATTTCCATCTCCTCCCGGGCTGATCAGAATGTTCAAGGCCTGTGAGGGTAAACTTCCAAATACCCGACTCAAAATGAGAAGCATTGCAAATTGTAAAGAGTACTTTTGGAGTGAGATTCACCCAAGAAATACCCTCGCAGTGAAGAAAGGGCTCTGACGCGGAGAAACTTAGAAAGAAAAAATTGGGGAGAAGATAGAATTTGAGGAAAAGAGGGGAGAAGGCGAAGGACACCTAAGGCGTTAGGCCACCTTATGGTGTTCACAGATAATAATGACATTATTTCTCTTGAATCATTCAACCAACGTATAACGTTTGTTCTTGCCGTATTAAGAACATTGACATCTCGCTTCATGGTACACACATTACTTCATAGTACATATACACAGAGCAAAGTATCCTTAGAAGCTTAGCCGTGCCAAGCAACCAACACCACCATAATCGTCTTCTTAACCCCACTATTCCTGTTAACGCGGGTGAGGCTGGAAAGACAATTATGATGTTGGGCTCTTGGCACGGCTAACCTTCCCAGTCAATTTGTTTTCCAGGCTCTGCATATATGTACTCCATAGTATGGTTCGAAATCTACCTGAGTCTCAACTACAAATGTATGTAGACAAATTTCGGACCTCGGGACGTTTATGCACCTATCTAGGTACTAATCGGGAAGTGGGGGCCATAAGTAAGGATCGGGCCGTTGTAGATTAACCACATAGGTACCAAGGTCCCAAGTTTCCAAGGAACCATCGGAATCAAATTTTATATTCTATGCCCCGGACATGTCAGGAAGTGAAAAGGCGAAGGTACGTGGTTGAATGCGACAAATGTACTCAATGGGAGCTGTTCCAGCCCCCATGTCCTCGCATACTCCAAAGAGGCTTTTCTCTTGCATATATCTTGCATATATGTAACCACTTAATTTTAGGTAGCAGAATCTATATTAATTTGTACATGCATTATGATTTTAACGAAATTGTATGCTCTTCAAAAGGGTATACTCTCTTGGTGGACAGATTGATGACATCTAGGGATAGGACGGGTAGCCCCGGGGAGTAGCCTTGGAGATAAGCACTACGTCGTACCTCTAGACATTGAACATTCCTTTCTCACTTCTCAGTATTTCTGCTTTTTTCTTTCACTTGTTTTAAAATTGCATCCTCCAACATCTACTTCGAAATGTCAGACACCAATTCCAAGTTCCGCGATCTACCCCGCGCCGCGGGGCCCTTGATCTGCCCATACAAGGTGACCACACAAGTCTGCATATTGTTCATACAAATTCCGATTCTCACATATAACTAGGGAACACCGGTCCTGCTATCGCACAAATTCAACAAAGGCTCCGCCTTCCCAGACCATGAGCGAGCAGAATTCAAGCTCCACAGTCTCCTCCCGCCAAACATCCAGACATTGGAGGAGCAGGTCCAGCGTGCTTATCAGCAGTATCAAACCAGGCCAGACGACCTAGCCAAGAATACCTTCCTGGCTAGCATGAAGGCGCAGAATGAAGTGCTGTACTTCAAGGTTCCGACATCTCCCGGCGAAAGCAATATCAGCATGTGCACTATCACTGATTAATGAATAGCTCGTGCAAACCCACCTGAAGGAGATGTTTAGCGTGATATACACGCCTACCGAAGGCGAGGCGATTGAGAATTACTCGCGGTTGTTCAGGAAGCCGGAGGGGTGTTTCCTGAATATCAATGACCAGGATCACATTGACGAATATCTCGCTGCGTTTGGGACCGAGGAGGATGTTGATTATATTGTCGTCAGCGATGGGGAGGAGGTAATTATATTTCTGCTTACGGGAGGATTAGTGCATGATCTTGCTTACCATTGACCTGTTTGCAGATATTGGGCATTGGGGACCAAGGTGTAGGCGCTATTCTCATATCGATTGCCAAACTGGTTCTTACCACGCTCTGCGCTGGAATCCATCCTTCACGACAGCTTCCGGTTGTACTGGATTGCGGGACAGATGTAGGCATACTTACTCTCTGGTTAAATCTACGTTTACTGAAACTGTGAATAGAACGAAGGGTTGCTCAATGACGTCCTGTATCTAGGCCTGCGACAGCGCCGGGTCCGAGGGGAGAAGTACGATGAGTTTGTGGATAGATTTATCAAAGCTGCCCGCAAACGATTCCCCAAAGCTTACATTCACTTGTATGATGTTTTTTTCTCTATTGTTTGAAGCACAGCTAACAATACTAGTGAGGATTTCGGCCTCAATAATGCACGGAGGATACTCGACAAGTATCAGCCACAGATACCCTGTTTCAATGACGACATCCAAGGCACGGGGTGTGTCACACTCGCTGCCATGTTGGCTGCCCTTCATGTCAGCCAAGTCAAACTAGAAGAAGTCCGAGTCGTGATCTTCGGCTCTGGGACGGCTGGTACTGGCATTGCCGATCAGATTTCAGATACCATCGCTACTGAGACGCAGAAGTCAACGGATGAAGCATCTAAGCAGATATGGTATGTAACAGTGACATAGGAAGATAGCACCCGACTAATACGGTTCATTCATCTAGGTGCATCGACAAGCCCGGTCTCCTTGTAAAGTCCCACGGTGATCAGTTGACAGAAGGCCAGAAACCTTTCGCACGAGATGATGCCGAGTGGTCAGATGGTGATCGAGATCTTCTGTCAGTCATCAAAAAGGTCCACCCCCATGTGCTTATTGGGACATCTACCAAGCCTGGAGCATTCACCGAAGAGATCATTCGTGAGATGGCCGATCACGTAGAGCAACCGATTATCTTCCCCCTCAGCAATCCAACACGACTCCACGAAGCGAAGCCGGTTGATCTCTACGAATGGACTGATGGGCGAGCCCTCATTGCGACAGGCAGTCCATTCCCGCCAGTTACCCACAACGGCACGACATACGACATCGGTATGTATTTAAATCTTGCATTAAGCATTGAATTCTCAGTATATTAACCACCGTATCTCAGCGGAATGCAACAACTCAACTTGCTTCCCTGGCATTGGTCTTGGAGCAGTCCTCTCACAGTGCCGTCTCATGTCTAAGAAGATGCTAGTCGCTGCCGTGGAGGCACTCAAGGCGCGGTCACCGGCCCTGAAAAACCCTTCTAAACCGTTGCTACCCGATGTGGAAGATGTGCGTGAAATCAGTGTGGATATTGCCGCGGCAGTGATTTTGTGTGCTGTGGAGGAGGGACTGGCACAGGCAGAGGGCATTCCTACCACCGACTCGGAGCTACGAGAGTGGATTCGAGTCCAGATGTGGGAGGCTGAGTACCGGCCTCTTGTTTATAAGGATTAATACCAAGCTTGTATTAGCATGAATTGTAGTTTGTGCCTTGGAGATACTCTGCCCCTTTTCCTTTTCATAGCAACTATTTTCCAATACAGTGATGACCCCCTGCTTAAACGACAAGAGAAGTCTGAGATTTAAACATCCTTCGTCTTGCCTAAACTAGGTATCTCCTACAAACCAGCTTTTATCTTACATAGAATATTAGATTAGCAAAGTCAGATTCGTCCACTGTATGGTCTTGATCCAAAGGTATTGAGACATCGTCATGCTCACATGCTCCCATGCCCATGCAGCTCGTGTCTTCCAAGCCTTGAATGTTCACTTCTTTCTCTTCTTCTCTCAATCCGGTGCCTGGATAGTGAGTGCACACAGGTTTCTTCTCCATTAAGATCATGTATCTAATAGAATTCTCTAGGCTTTACGTTCAGATAACTTGACATCCGACCTTATCTATAAAAACCGCGTATAACCTAGATTGTAATCCAACTATGCCGAAGCCAAGTAGAAATTCTCAGTATATCAAGCTCATTACACTTGCATAGTTTCATGCTGACAATTACCACACCGATGGTGAGAACACATGGGACATCTGGACACATCCAAGAAGGGATTGACTATATTATCACAGCTGCAGCATCTCCACCACACCGCTTGTCCTCCCTTTATTCCACTGTATGATGTTTTGGACAACGGAGCCGGTTCACGTAGTGGCTCATCACTGTGTTTGTTGTCGTAACCGAGGTCATCACCCCGAGAAGGTCCTTCCGCTGGCGGGATAATGCACATGATTTCTTGTGACTGCTCAAAGCATGTTTGCCCAAGTACCTGGCTATCGCTTTTGAAGAGATTCCCTTTGAATATCAACCTAATTCGATTTGTGTCTGTTATGCCGAATTTTTCGGCTGCCATCGCTCGGATTACACCGACGGTCACCTCCCCCTTCGTAACCGATATTTTAGGGACTGGCAACGGATATTGGGTCCCCTGGCAACGAAGTAAAATCTGCTCCGTCCCTATATCATCATTTGTACTGGTCACAGGGAGTTTTGATAATATGGATTCGCCATCGACTCTTTGGATTGCTCGCAGCACATAATCCAAGTTTTCAGTTTCCATCAGTCGATCATGGTCGGGCAGCGGACTAATAACCATAGAAATTTGGTAAAGCTGAGTGACTGTTTCCACGATGGTTTTGAAAATGTGAGAGACCTCGCTTTCGTTGAACTTAAGATCGGCAATATTTTGATCTCCATCGAGCTGATCTTCTAAGATCCTCAGGGCTTCTTCTTGTGTGATTTCCCCCCAATCTTCCTCCAGCGCCTTCTCAAGAGTTTGCAAGAGCTCTTCAAGTCTCAGCAAGATCCTGACTGTCTGGTCTTTGATCACTGGCACATCTTTCAGGCGGTAATCTAGCGATAAATCTCCCGTGTGATGCGCCCCGGTATTTGCTGCCCAAATTCGAATCCGGCCACGTTCGTCTATCCATTTTTCTATGGGAACCTCGCCTTTGTGCGCTGCGAGCCCTGGTAAAAGGAGTATTTCTTGGAATTTATCGAGGACACTCAAAGAGCAATCGATTATCCAGCGCATGATTTTTCGATCAGTTTTTACAAATTCACACTTGCGTAGTCAGGGTGCTGATGCTTGTCTTTGGTCTTCTGGGCGAAGTGATTGGCCCCTAAAACGATGGACAATATGAGGCTAAGGTCAGCATATAGCTGCGGGGTAGGTACCTACCTAGGTAATCTACCAGGAAATTAGTTTGCAATCACTTCATTAGCTTTCCCTAATAAACCTGGTCAGAAATGGCCACTGGTATTGAGGCAGCAGGACTTGCGCTAGCTGTGATTCCTCTTCTAGTCAATCAAATCGACGGATATGCCTGAGGCATAGAGAAGATACGGCTTTTGAGACACTGTCACAGAGAGCTTCTAACCTATCATATGGGTCTCAACACACATCATGCCATTCTTCAATGTACACTGGAAAAAGTGCTTGAAAATGTTGTAAACGACGAAGAGGCAGTCGCGGTTCTCATTCAAAATCCCCAAGGCGATGGGTGGGAAACCCCAAGCTTGAAAACAGCACTTCAACACAAGCTTGGACGAAACTTCAGGCTGTTCCATGAAAACATGAACTCCTTATCTGAGCTATTAGAGCGGCTCTCGAGAAAATTGGAGTTACCCGCGATGAAGACCGATGTGAGCAAACCTTGGAACCTTAGAATCCAGTTTCCACCAGCTAATCCTTTCAAAGCATAGCTCTACCGACTTCCGTTCCTTTCGGAAATTCTGGAAAATCCTTTCGAGGGCAGTATACGACGACTTACTGGGGAAAATTGAAGCGCCAAATACTACACTTCGAATGTTGGTCGAGCAAGAAAACCACCAAGAGGAGAGACGAGAACGCCGAACACCCTGGACCAGCCTTCTCAGGCGGTACCAAAACGAACGGCAGCATATAGAATCCTTGTTTCAAACAGTTAGTGATTCCTGTTGGCAATCTCACTGCCGGGAGCATCATTGCGTCCATCTCCCGCTCCAGCCCTACCCAACTGAGTATGCCAATAATCCCCTCCAGCTAGGGGCTGAGCCCAGTTTTCATTTTATCTTCTCCAACATTCACACCACTAGCCAGATGGGTGTATGGGATTGGAGAGAGGTCATTTTCAAGCCGCGAGAAACTGACAACTCTCAAAATTACATGCCTCCTTTGGCCGGGCAATCAAGACAACAGAAAATATCAGACCTTTGCTCATCACTCCAGAGTCTCAAACCGCTTCCTCAAGAACAAACCACAATCGGGTTTATCTCAGAAGGCTTCAACCCAACCTATCGATACACTATGCATGCAGTACAAAGCCTGCAGCGAAATCCCCGAAAACAAACTCTGTCCGAAGCGTTGACCTCCTGCAGTCGTCGTGATCGACTGTATATAGCCGCTAGCATTGCCTGTGCCGTCCTACAGTACCATGGAAACTGGCTCACGGGTCGATGGGACAGCTCCAATTTTCATCTCGCCGCGGAAACACTGAATAGTCTATATCTATCGTGGCCTCTTTCTACACTCGGTGCTACAAAAGCCGAATCTACACGGTCTAACTCGGCAAAACGAGAGGCTGTTTTACAATCTCTTGGAGTCAGCCTGGTGGAACTCTCGCTAGGACGGCCTCTAGACGTATTACTATCCTCAAAAGATGAAAGCCATGATAGGAAAAAGATGATTATTGACTCTGTATTGAATATTACAAAAGAGGTACGTCTAGAAAGTGGCTGGCACTATGCGAGTGTTGTGGATAGTTGTCTTTCCTGGTCTGGCGTGAGTAGTATCTGCCGCGAAAGCCATAGCTTCGAGGAGCGAATTTTTGATAAAATCGTCTCTCCTTTACTAAAAGATGTGATGGTCTTTGACGGAAGGACTTGATTTCAACAAGAATATTCGATATTAGCCACAAGTGAAAGTATCAAATGAATCATCTTGAAGCCCATAAATGATATCGTAGATGTATACTAGCAAATAGATAAATATCAGACCGAAAAATCGTCATGCGGAGCAACACAACCGTCTATCAGCTCTGGCTGCGATACCTCTTGCTTGCAAGCCAGAAATCATCATGCAAATGTAATATCCTACAAACTATTCAATAATATGGAACCTATGTGAGCCAAAGACGAAAAAAAAACCAAAGCTAGAAAAACCGGGCGATTAAAACAAATTGACTTATGGAACCCATAAACGCATGAATCCTACAACTTCCTGGCGACAAGTCACGCAGCTACCGAAGTTGTTCATGGCAAGGCTAACGCGACAGTCCTCGCAAATACATAGACAGCGACAGGGCCAGGTAATGATGGCGCGTGGGCTTGTTTGGCAGACTACACAGGGCGGGCCATTGGGTCCGAGGCCTGTTGCGCCGGATTCCCACGTATGGGCATCGGAACTGCCTGATGTTTCTGAGCGACGGGAAAGGATGAGCTTCTCGAGGAGTTCAGCTTCCTCTTCGGGTGTAGGTTTCCGCCCTTCGGATCCTGATTGCATGGCGTTGAGCTGCTGGAGGCGGGATGAGAAAATGATCCGGGATCTCTCTTTTTCAACTTGTTTCTGGTAGCGACTGCGCGTCATGATCTGTGGATTTTCGTGGTTTGTTTTGAGATGGGCGGCTAGAATCCTGGCTTCTTCTCTACTGTCGCGATCGCGTGGGTCAAGGAGACGGGCGAGTGTGGTCATGTCAATCAGGGGATCTTGGAGTGGTGGGCTTCCTCTATCTGCATACGGTTCGCGTTGGGTAGGAGTGCGACGACCATCTTCTGATGGGTCGTCTTCCCATTCCGACTCCGAGGCATTGGTAGACATGGACACGAAGCTCGTGGTGTCAAAGTCATCAGAAGGCGGGGAATAATCAGAGGTTTGATCGTGGTTACCCCATGCACCGCCGATTTTCCACCAGCTGTACAGTCTATCGTCTAAGCGGCTTTCATCCGAGCTCATCCAATCTGCACGATTCGCGCGCTCTCGCTTTCTCATCTCGATCTCAACATCAAAGTCATTGTCATCAGGGAGCTCAAGCTCTCCATTTTCTGAGAGAATCCAAAAGTCTAATGGCTGCGATGGGTTCATCTTGCTGTCATCAGATTTCTTTCCACGATGACCCACGATGCGTTTCAGCCACATCGGCCGAGCGCTTATTCCCAGTCGATCAAGCACGTTATTGAGTCCATATGCAAGCCAACGAAGAATTATGAGAGAAATTGCGCGGAAGAACGAGAGGACATGCCACAATCTAACAGATACCCGTACTGCGCCAACTCCCCCAAGCTCGGCTCGAGATTGCACGGCTCGAGCACCATTCTTAGGTTTCTCAATCTTCTTTTCACGGTTATAACCACTCTCCCAGGCAGATTGCTCTGGCATATCGAAACTTGAGAAACCCATAGCCTCGATAGGCCGACTGTTGGTCTCGTTCTGCCAGTTTCCATTCCCATAAGACGAAGACTTCCGCCTCGAAGCTTCAATCTCAGAAAGTCGATCTTCTTCTAACCAGGTCATCCGCCGTGCAATGACTGATTGGCCCTCGTTCAAGAACACAGCTTCACTTGCCGCGGTTAGTGCAACATAGCCAATTCGAAGCAATGTTGTATAAAAATCTTCGTGTCTGTTTATACGGATGCTCCTTATCTGGTTCGAGCCTTGCATATTCTCGTGGGCCATCAAGAAACGGTCATAGAGTGAGACAGGTCGATCTTCTGAGGGCAGTGAAACAGCGGTGATGGTAAGTGCCAAAGTGTATATCGAGAGGCAAATCACGATGCCGCCCAATAAAAAGATATGAGGGATGAATCCCACAATGCAAACAGTCGGGAACCTGAGCACACCGGTTTCAAGGCTGATAGGCGGACCGCCATCTAATCCCCACGACATCGCTACCATGAAGCAAGCACCCCAAAAGGCGGTGCTGAAAAGTCGATATTTGCTCTGCTTCCCGAAGACTTCCAGTATGTGGGAGGTTGCACTATTGCAGCACGAGATCAATACAATAAGTAGAAGTTCCGGTGTGACATTCATGCGTTCCAAGACTTGCGATCTTGTGAGAAGGTCAAAGACCGAAGTTGAGGTGTCATCGGAGCCACTCGAAAGCGCACTGAGGGGGCTTTGTTTAGGAAGACCGAATAGGCCGAGTCCGATGGACTTACTGATCATCGACTCAGCTTCTGCGAAGGCGATTGAGTGTTCGAAGATGGACATTCCCGTTTCAGTCATCACAGGCCTGCCTTGTAATGCGCATGAGAGTGTTTCAATAAAGTGACTCAAGCAAAGGAGCATGAATGTCGGCCAAAGTAGAGAAAACGATCCATATGGGACACCAGGGTTGGTTCCGCGCGCCATCTTCACAGCATTGCACGACCGTTCCTCAGACTCCCATCCCAAAAGTGTCGAGCTAATCGAGTAAAGAACACCTCCATCACTAGAATAGTCGAACGCGAGTTGCTTTCCGGGGTATCCGTAGCGCGTTGTTGAGAAAGACGGCGATGTCTGACATCGGATTCCACGGAGCAGGCCGAGGATTTGGGAGGCGAAGAGAATTATAGGTATCAGTCGGAGAGCTGCACGCCTTTCCCAGCCTAGTCGAAGGTGTCGTCGTGTGGATGCATAGATAGTAATTCGGTTGAGGATGAGGGCCTAGACCTATCAGCATGGTAAGTATACAATTCGAGAGTGGGGTCTCACCTCCACCAGACAGGCGAATGACCAAAGACTTGTCAGATACCCAAAGAATCCACCGAGCTTCTTCATGGCGCCCAAGAACTCAGCAATGTAGTAGCCACTCTCCGTGCCGGCTACATCGGCTAACTCATTTCCAGCCATATCCGCTGCATGTGTTGCAGCCGTACCGCTGGCTACAGCTGCGGAACCTGTCCCGCTCCAGATGCTTTGCCCTAGGGCTTTGACTCCAGTTATTCTCGCGAGGGTTTGGGGAACCGTTTGGAGGGCAAAGGTCTCGGCGTGTTGCAAGACGCGAAGGGGGGAGGTCAAGAGTTGATGCGGTAAAGATGACAAAGAAGAGGTTTCCGGTGATAAAGTTGTGTTCAAATGTTGTAACAAAGCTGCGCTAGATGTGGTTGGTATTGTGGAGGGTTCCACGACGCCTGACATGATGTGTCGGTGTTGTATGCACCTCTGCGGGTGGCCCTTATCGGTGGTCCGGGGGAGATGCAATCAACACGCAATGCCGCCAGTGCATTCGACTGTTAGCGCAGGTGAATGGGATATTCAATAGTCGGAAGAAGTTCTGACTAGACTGGAGAGCACAGTGAGCAATGCTCCTGTGAACTGCATCCCGCAAATTAGAATGTATGAAAGAGTGATCTCCACGATGAGGCGGGCACTTCCTTGGAATTTGGCCCCGGTGGAGCCCTGAGATTCCGGTGGCTGAGTCAGCAAATACCAGCCCCTGGGCCTGGAGCTTCAAGTTGATAGACTCTAGCCTGTCTTAACTATAGCTATGACAAAAATATTATGCATGGTTTTTTATTCAATTTGTCTCCTATGATCCAAACCCTTTGCCAGTGGTGGATTGACAAGCGCGTTGTCATTGGAGTTATCATCGGAAGTGTTGATCTGCCATCATCTTTAGACAAACTCGGCCATAGATGTATCAACCGGTTGTGAATGCTCAGATGGGGATAAAGGTCTTCTGCAGAAGTATAGAATACAGATAGAGGGAAAAAAGAAAATATTTGCATAGTATTACATACATTATATCCCATAGAATACATGTCATGCTATAATGCCATGACCAAGTCTGTGCAAGCTAGTCCGGAACTCCATGGTATTGTCGTAAGATTTGAAAGTCCTATATCGTTGCGCCGTGAATTATTTCAAAAATGAAGTGAGCTGGAACAAGGATAACCGAGAACCTGAGGCCTCAGTCAGGGAGATGATGAGAAACCAAAGGTCAAAGGCACCACATACAGATCACGTATCCAAGTAATCAGCCGCCATCAAGAGCTCCAGGCACAACTCAGGTGGAATATCCATGTCCGGCACATTGACCTGGTCCTTGTGCTTTTCATTGTAGCAGAAATATTCGCAGACCTTTTCGAGAACGGCGCCACTGCAGAGAAACAAGAATTCGTTAGCCATGTCCACCAAAATAACGAGGCTTATAAGTGCAAGACGTACCGTAGTTCATCCAAATTACAGCGCCCGGTGCTACCCTCTTTGTATTTGCCTGTAAGTGGTTAGTACAGCGTACACCAACGGGTCTCGCCTCCACGTACTTGAAGCGAGCCTGAGCCGGATGGTGCTTGAGACACAAGCCGCGCTGCGAGGGATAATGAATTCAAATCCGTCATTTGAGACTAAAGTCACAAACTCAGATTCCGTGGATTGCGCCATGACGAAGCACGCGTATTCGCGTAGTTGTAGGAAATTGACCGCTGTGGAGTGGAAGAGCCTTCTGAGGTTGGCGTGTTGGTCCGTGCTGAAGCTGCCCCAGTGACGCACCCGATCCTCCCGATATCGCGTTTTGCTTGGAGTTCAGACAAGGTAGAAACAATATGGAAAGGTTAAGAGTTCCTCTGGTTCGCTTACGAGTACCAATCTTATTTTCTCGAGACTCATCAAGGCCCATCAATTTACGCAATGTAGGCTACGCCGACAGCCAAGTATCAAGTCATCCTCTAAGATATACAAAGCGATCATACTCCTCTCAGTCAAATGAAAACAGCCACATTTCATTTCAGTCTGGAAACCGCCTTGCCGGCCGAATATGCATGATAACCGGTGGGACATCTGGCATCGGCTTCGCCATTGCCGAACGATTTCTTCAAGAAGGGGCATCGACTATAGTCCTCGTCGGCCGATCTCAAACACGCCTAGAGGAAGCAGGCGCAAAACTTGAGTCTCTCACAATTACAGAACCAAACCTTGGTGAAAGCGAGAGTGAAATCGCAACTCGCGCTCCAGAAGAAGACAACCAGCAAAGCGCACAAGGAAATATTCGTCTACTTGTCGGAGACGTCTCAGATGCCGGATCATGGATGCGGGAACTCGAGAAGGAAATGGTAAGGTGTCTTTCTACCTTAACGGATAGTCCCCTTCTAACTGCCATCCAGGCGAATGTAGATATCCTGGTCAACGCGGCAGGAATTTCGATATCGAGCATTCTGCCAAGATCCGAGCTTGAAGATATCTCCACAATCCTACGTACTAATCTCGAAGGCGCAATTCTCACTTCGCGCGCACTAATGCGTGCCTCAATTCGGAGCCGGATACGTAATCGGACTGATCCAGCTACGGGGACCAAACCTCCCTCGAAATGCATTATTAATGTGTCTTCTCTACTTGCGCTCAAGAGCGGAACTGGCGCAGTTCCATACGCTGCTTCCAAGGCTGGCCTTCTCGGTCTGACACGGTCATTGGCTGTTGAGGCATCGGCTTCAATGAAAGATATTGTGATTCGGTCGAATGTTATCGTGCCGGGGTATATTGAAACACCTATGGTTGCAGGTAAGTCTTTTGGGGCACTCTATATTTGTTCGTGCATTGGCTGATCTCGATCTAGACTTCACACCTGGGGAAACGAGCAGGCTGAAGAATCTCATTCCTCTGCATCGATTTGGAGATCCACGCGAGATCGCTGATGCAGCTGTGTTCTTGGCGCAGAACGAATATGCCAACAATTGTGTGCTCAATCTTGATGGTGGACTGAGTGCTGTTTGATTCGATTACATTATCCTAAAAATGGAAGATAATTGTCAAGCAGGTGGGGCCAAAAACAGGAGAATAAAAGAAGCATTGAGAAGCATAGTTAAAACTAAATGTGCAACAAAATCAAGCAGGCGAATACCCCCGTAGCCACTGGGCAATCTCAAAATGATCTTCCTTTTCTGCATAATCTGCTGCCTGATTACACACTAGCCTCAGATCATCTTGTTTTCCATATGCATTGAGAAGCAGTTGGACCATTTCCAAATGACCGCGCTCCGCAGCTCCATCGATTGCTGTTCTTCCTTCATTTGGTGCAGCTGGTGCAGACACGTCTGCCCCGCGTTCAAGAAGCCGTACAGCAAGCTCAAACATTCCATTGATTGAAGCGGCCTGAAGTGCAGTAACACCCCAGTATTCCGCTGGTAAGGCATTTACATCTGCGCCATGCTCCAGTAGAAAATCGGCTATCTTGGTATTACTGTATTTGATAGCTTCTTGAAGGGGCGTTCCATGATAATGAACAGCATGAGTATTGACAGCAGCACCACAGTTGACCAGAAAGCGGCAAGCCTTAGGATAGCACCTGCCAGCTAGTCGTTGAAGCATAGTGCTGCCATTATCCTTGCGGCAGTTTACATCTGCACCCGAATCCACTAAAAGCTGGATAATCTCGAGCAATTGTTCAGGGTTGTCTTCCTCTTCCTCGTTGTAGCCCTGATTAGCAGGAAATGAATTCCATCCTTTTCGAATGACATTGCAGCGGAAAGGTGGTGCCAGTGAGCTTGCTTTCTCAATTAGCACCTTGAAAGTATTCATGTCGACAATGTCGTATTCGAGAGCAACTTTCAGTGTATCCTCCCACCCAGGATGTTTTTCAAAATCCGAAACCTTTGCAAAAATTAGATTAACGATCTTCAGACTTGATCTGGAGCGTATTGAGCATATCAGAGCACCTTCGAACTGTATATCAGAGTTTTCGGCATAGACCATGGCAAGAACGTCGGCACCATGTCGCAGCAAAAGATCTACCATATTTTCGGCGTCTTTTTTGATAGCCTGTCCAAGAGGGCTAGCTTCAGAAGGGTCAACGGTCTCCATATCGTAAAGTTCATTAGACAGTGCTGGATCAAAAATAGGTTCATTAACAGTCGCCTCGTGGTCTAGGAGAAATTTCACCCCTTCAAGCCAGTCCAGACTGGCAGCAAGTCGAAGGGGAGTTGGGAGCTTAGGGTCTCCAGGATTGACTGTTGCACCACTTTGCACAAGTAACTCGAGAAGCGGCAAAGACCTGTGGTGCATAGCTGCCAGAAGAGCAGTAGTACCATTTTTAGTGGCTGGAGCGTTGACTTCTGCTCCAAGACTAATCAGGTCTCTCACTAGTCTAATATCTCCGAAACTGGCTGCTGCTTGGATCGAAGTTAATCCTGTCACCGTAGACGGGGCTGCGTTCACATTTGCCTGGTGCGCAAGAAAAAATCCGGCCATTAGGGAATGGCCATTCAGACAGGCTACCTGTAATGCATCCAGGCCTTCTATCGCTCCTGCTGGTGCATTCATATTCGCTCCTGCCTTCTGGAGCATCAACAGAATCTCCCAGTTACCACTTTCCGCCGCCGCTTGCACTGCGCTTCGACCACTGGAAACTGCAGGTGGAGCATTGACATCGGCACCGCCGCGCAAAAGGAGTCGAAATATTTCAACGTTGCCTAATACTGCGGACATCTGTAAAGGCGTATCGCCCATATGTAGTCCCACACGTGAGTCCGAATCAGCTCCGATGGTAAGCAAGAGCGCAACGACGCTCAAATTCTGATTTAGAACTCCATACTGCAAGGCGGTATATACTGAGTTATGAGCATTATACCGTGATGGATGGTCATGTACTCCGTTGAGTTTGTATTTTCCCTCCCAATTAAAATGGCCACTGCGGTAGATGCAGTATTTCATCAAACTAGGGTGCATGGAGATTTCGCAAGCTATCGTGGACGCTCCTTGCTCCAGCAAAAATTGAAGAAGAGCCATGTCGTTCCTTTTTGCAGCAAGCTGAACAGGGGTTTGCAACGCTATCGTGATGTCCATTATTCCCAAGTCAAACCATTGATACTGCTGGAGAAGCTGAGGATCCGGACCGTTAATGGCCGCTCCAGATTGAATGAGATATTTGGCCACCTCGAAATGACCTCCCCAAGCTGCAGCTTGCAAAGCAGTTCCACACTCCTGAGGGATGTATATATCGACTCTAGCTCCTGCACTGAGAAGAAGTTTCACAGCCCCCAGGCTACCAGTACGTGCCGCATCAATCAGAGGGAATCCAGGCTGCTTTCCTATGACGAATCTCTCAGGATCAGCACCTAGAGCGAGCAACACATGTAGCATCGAGAGGTGAGAGTCCCAATAAGAATTATCGTGCAATACCCATAAGGTCCCAAATTTGAGCTTAGGGGGGACCCCTGCTTCACACAGCAGTTTAACCATGCCCTCGTCTCTGTGGTGGAACGCCATTGAGAGGTAGCCGGCCCATCGTGGACTGTGAGAGATATGATCTGGCAAATTGGCCTCGTGGTGGATCAGTCTTTTAATAAGAAGTGTATTTCCAGACTCAAAAGCACTGCTGAGGACCATTCCCGCAAATACCTTCATTGAAGGTGACTTTGGACGACAGAGAAAGACGAGGATATCAGCACCAAAATTGCTCACAATCTGGTCACAAACTTTGTTAAATTGAAATTGATGTATCAAGTTGTTGGTTGACAAAAAGAAAATTCGTTGTAGGAAGCCTGTGAGAACCGAAGCTGGAGAATCTTTCCGTAGTGTCCCTAGCTTTCCAGTCGATGAACCTCTTCTCTTTATTTCTTCAGGTGGAAGATAAGTTGGAAGTTCACAGTCATTTGGGGAGTCATTGCCCCAAAATCGTAGCATGTGATTAGGGGATTCGGAAGAAAGCTCTTTTATGGCTATCTCAATGGAGGTATTGGGGATTGAGTGGGCGATGCTCCATTTTAGTCTTTCGGAGACTAGAGATTTCGTTAGTTTCGGCCAAAGGAAATAGAAGAAACCCCCTATAGGTTTGAAAGTCTCGACATCAATCAAGCAAACAGTCACTCCAACGCACTTACCCAGAGTGTGTATATCCTGCGTGTATTGGTACCAAGGAATGCCACAAAGAAGGGCCTCGCGAGATATGCCAGATGACTCTGCTAGGGGCGTAGAGACAGTGATGTAATCTGGGAGCACGGCATTTTCAGATCTGGGCCCTAACTTGATTGAAGAAACATGTCGTGCGATTTCTTTGTCGACTTTTTGTCGCGTGAGCTTTCGGTCGTGGAACGCAAAATCGCTATCTTTGCCTTCTTGTTCTCGCTTTCGCTTGACAGAGGCAACACTGCCCCAAATGCTTCCGGGAAAGTATTTCGTTACGCCCCATGATTTCAGCTTTGCAGTGTATTGGTTTTTACTAGTGATAGCGATGACAGTGTCAGACTTCGGGTTGATTTGCAATGTAGACCGGAGAAAGCTAAAGATTGCACCCACGTAGCTTCGAAGCCATATCTCTCCTTCATGTAAGAAATTGTTTCCTGCAATGTATTATCGGACTCGAAATAGAAAGTGATGAGCTCTTCTCGGTGTTGTGCCCATATCTCATCCGGAATTCGGGGAGCAGTAGGCGGCATTGTGAGGAGAAATCACAGATTTAGAGAGTCTGTAATTCTAAACTTCGATTCTCTTGCTGCAAATATATAATAAATTTCCTGCGGTGTAAGCATCTTTTCGATACCCTTGTTATTGGCGTGTTCAACTATCAAGACTGTAAAGCTGATTGGCCGATACCCAAATCTGCTTTCAGGGGCACAGCCTCAATCTAAGGCCGACTCATCATTGCTCAACACCCAACTCTGGTAGATGATATATCCAACTCCAACTCTCAAGTGACTCTCCAGAAGTTGGGTTTGGAAAAGATGGGTTTCCCTTATTGGGCCTTCTGGGGCTAAATACGACATTCTCATTTGCTTTTATCAAAATCCGATTCTGCTACAAAAGTACACAAGTGCCATTATTGCACAGGCCATCACCACAATATGGTTTCTCACCCGTAATGCTGGATATTTTCCTAAGCATAAGCCAGAATCTGGTTTTGCCTTGAAATATATAAACACTTCAGTCCCACAAAGATGTTCTTTTCTTCAGGAAGCGACTAAGATGCCCTGGTCCATAGACACAACACTATCATTGCTTTCGCTTCTCATTACCGGGACTTCGTCTATCTTTATGATTTGGGATCGTGTCACACATGTATATAAGAGATATTTTTTCAAAGGTGAGGCTATCAGAGCTCGTAAAGCAGAAGTACCTAACCCGTCTCCCAGAGTCAGACACCAAAATTTCGAATGTCAGAGGGCTACAACAACCAAGGAACACAGACCCAGAGGCTCTGCTCGAGGCAGGCCTACATATTCAGAATCTCCAAATGGATCTCGAAGTTCGTTGCTGACTCGCCGATGTGTTTCGTTAAATTGAACTAACACTACCTAGGGCTTCGAACCGAAACCAAGTCGCAGAACTAAATCGGCATAACAATGGCTCATCTTAACCACATTGCAACTTTATTTTCATACTCTGACTATTCTGGGCAAAAGCGCATATTATGTTCAGGGATTCGAGATATAGATGGAGGAGAATGCAGCGCATGATATATAGCTTCGCCTGACGTCGAGGCTCAACGTCCAGCAATTGCATAGAATAGAGTTAAGGGGGATTTTCAATAAAGGGAACTCCTAAACTAAAAAGTTGGGACATAGATTGTTCATCAATATCGATTTGCAGACTATGAACTGTCCTGTGCCATACAAACTTTAAATATCATAACACTCAAACAGCCGTAACAAATATGTCATCCACAATCAAACCAGTCGATCCACCATTGATCTTAACAAATGCAGTAGTAACGGTGGCACTTTGTGTCGCAAAGCCCAGAGTAACAGATTCACCGTCCACAGTAGCAGTCGAAGCACTGTCCGAGAAAGCGATTTCCAGAATTTGCCATTCCCCTTGTCTGTAGGGTGTAGCAGCAACAAATTGCACGGTAGCAGACTTAGAAATCCCCTGGATTTCCACCGATGGCAATGTGCCAGTGCCAGCGGGAGTCCAAATTCTCAAATTAAGGCGGAACGGAGCAGTGAGGGAAATAGGTCTGGTGATTGAAGCACCAGAAGCGAGCGAAAGCGAATTACCTAGCCCGCCAGAGGGGTCCGCTACAACAGATGCCGTTCCCGTGGTGGTCCACCCGGATAGACTCGAGTCATCGAAGCGAGTAATCCATGTCGGAATCTTTGTTCCAGCACCAGAGTAGAATCCCCGATTCTTGTGCACGCTTGTGGGATTATTGAAGAAATCCACGGCTGCATCACCTGGTACAGTGGTTGCAGAATCCAAGGTGGCATATCCGGTCAAGAGTTGGTACGCCTTCGGGTCCCTCAATCCAGGAGCGGCTAGACCTGGTGCACCAGTGAACGAATTGGTAGCGTTAGAGTAAGTGTCGATGGAGCCGTAGAATGCATTGTTGTCCACGGCAAATGTAGTGTCACTCAATCCCCACTTAGCTGTACCAGAGCCTTCTTTCCTGAAGATGTTGTTGGTAAGTTGAACATCGAGGGTTGCGGTCGTGGCTTCTGTAACGATGTAGGGCGAGAGACCATCTCCGATGAAAACAGTGTTTTTATAGATCTTTCCCCCAACGAGAGCTCCGGCGCAAATCTGGAAGATTCTTGCCCGGTCATTGATGGACAGGTTATATCTGATGGTGAAGTTTTGAGTTGGCTTATCGTAAGGGCAAAACAAGAAAAATCCACCTTCATTGTCATGAGAGACATTGTATTCGAAAAGAGTACCCGAGGTCGAATGGTCCACATCATAAGACATTCCTAATCTCGAATTAGTTTGGCCCAGTCAACGTATAAGATTCAGAATGCATACCATCATTTGTCGTCTTTCCACCTGATACAGTATTATATCGGAAGACAGAGCCAACACTGTTCGCGGTCCATAATCCCGCATTCGGGGACTGGGAGCGCTGGTTGAAACCAACAAGAGTGTTGTTCAGGACCTCGGCATCATTGTTTCCCTTGACAACGATTCCATCTCCGCCAATATCATACAAACGATTTCTCTGAATAACCAACCCAGAGGACGCCGCCCATGGCTTAAGGCACAACGTTTTCCAAAAAGCGGCAAGCTCCTCTCTCTGGCACCAATTAGTCCAGGTGTAGATTCCCTGCCGATCCACCGAGCGGATCTCATTATCTTGGATGACGAGGCCATCAAAATAAGTTGGAGTTGTTGAACCAGCTGCCTCAATCACAATACCACCGGAAGCATTCGCGTACTTCCCAGTAGCAATTCCGGTAGTTGTTGTGGAAGGCATCCAACCTCGTACATCATGAATGTAGAGACGTTGTAGTGTAATATCCTGGACTCGACCGGCGTCGGCCGCATACACGTACACACCACGGCGGGGTGTTGTATTATCGCCTGGATTGGTGATGTTGAGATCTTGAACAGTGACAAAGGAAGCTCCTTGGATCAGGACTGAGTTCAAGGCGGTGCCTGCGCCAACAATGGGCTTCGACTGCGACACATCTCCATAGGCACTGACTGTGATAACTGAGCCCGCGGAACCACTTTTGTTAAGCAATAGCGGGCCAGCGAAAGTGGTGCCTCGTTTGAGCAGAATGTTATCGCCGGGAGAGAGTGGCAGATTCGGGATGGAGGCCAAGCTATTATAGGGACTTGATTGAGTGCCATCTCCATTGCTGGTAGCAGAGCCATCAAAATAATAGCTACTGCTTGCCAAGCAAAGTGGAAGAAGTGCGAGATATTGTGCGAGCTTCATGTTGAATAACACTGAAACTTTAGAGGACAGCTATATTTAAGTATAGGTAGGTCTAGTTTCCTTTTAAGTAGTCTACGATGAGATGACGAGATACAAAGGGAATATTGCGCTTTTTGCTACATCGGGGTGCCAATTTATATAGATTGTGTAGATCAATGCACTTTCATACATTGTTTTTTAGGTTTCGAGGCGATATCCGGACAGTTCTTCATAAGACTTACGAGTATTGCACAAGATATGACGTGCTCCCGGATCTCGCTTCAATTTCTCAAGCGAGCCGACCCGTTGGCCCGGGGAAGTATGCAGAATTCAGCGAATACTTGGTTATTCTCACAGAACTCAGAGAACATATTCTAGTAATATATTAACCGCAAAACTCCAGTAGTAGTTGGAATTCAAAAACCCCATTTTCATGTCCATATCCAAAGCATGCCCGTGACCCTTGGGGTGTGAACCCCTTCCCTTCTAAGATTGAAAACAGATTCGCCTTTATGCCATGTGATACAGAAGGGCTTGAATAGCAGTAATAAGCAAATGAAGAAGGGGATACTGAAAATATGAAGAGAATGATATCAAGATAAACACTTGATGGTTCCTAGTAAGACCTTGAGATGCCACGTGAAGCAAAATCTGCTTTCAACATTCAATCGTCGATCATAATGGCACCTCCCTCGTCATCGTCAAGGACGATAGCTTCAATGCCCTTGGAATCAGGAATGGATGCACTAGCGAGCCGTTTGGCATCGTGACTGGCTCGTTCCAGCTCGTCACTTGAGCCCTCACGCTTGCGTTTCCCAGACACAGTTGCATCATCGGTAGTTGCTGGAAGAACGGGAGAAGGCTCGGCAGGCTTCGTGGGCTTCGGGGGTATCTCGACCATCTTTTTCAGCGTTGCAGGCTTGGAGTCATCAGAATTCGGCTCATTTCTGGAAATCGATCCGTCAACATTGCCCAATATTCTTGAAAGAACGGTGCGTACCTTGCCATAACTACTAGTTCGAGATTGATTCGCTCTGGTTCATTCTCATCGTATACCGTGATGAAGCTTTCATTCGTAATGCCTAGGTCAGACAACTTTTTCGTGAGATTGTCGGTGAAGTCGGGCTCGTAGATCAGTTGAGTGCCAAGGCCAACAGAAAGATATTCGCCATAACCAAGCTCCACCCGAAGAACGTCTTGGATGAGGTGTTCAAGGGTTGCTAGCTCGGGGTCAATTTCGACACGAGCCACCACAGGGGAACAGACTTTGCAATCAGGGTTTGGGGGGTTCAACGAGTCTGAATTGATCACACGAGCACCGGATCTCTCCAGGAAGACCTTTCAGAGCGATGTCTTGTTAGCTTTGGTAGTAGTGAGCATACTTGTTCAATTCCTACCATTTTGGCATGCATCAACTTGTTTTGAAACACTTTCAATGACTGAAGAACACATAGTCCAGCCGTCATGGCATTAGTAGTTGCAATGGCAGGAATTATATTGCCCGCCATCTCTGTGGAAGCTGTGTCAATAACTATCATTCTGGGATGTGCACTCTTATTTGATAGACTCACGCTTGACATCGAATTTTGATTTGAGCTCAACGTTGAAAATAGCAGCTCGTAGATTACCTGTTGCGGTAACAAAGTCCAAAGTGTCCACGTCATCTTTATCGAATGTTATGATCGGGGAATCTTGGTTTAGGGTGTTATTTTCATGAAGTTGCTTCAGACGATGAGTCAACCGGTTCAAGCTGTAGCGTGTTAGTTTACCAAACGGATACTGTCGTAACAGTCAGTTCATACCTATCCTTGAAAACACTGAAATTCTCCTCTAATGTCCACACTTTCTGGTCATCTGTGGAGATCGTCGAGGCAATCGAAGCGGATTCTTCTTGAAGTTGAGTAAAGTCAAGGGGCTCTGGTCGCTCCCTTTCTTTCCACATTTCCTCCATGCCCTGTAATCGTATTATGTCCCTTCGAAAAACTTTATCAAAGACCTTGTGGTGGGCTTCCTCGGTGCCGATCGATTGTCGCAACTCTTTGAGCTCCAGTGCTTCCTTCCGCAGCTCCGCAATTTCATTTTCTAGCCGGATGTCAGTTTCGGCGCCGAATTGAGAGATAAAATCAAACCAACCGTTATCTGCGTTTTCTGTCTTGTCCACCTCCGGTGCCTCATCTTCGCTATCGCCAAAAAGTTCCCTACTCGAAGGTGAGTATTCAAAGTAGACAGACTGGGAGCTGGGGCTTACGGCAAGAGGAAGCTCTTCGCCCACACGATGCAGTGAATTGGCTGGCTGGGGTTGCTCCGGATCGTACACACGGGAAACGACTTGGGGGTTTCTTTTGGGGTGCAGTCATAGCATTCGGTTTGCGACTAGTATAATGCGCAGTCAATAAGCGCCCAATCTGCAGATCCAGATATCACCTTTGATGCATACCTTCTGAATAACTTGAACCTGGCCATTAAAGCCTGTAGTGCCGCTTTCGATCAAGGGCACATTGGCAGTGAGGCACATCTTGTTCACATGACGCCTTGCGGCGATGTTGTCCAGCGCATTGAAGACGGCGTTGAAGGATTCGAACCACGAGACGTTGAACTGGGTGTCCATAATGTTCGCATGGTAGGCCTCGAGCTTTGCGTCGGACCGGAACTTTTGCGCAACTTCCTTGGCAACCTAGATGAGAGTATCCATATCTCAGTATTCCATATCTGCTATTGTTGGGCCCCTCACACAATGCGAATGCGCGGCGCTTGACTCGGGGGAATTCGTAAGGGAGCGGCGCAAGTGCGTAGGGTAGGTTGGACGTACCAAGGCCTTTGATTTCTTGATATGCTCATGTCGGAAAAGGAACTGACGATTGAGATTGCTCAAATCAATGGTATCAAGATCAATAATGTGGATTTCACCAAACCCGGTGAGGACGAGGTTTTTCAGTAGCTCACAGCCAATGCCGCCTGCGCCGACGAGAAGAACGCGTGACTATACGTGATGAGAGAACTGTCAGACTAGATTTTCAATTCAGCGTCACTTGGACGCCAGTATCGCATGTGAGCAGGGGTGACCTTACCTCTTTGAGGGAGCGGGTGAGGTCCACCCCAAGGGAGCGCTTAAGGGAGCTATCCCGCATGGCGGGCAGTAGATAATGATCGCGGACAGGTGGCTGAGATAGTGAGATAGTGATGTAGAGTTGGGTATATTTTAGAAATTGTGAAGGGGAAAAAGGACAAAGAAGGGAGACAAATCTAAAGGGAACAAAGTGAAAGAAGGGAAACGCTGAACCGGAAACAGTGGCCGTTGACGATGACGGCACTTCCAAGTTGCTAGGAGCCCTCACATGTGGGTTTTCCACTTACTCTCTACTTTTCTACCAATTACTCCTTATTTTGATTTATTTTCTTGAAAAAATGAACTATACATTGATATCGAGTGTAATTAACCTTGTTTTCTGATCTTGTCTGACCTTTTCTGCGATTGTCTTTGCATTGCATGCGGCAATATACAGGGCGCACATACCCAGATCGGCTTGATCTAGAAGAACACCGGATGAACTTGAGTTTGATCCGAAAATACAAATGTCAGTTTCATGGGCATACGGATGCTATCCATATATTCTTCTGATCTACCTGGTATTCCGGACCTACAGAACTTGTGTGACTATAAACTATGTTGTATACTATGCAAACTTGTCTTGCGTTATAGTGAATATTCACAAATATAAGTCAACATTACTGCTCTGTACCACAACTGCGCATATCTCAGAGCATTTTAGATCCATCATAGGCGTACCTGAAGGCTCTACCTTGGGCTCCAGATTGTGTGTGCTTACATAACCAGTGACTCTACCTATCTAGAGACTATCGGGTCAAAATCTCGGTGTGGCGAGAAAAAAAAAACACTGGTCAACTCTGTTCAACTATTTTTATATCACACATCTACTTGTTCCAGCCTCAAAAGATTCGAATATCTAGGTGGGGTGGAATATCTGCCGGGTCTAGCTTCTCACCGCAGGAGCCCTCATATCAAAGGAGATACCCCTGACCCCATATCTTCCCATTTGCTTTCAATCAAAATAAAACAACAAGAAAAAATATCATGCCATCATTGGACCCAGTTCCGGCCCGGAGAAATGATCAAGTCGAGGCAAATTCCGACGATGAAGCCGACCCTGAGTTGGTAGAGCTGCTTCGCCAGCATTTCGGCATGGGCGAAAAACCAAAGAATGCCCCACCAGAGACCAGAGTGCTTGAGGGGGCTAAGTATGTCTTTGACAATGCCATTGATATTGCTGTAAGCCTTGTTTACACCAAAGAGGCTGCCGAAACTATATGGCGTATGATGCAGAAGAAAGAGTACTCCACGCACACTTGGTCGGAGCACGAACTGCACCCAAAGACCAAAAATGAAAGCACTGTTGATTTCATCTTCACAATGGACTTATTGAACTTCAGTTTCTGGTCTGACGAAGAAGAAGAGCCAAAGCGTTTCTGTATTGAGTATCGTGGCAAGCTTTGGACTGGTTACTGGAGTCTGGTTGCTGCACTACAAAGAGCTCTTGATGAAAGTTAGTTTTCTGGTTGTACTCTACTTCTGGAATGATGACTGCTTACCCCAACTTCAGATATTCCAATTACAACCCCCGACTTCTGGGTAGATGAAAAGAGGTGCACGGAGGAGCTACTTCGACATGTATTTCGATCTGCAACAGATGGAGAGATTCCTATGTTTAAAGAACGAGTGCAGTGTCTACGTGAAGCAGGCGAGGTCCTTTGCGAGGTATATTATATTTTACCACCGTGGCAATATGAGTTATACTTACCAGATATAGGAATTCGGCGGCAGCTTCGTCAACTGCATTGACAGTGCCAACCTCTCCGCCGCCGGATTGGTCAATATATTGACAGAGAGCTTTGCCTGCTTCCGCGACGAGACAATCTTCCACGGAAAGCGAGTGCGAATCTACAAACGTGCTCAGATCTTAGTAGCTGATCTCTGGGCCTGTTTTAATGGCGAAGACTTTGGCGAATTCCACGACATTGACAAGATCACTATGTTTGCAGGTACGGCTCTTGCAAGCCTCAGTCCCTCAAACCCATCTTAACCATATATCCTAGACTACCGCATTCCGCAGATGCTACACCAGATGAACTGTCTTCGCTATGCACCTAAATTGGAAAACCACATCCGCGACTTGAAACCCATCGAGCCAGGCTCAAACTGGGAGATCGAGCTTCGTGGTACGAGTATCTGGTGTGTTGAGTTGATCAAACAAGAGATCGAAAAACAACACCCTGAGGTCAAAATGAACCTCCAAAAGCCTCCTTCCAAGGATATCTCAGACGTCAATGAGAGCCCCAAAACCGAAAACTCGGATGAGTTGGATGAGGGTGTGAAGATTGTGGAGAAACCGCGAAAGACATATGGCATCAATGCGATCCTCATTGACTTTTTCTTGTACGACACAATGAAGAGCCTGGAGGCAGAGAAGAATGAGTCCATTCCTCATCACAGGACGAGGAGCATTTGGTACTGAGGTGAGTGTTTTTTGGTTTTTGTGTCATTGATGGCGCATGGAGTTGGGTTGCCACAATGATGACTTGGGACATTGGGTTGTGATAGAGCAACGGAGCATACAGTTAGAACATAGATATGGTGAAGCGGATATTTTGTTTGCTTATCATGGACGAATATAGAAATTACATGTTGATTCATATCTTAGGGTATCAATTAAACTAGCAGGCTGCGTCCCCTTTTGAATAATCTCTCATCGCATGACGACCATCAAGCAGCTGCACCTTCGATGCGAGCCATGATATCCGCTTTCCAATTCACATAATCCTCTTGACGATCATCACTCAGCCAGTCAACTCGATCTTGCATCATTGTTCCCAGGCCAGGCAAAAGACCACCCCGCGGAGCATGGTCTGACCCCGACGGACGAGTTTTACTCGCCGCTAATCGTTTAGGCGGCCTAACACCCCTAAGCGTCGCATCCTCTTCATCCAGGTCTTGGTAGGACCTGCCTTCCTCATCTTCACCATAGAGCTGTCCGGCATAGGGAATATTCTCGAACCATTCCTGCCCAGTGGCCCAACCTTGCTCCATGATAAGAGTGATCCACTGGTCAACATCATCACGATGTCTCCGGTCATTAGCTTTCAGCCCAAGACTGTTCAATGCCGTCTGACGCATTTCAATAAAAGTCTTCTTGTCCATCTTCTGCGCTTCGATATCGGCCTCTTCATCTGGCCCCGGGTTACGTCGACGGGCGAGCACGAGGAAGTACACAGCCACGACCATGGCGTAGACCAGTTCTTTGAAATAATCGTCCTTATCAGACCCATTGATAGATACAATGGGCTCCAGGAAATCCAAGCTCTCCCGGTCCCATCCCGGTTCGTCGTTGGACATGCTCGACGTAAGATAAAGGACGGACGAGACCCCAGAAAAGATATGCGGAGGTAGGGTTCTCGAGATTGGAGGCCTAGACCAGGTATTTGTGCGTGGGGCAGGCGTCGAGAGAATCTTGCATACAGTCCGGATGGCTGTCATTACCCAGGCCGGGGCGTCTGGAATGATAGTTGACCCAGTAATATCCTTCGGTTGAGGGGCTGGAGCCTTTCTTACCGATTTCGAGGGACTCTCGAGCAGGTTTGCGGTGCTCATAGTTCGTTTCAAAGGTGTAGACTTCGAAGGTGTATTTTGTAGTCCTCGTGGTGTTGGAGCTACTGCCTTGGATGGGGTGTTCCTGGCTACCGCGCCCTTTGTCGGCGTGGTCTGCGCTGAACCGGCGCGTGAGGGTGTTCCAGGAACCGATCCGCTCGCTGAGCGCTTGAGACCAGCCGAGCTGGCTGCGAGAGATCGGTCGAGGTATGAATAAAGCTTTTTGTATATGCGCGGAGGACATGGCGGATGCCCGAGCAGCGGAGGAAGTTTAAGAGTTCGGGTCAATCTATAAGAGTAACACAACCAATTAGATTTTTGAGGTCAAGCCAGCCATAGAAATTCCTCATTCAGGTCTGTGGCATACCTTCTGCAAGCGATTTCCGCGCAGGCATATGGTCGAGCGATTTCCTCCTCCGGCTTCAGACTGCTCGAGAAGCTCCGGGACTGTGCCACTAGTGACATTGCATAGCTGAGTAGTTCTTGTGGGAGGTCATTGGCATGAGTCGGCACCAACGTGCTTAACGCCTGCTCCACCGGCCGATTGTTCATTGCTCTCGAATGTTGTAGGTCAACTGGCTTTGCGTGAGGAAGGAGCCAGGTAGGATATGGCCGTGCTTATGGAGGACAAGTATCGATGAGAAGGCAAAAAGCAAAAGGAGTTTCTCGTGAGAACCTTTCAGCGTATTCAAATTTCAAATTGACACAAATCTGTCTGTATTGAAGGGATCGAACTGACAACCAAACATCTGGAATTGCCTGGCGCCAGCGATAAGAAAAGTATGACTAAGCACTCTATCGGGCCCCCGGGCTTGGGGCACGGAGACCTCGATGCCGCATCTGGTCCTCTTGAACTTCTATATTACCTCACAAACTCCCGCTCACTATGTCTGTTACAGTAAGTTTACCTATAAAGCCTTGCAATCTCCCCCCAGCTCTGCATTCCACGGCACAATGCTGATTACTGCTAATAGTTACACACCACCCAAGGCGACCTCAAGGTCGAGCTTTTCTGCGAAGCAGTACCCCAAACTGCAGAGAACTTCCTCGCCCTCTGCGCATGCGGCGCATACAACGACACCCCATTTCATCGCCTCATTCCGGGATTCATGGTCCAGGGTGGAGACATCTCTCTCGGCCCTGCCGCGCATCAAACAAGTACGAAACCAATGCTCGATTTCGAGATCCCAAAAGGCGGCACATCGATCTACCACCCGGCAGCAATGAACCAAGAAATCCACCTCCCATCGCTGCGACACAACGCGCGAGGCATTTTATCTATGGCATCTCGTCCGGTGAAGGACAGAACAGCGCCTGGCTCTCAGGGCGCAACGGGCGCAACGATCAACGGGAGTCAATTCTTCATTTCGTTCGTGCCGGCACCACATCTCGATGGCGCTAGTACGGTGTTTGGAAAGGTGTTGAACTTGACCCCTCAGGACGAAGGCGGTGATGTTCTTACCAATCTTGAGAAGGCGAATGTTAAGGTCGACAAGAAAGGAAAGGTTTCTCAGCCCAAGGAGGGTGATGATTTTGAACCATTCAAGATCAATAGCGTCACTATACACGCGAATCCATTTGCAACTTGAAGCTTCCACGCCCGGATTCTGCTATTAAAGCTGGATGATGTCCCAGGATCGAGCTCCACGAACCACTCTCAAGATGAACACAGCTACGAGCTTCAGCTGGGGACAGCCCCGAAATCATATCATGTTAAGCCCAATACCACCCAATCCCCTCTTATCTGAGTCTGGCTGCTGGCTTTCTCGATCTGTCTTGCCAGCGAGATTATGTGGCACCGTCAATACGGTACCTTCTGTTGGCATTACTGCCAGAAAGCGGGCCAGAAAGATGGATCAGCACATTTTGTCCGATGATGAACACTTGTTGGCACACTCTGGGCGTAATGAGGTCTACTTGAGAGATCAAAATACTGCAGGAAGACTGAAAGGGAAATTATATCAAGGCATTGAACATGTCCAAGAGTATCAATTATTACCATAACTCCCAATTAGATCCCGAGATCCGAAAGAATATCTAAGTACAAAACAACCAACGATTCCTACATATTTATAAACTTCGCATTCCATCCAACTGTGTCCAACCCTCTCCGAGGCGAAATAAATCCTGCAAAATCCTAACCTGTAGTTCTACCTTTGTCTCGTCTGACTGCGCCGCATAATTCAAAAATGACAGAGCCGAACATGACATCAGGAACCGAATGATTTGGACATTTGCTGGCGCCGCTGCATTTCCAAGATAAGCCTCCACAAAATCGGTTGTGCTCTCTTGTATCTCTTGTCGCGTAAGGCCGTATTGTTCGCCAGTTCGTCGCAGCATGTGCATGAAATGGCCCAGATCTCGTTCCGGTACCCCAACCGGCTCACCATTCTCGTCTAGAGAACAGTGTAGTGTTGTTGTGTCGATCATAGTGACATGCCCTGTCGCGCGGTCATAGAAGAAATTTCCAGGATGGGCATCACCGTGCACGACAGTGGTGCGTGGACGATTGGCAATATCGCGCTTGCAGTCGGCAATGAGTTCATTCATTTTCTCAGGAAGCTGATCCACTTCGAGCCCCGCAGAACGGATAATGTCTTTGTGCAGCAATGCCTGCTGGACTCGTTTTGTTGCAGCGTTAAAATACCACTCGAGGTACTCTGTCCCTGGTCGTCCTTCGACGCTATGAGTGTGTAATCTGGCCAAAGTACGTGCGACTGCCTGCACGCCAGCAGTGAAGACAGATAGCATCTGCCTTCTTGCAGAACCCTGTGGTAGGCGGCCCATCTGCATCATGAGCTGATAAAGGGATACCCCGGGGGCAACTTGATATGTGACGATACCGGCTGGTTTGGTATCCCATATCATCCGCCCAACAGCTAACGGGGCGGCAGTCTTGATATCACCCTTGGTCTGCAAAAGAAGCCATTCAAGGCTTGACAACTCCTCGGTGATCCCGTTATCCAAACCGTGGACGAACAGTTTAACAACAGCAACTACGCGACCTTTGGATGGGTCATTGGATACCAATGATACCTCTCCGTTGGTAAATTCATCGCTTGCATAAGCAAAGAAAATGATAGCACCAGAAAAGCCCCCAGGATGAGTAGGATCCAGACTCCGCAAATTGACAGGATAGCCTACAGTAGTAGAGACATGCTCTTCTAGCGCTGAGATGGTCGGGGCTATCTCTGGAAGATTCTGCATGACTTCTTCTGCCTGCTTCAAAGTTGGCTTTCCACTGCGATTTCGCGTCCGTACAGCTCGACGCATTGATGAGACCACGCTCATCCCAAGCGATGGGCGAAGCCATGATGAATATGCCGGTGCAACGCTGCCATGAGCCATCTGCACTGTATCTCCCTCGCCCTCCATCGCTGAGCGAAGCAGAGCCTTAGCGGCATGTTTCCATGAATAACCTCGCATGATTCGTTGCAGGGAGCGAGCATGCCGCCTCGTTTGCTCCGGATAACACCTCACGTGGTCGATCCGATGAGCCCAGACGGCTACGCGCTGGCTGGTCGGCGAAGGTACAATTCCGTATGTGCTCTCGTCATTCACCACACAGGCCTGACCAAGTTCTGGCGGAATACGACTGCGATCAAGCGCAAGCTGGCCCGCACCGCTTTCTTGTGTCACTAGGATGGGAACGCCCAACCCAGCGACTTCGGTAAAGATCATCCCGAATCCCTCGTGCATTGAGGGCATGATGACTAGGTCTGCGTTACAATAGAACCGCGAGACAGCATTAGGGTCGTCAGAGAAAGGGTGCAACCTGACGAGGTCAGGCATGCCTGTCATCTCATCGACGGCGTTCTGCCAGCGCTCCACGTCTTCTGCTGGGAGTCCTAGTACGTCCAGGGAGATATCGTTGCCAGAGAGTGCGATCTTACGCACAGCATATACAGCATCGTCTAAACCTTTAGCGGGATCGTCTGCTCGACCAGCAAGCAGCACCCGAAACAGGTCGTTCGGCTGTCGTTGTTGCGTGCAAGCATCACCCGCGCGCACGCCCGGAACCAGTTCATGGAAGCGAGGTCCCATCATGTTGGATCGTGGGCGATTGCATTGTCCCATCCACTCGCGTTCGCGCGCTTCAGTTGTGAGTACAGGCCCGACTCCAACAGCCAAATCTGCTTTGGGGAGAATCCTCTCATCGAGCATTGCCAGCCGAGCAGCTTCAACATAGCCTAGCTCTCGTGTTTGTCCGTACCACCTCCATGCGACGTCTGATTTGCGCAATGCACTGGTATGTGTGATGAGCGCCAGCTTGGCTGTGGGATACCATCTCTCGCGGATCAAAGAAGCTGCAGTGCTAGAATACCGCGAGTGGCCAATGATGAGATTAAATGGGGATGGATGCTGGTCGTCTGGGATTGGCAGGCCATAATCTCCAGGCTGGTGTACCTTTGCCACATGGTAGAGTAGAGCACTGGGATCATCTCCTCTAGAGGGAATGCAGACCACTTTAGCCCGACCATGGCTTGACGATGCCAATGTGTTTTTGACTTCATTCTTAGGCTCTACCATAAACAGAGTAACTGCTGCATTAGGGATTTCCGACATGGCTTTGACTAGTTCTTGATTCAACAGAGGTAGACCACCTTTACCAGGCCCGCTGGCATTGGCAACGACAAGTACTCTCCAGGGTTGGACCCTTTCGGGTGAGATACTGACAAGACGTTCCCATTCAAATTTAATTTTTTCGCTGAGTTTGACAGCCTTTTGTTCGTCGCGTGATGTATCTTGCTTGTCCACCGCAGACCATAGTCGAGATAGCTGCGTGCGTGTTTTGAACAACCTGGCAAGCCCTTCGTTGATCGGTATACCTTGTGCCTGGTAAGCTTTCCAGAACTCCTTCTGAACCCGGCCGATATCAGTTTCACTCATTCCGAAATCCCCGGCGTACTTTCGCAGCCGCTCGTGAAACCCAGCCGCATCCATTTCTGCCGGTCCAATGGGCCGGCCACTCGCATCCATCGAGCGAGTCAGTCCGCCATAGTCGATCATGGTGATTCCTTGAATGGGGTCCCAGAAGAAATTTCCTGGCGATGCATCACCATGCAATAGTGACGCTACGCCTTCTTCTCGTGAGTAGTCAATTGCCCGGTCCACCAATGAGGCCAGTTGCTGTATTTGATCCGACCCGATTGCACGTTCATACTGCGCTCGCGATGGGCCCTCGATCTCTTGGACCCACCCTTGTAGTTTGTTGCGCAGTCTGTCGACGACAGATTCGCTGGCGCTGCTCCATTCGGTCTTTTCTCGGTGCAGCTTGGCCAATGTCAATGCCACTCCTTGGACGGCGGAAATCAAGTCGGCCATCAGTCCATTGAATTGACACTCCAAAAGATCAATGGTAGGGATATTAGATGATTGAGGTTGATATGATTTATGATTTATTGAGATTCCCTGGAGCGCGCCGCGAATAATATCATTCATCATTTCCCTTGTTTCGTCGGGACATGGTTGCTTTGCGATCAATCGGAGTGTGGAAACTCGACCAATATCACGGATAATTGTGTTGATTGCTTTCCCTGCTGCGAGCTGATAGACAATCACTCCCATCGGCTCCGCGGTAATCTCATCGCGGGTCCTTCCCACTCCAAGGGGCCTGGCAGCAGATGGAGGATCGGAAAGAGATAGCAACCTCCTATACGCAACGAGTTCTTCAAAAAAGTCTTTATGGCATTCTGGTGGATATACTTTTGCGACAGCGACGGTATTTTCTGGGTGGCTATTGTCCCGAACGAAATAGATTGAACAGCCGGATTGGCCTTCTGCTCCAGATGCTTGAAGACGGTGTAGCTGGATGGAGTGACCGAGGACGGATTCAACGATTGCGGTGACGGAGCTTGTCTCTGGCAATGCAGTCAGTGTGAAATTGCCATTTTCTTCTTGTCGGATAGTGAGTTTGTCGAGGGTGGTTGGCAAGACGCCCTCCTCAAGTCTAGCACACTTTAAGGTGGCCATTCTATCGGATCAAGGAAGTTTGAATGGAAAGACAGAGCACAGGAAAAAAAAAGAGGATCTCAATGTATTATTCAGTCTCATTCGACCGTACTCGGCAAAAAAGGGTCTTTCTTAACTCGCGCTCAAAATATGCGGATCAGACTACGACGATCGACATAATACTAGGATCTTTCCTCAGCCGTGCCACCTTATGCAACCTACGGTGGATCTCGGTGTGACTGGGCTGATCTTCAGCAGAATGAATGTGCTGCCTGAATTGTGCTCTCGCGGTCGGGTGGGGAGCGTCGCATAACTAACTAGCTAGCGCTCTATTATGGTAATACATATGGAGTACTCCATATGTATTGGGCTACTAGTATGCCCCACCTTTTTAGTGGCTACATATGTAAATAAATAGTTTCATGCGGAGGAATCCGTCCTTCTATAGCCTCTATGCAGACTGGGTTGCTTTCAATGGCTGAATGGCTGAAGACATGATGAGCGTAAGGAGCTACAGATCACACATCAGGTACTTAGGTGTGACGTTATTGGGAGACTATATGGTCCATTTACAAGGATAGATACTAAACAGCAAGTAGGGGGGGTAGCAAATACGTAATATCCAGCTCCTATGAGTACAGCTACGCTATTAAATCATCATCAATCCAGCTAGCCACAAAATGACAAGGAGACATTTTGGCACGCGCTGGGCAGTACACTCGCCGTAAGCAAGCCATTATACGAAGTACCTACGGAGTACATCGGTAGCAACCAGGTATTTTGATCAATAGTGTGAAGCTTCTGAGTTACTATTTTATTGCGGCAGAAGAGCTGTGGAGTTCGGCTTAGAGAGCAAATCGGGATCGAAGTGCATTCATGAACTACTCTCCGATATGGTTAGAGCCAAAAAGAATTGACCCACCCAAACCCATGGTTCTTCCCGCCTTTAAAATTTCTCGCTGAACTTTAAGTCATCTCATTATTTACCTAAGCAAATACATAGGGGCCATTTCTATCGTGTGGATCAATTGGCTTTTTCACGAATGTCAAATAGTATAAATAGAAGGATGATAGGCTATGATCAAAGCATACTCGGTACTGTAAGCCCAAGTCAATCACATGGGATTGAACAAGTTGTGGGGTGTGTAAGGACTATGTACGGAGTAAAAAAAAAAATTATAAGTCACATAATACATGTCTATCATTTAGGCAACTTATCACGCGAGCTGTTTATTGTATACAATATAATTATTATATGTTACAACTTTGATATGCACGACTGGCGAATATTAAACCATCACGGAGTACTGCGTATATACAAAATAGGCATGAGCAGATGAATCAAAACAAAAAGCAATAGAGAATCGAAGCGAATTAAAACTAAAACAAGTGTATTCTCAATCCAGCTGAAGTAATATACGCACCGCCCGTCCATACTGTGGTAATATGTCAGATTATTACAGATGTTAAATGACGAAGAGTGAATAAGATACGCGTTCCCATCCCACCAACTTCCGCAACCAGAGCCAGACCACCCTATAGATCTACAGTATACATGATTTGTATTGCACCATCAGAGGCTAGCAAAATCTTATATATAAAATAATGATGAATGAATGTATGCAAGTGTTTAAACCCATTTCACGCAGGTTGAATGTGTATTTCGTTGGCAACATTAGGCTGGCATCACTATATTCCAAGGTTTGCTGGGCTCAATTGAGTAAATCCGTCTCTCTTTCTCCTTGGTTTTATTAGATCTGTCACCTTTTTTTTCTGTTCGTCATGTCGCGTGCATGCTCAAAATTAAGGATAAAGTTGAATGCCTGAGCCGAGCCACTGGGCCCTGGCGGTGATCCCCCGAGCATCTCCGTGCAGCGATAGAACTGGTACATCACTGGGCGCAAAGATCTACAATATTAAGATTAAAAGCAAGGTATATTCTCATTTAAAATCTAGAACTTCAATTATATACATAGGTAGGAATCAAGGTACGTACTAGAAATATCGACCCATTCGTACAGAGTAGTATACCTATGTTCCGAGGCTAGCGACCTTGGCGCGATCTTTAGGTCAAACATGCATCGATGTGCAACATCTTGGAAGCTGCCAAATTACTAGCCAATACAGTGGCGTTACTAGTCTCCATCCGAGGCTCCACTGATAGACATCTCCGTCGCGATTGAAAGCTGGGCACACGACAGCTCGATTGTGAACCTTCAGCTTTCAATCCCACAGCCAACCCCACATGCGAAGAGAAGCACATACCTTCTCCGGACAATTCCCATTCTTCTTGTCTCAATCGCCCGGTCAAAGTCAACATTGAGATCCATAATCTCCGATTATCAAGAGCTTGTGGCCATGGATTCGGCTATCGCTGCTCACCAATTGCTCCAATATCTTCGCTTTGGATATCCTCCAATTCTGCTAGTGATTCTCTTTGTCTTCTTTTTGGTCCATTCATCACAGGTAGCCAAAAATAATGCCGGTCAGAGTACTGAAGTGCAGTATGGCCCCGGTGGGAAACCACTGCCCAGGCGAACCCGAATAATGATGGCAGTAGCCAAGGACTTGCCCGCGGAGCTCGCGCTAAATAAATCCAAAGCTTGGTTTGTTTGGTTGAGTCTTTTGGTGTTGGCAACATATGTTGGAGAGGCAGCTGTTCACATGACCCACGCCATGGTCTCAAAGTCGGAGCAGTGGTGGTGTGGTCAAGCAGTGGTGGTGAGCAACGTCTGCTTTCAAATCTGAAATCAAAGCTAACAAATACAAAAAACAGGTCTTTGTTGTTGGATCTTTCTTCGCTCATGCCGTCATCTTCATCTCTTTAATCGATACGAACCCCGCACCATCAATCGCACAATTCATCCCATGGATATCAGCCATCCCGTTCGAGGTAGCAATTCTCTCGACTTCAGTCTCAATATATGCTCATACCCATCATGAACCTACAATCCAAGATCCATTCGGTGGAAGATTGCGCACAAAAATCACATTCTGGGAGGCATTGGAGGTTTCCGCAGGCTCTGTGCGGGTTATTGTTCTCACACTATTGGTCGCATCCTACATTTTCAAGTCTGCTCGCAAACATCGCGCCTTCAAGGAGGCTGAAGATGCCGATCCCGGAGAGACAACCAGCCTGCTAGATTCAAGAGGCAATGCCAACTCGGATGACAGTGATGGCTTGACCGATGGCCAGCAGACCCCTCAAGTAGAAGCCTGGGTCCGGCCTTTGACGACCCCTTCCACCAACTGGATGGAGTATCTGAGTGGCTATTCTCTATTCTTTCCATATCTATGGCCTTACAAATCCCTCCGCTTGCAAGTTGTTGTCGTCATCTGCTTTGGTATATTAATTGTGCAGCGAGCGGTCAATATCCTAGTCCCATATCAAGTGGGAGTGATCGCAGACTCATTGTCCACCAGTGACGGAACTCTGCAGGTGCCTTGGTTGCCCATTTGTTTGTATATCATTTACCGTTGGCTTCAAGGCAGCCAAGGTTTCCTTGAGTCGGTTCGTTCCAACCTGTGGATTTCAGTGAGTCAATATGCATACATGGAGCTGTCAACCGCGGCATTTGAGCATGTTCATAATCTAGGGTTGGACTTTCACCTAGGTAAAAAGATGGGCGAGGTTCTTTCTGCTCTTACCAAAGGCAGCTCAATTAACACTTTCCTTGAGCAAGTGACCTTCCAAGTGTTGCCTATGTTCATTGATTTGGCCATCGCCATCGGATACTTCCTAGTCGTATTTGACGTGTACTACGCGTTGGCTGTCGCTATCATGACGTTCTTCTACCTCTATTCGACTGTCAAAATTGCCTCTTGGAGAGCCAATATGAGACGCCAAATGGTGAACGCTTCTAGGCAGGAAGACGCTGTCAAGTGAGTTTCCTTTCCCGTTCTCGTCTCCGTTTATCCTGTTAGACCTTACTAACCTTTATATAGGAATGATTCGCTTGTGTCCTACGAAACCGTCAAATACTTCAACGCCGAGGAATATGAGTTCAATCGCTATCGAGGGGCAGTCTCGGACTACCTGCGGGCGGAATGGCATTCCCTCTTCGCGCAGAATCTGATGAATATTTTCCAGAATGTCATCTTTATGCTTGGCCTTTTAATCACCTGTTTTATTTGCGCCTACCAGGTTGCTCGCGGTCAACGTGCAGTTGGCCAGTTCGTGACCCTCCTTACCTATATGGCCCAACTTCAAGCTCCCTTGAATATCTTTGGAACCTTCTACCGATACATTCAATCTGCCTTGATTAATGCAGAGCGTCTACTGGAGCTGTTCCGCGTCCAGCCATCGGTGGTGGATGAACCATCTGCAACGCCGCTAGCTGTCTGTCACGGCCGAATTACATTTGACGATATCCAATTCTCATATGATTCACGACGACCTGCTCTCAACGGGTTGACTTTTGATTGCAAGCCAGGTACGACTACTGCTCTGGTGGGAGAATCAGGTGGTGGAAAATCGACAATCTTCCGCTTGCTCTACAGATTCTACAATCCGACCGGCGGAAGCCTTTCGATTGATGGACACGACACCCAAACCTTGACAATTGACTCTGTGCGGAGACACATTGGCATTGTCCCACAAGACACAGTTTTATTCAATGAAACACTCATGTACAATCTCAAATACGCCAACCAAAATGCCACCGACGAGGAAGTTTATGAGGCCTGCCGCGCAGCCAGTGTACATGACAAGATCATGGCCTTCCCCGATGGCTACGAAACCAAAGTGGGAGACCGTGGCTTGCGACTAAGCGGTGGCGAGAAACAGCGCGTTGCCATTGCCCGTACCATTATCAAGAAACCTCAGATTATCTTGCTTGACGAGGCAACGGCTGCATTGGATTCTGAGACGGAGCAGAACATCCAAGAAGCACTAGCTATCTTGTCGCGTGGACGCACTGTGCTAGTCATTGCACATCGGCTGAGCACGATCACCACAGCTGATAACATTGTTGTATTACATGAAGGTCGGGTCGCAGAGAGTGGAACCCATGAACAGTTACTGGCTTCTCACGGTCGATATACAAGTATGTGGCAGAAGCAGATTCGTGCACAGACCGAATCAGTGGGCTTGGGAGCCTTGTCAGGCAATATATAGATTTGTATATTTGGAAATTATTTGGGGGACCATGCATATAAAGTTGCCTTGCGTGTGGATTTATTGGGTATTGCTAGGAAAATGTCACATAAAGCTCATTCAATGCTTATTTCCATTGCTTAATCAATTTCTGTACTCGGGAACGACCCTTCCAACGTAAAATCTGCTGAATCTAAAGCCGACCAGACCCGAGTAAGAATCAAGATCTAGGAAATCAATGAAATCCATGGAGTACTGCGGAGTACTGCGGAGCTGAATTGTGCATATACTATGGCCAATGAGCTCAAAGCCCTAAAAATGGCCTGTGGGTAGCTACGGAGTACTCCGTACTCGTACATATGCAGGGGTGTATGTATTATGTTTAGGCATCACATAATAATACTCTTCGATTGCGTCTTTTCTTTTTGGAATTTCAGCTTATATCTATCGTAATGTGATAGCTCTATAAATCACTTAGCGTCGATCAATGCAGGATGCACCCCAAGTATATGTGCGGTATATCATGCATCCGATGAGGTCCAAGCTTGGTCTTACATGGTCTCAGCCAGCCCATTACCTGTATTACGCGATCAGCACAGTTTGCCGATCTTTCCTCCAGGGCTGTAACTATGTAGATCTGTATTATCTCGATTTCTTTACTACACGCCAGCCTTGAAGTGGGTTTATGGGCTATATTTTCAGGCAAAATTACAGAGTACTCTTGAGTAATTAAATATCATAGTTCGGAAATTATTCTACTCTCTTCAACGCAGCATTTGACCCTCATTGACCTTTCTCCCCCTATGAACACATTATTTTCCGGAAATGGGGCGCATTCTTTGGCTTGATAGCCTCCGGGGCATTGCATCAGCGTTGGTAGTGATACACCATTCAAAAAGCCTGGAGCCCAAGAGCATCGTTGGATTCTTGACCAGGTCCTATTGGGACGAACCGGCTGAAGAGAACCGTCGCCTTGTCCAACTCCCGCCCTTCCGACTTCTCTTCAATGGCCCATCAATGGTGGCTCTATTCATGGTTATATCGGGGTATGCGATCTCCCTTCCGCTTCTCCGATGCCGGGAGGACATTGAAGCAAGTAATTCGAGGTTCTTTCGTCGATTATGCTCTGCTGCAACTCGCCGGATTTTTCGAATCTATCTGCCCTCCGCTGCCATACTATTTCTCAGCCAACTTTTATACTTTTGCAACTTGTTCCAGTGGACATTTCCTGATGACTGGCTAGGCGGGCTAAAGCCCGTGACAGCGCCATGGGCCCATATCCAATATGTGCTTTCAAGAATAGTACACTTGCTGGATATCAGCAATCATCAAGTTGATATCAATTTTGATCACAACCGACCAGATATGAGAACTATAAACTACCAACTGTGGACAATGCCAATTGAGTTTCGAGGGTCGTGTGTTGTCTACCTGTTACTCTTGACATTTTCATTTTGGAGACCTCAGCCTCGATATCTTGCACTGGCAGGTGTGGCAATATATTGGTTCTATATGGGACATTGGGATCTCTTTGCGTTCGTTGCCGGAATTCTTCTCGCAGAAAGACATGTTGCAGCAGAGTCAGAACCAGACGGAGAGATTGCTTTATCATGCTCATCTTCATCTCTCGAGATTCAAAAGCCCATGAGCAATGCCTGGAACAAATTGGCAGAGAACATTTACCTCCAACAGCTTCGAACATCAGTGTCTTTCATTCTAGGGTTGTATTTCCTTTGTATGTGTGGCGCTGACCGGTTAACACCGGAATACCGATGGCTGGGCGTGGCTCGATCTCCCGAGTGGGATAATACTGAGATGATGCCCCGATGTTGGAGGAGCGTTGGAGCTGTTTTGACAATATATGCAATCAGCAAATCTACGCTGCTTCAAAGGCCGCTTAACTCACGGCTGCTGCAATATTTGGGGGAAATCTCATTCCCGCTCTATCTAGTTCACCCGACAGTCTATTTCGTTCTCAAATGCCCAGTTCGAGACCTTCTGTGGTGGGCAGTTACCAGAACGCCTTATCCTGGCACTATTGAGGCAAGCAAGCATGCGATGCCGATTTATATAGCTTGGATTGGAACTATGCTCGTGTTAGGTGTTGTTATGGTGGTGGCATCTGAACTTTGGAATCGTTTCATTGATATGAAGTGCCTCGGGCTTGCAAGAAGATTCGAAAAATGGATTTCGTGTTAGTTTTGAGAGGACACTTGAAGATAATGAAGATATGCGATAAGTAGCATTCGACGCAACCCTCTCAGTACTCTATGGCGAACAATTTTACTAGGAAGTAATACATAGTAGACACAACAACTTTTATGATTTCATCCCTATGTTGCCCCCCATAACCGAATATTGAAATAACCCCAGCAAAAAAAATAAAAAAATTCACAGACGCCGTTATGCAAGAACCCAAAGGAATCAGATCATCCCAAGTTTCATGAATTGAATATACATCGTAAATCCTTCGATTACTCCTTCGGAGTGGCATCAACCTTGGCCTCGTCCTGCTCGTAACCCTCGGTCTTCATGTCGGTGAGACCGAGATCATCTTCTTCTTCGGCAGAGCGGGTGTATTCCTCGGTAGTGATCTGGTGGTCGATAGCTGGGCTGCAAAGATCTTGGACGTAGGAGGAGGCCATCGGGTCTTGCAGCGTGATAGCGAACTTGAGTTCGCCGCTGATAGCCTGGTCGAGACGACTGAAGAACCTTTGCCACTTATCCTTGTCGGAAGATACCATGCTGTCGCCTCCAGAGTGTGTGGAGTCGTCAACATCGAAAATGGCACCCTTCAGCTGATCCCTGATCTCAACTAGCAATCCTTCAACTGTAGTGAAACGCCCACCGAGTGTTCCTGGCTGAACATCCAGGTCAAGTTCGGGACTGAAAAGTCCTGCTGTGTCACTCTTGAGAATATCACGCGAGAGATCAACCTCGTTATTCACCTGGAGGGTGATGCGCTTGCCCTTCTCGGGTACCTCGCCACCGGTCTTAATTGCAGAAGATTTGTAGCCGCAGTGTCCACAGTTCGTGCCAAACAGCAGAACTTCCTTGAAGTAAGGAATGTTGACTTTCTTAATGTTCACCTCGGCTTGCTTAGTGCAACCGGGACACTCAGCAGGAATGCTGTATACCTGGCCATCAACGATATCGAGGTCTTCTGGGTCGCCAGCATCAACCTGGGATGTCTCCTCTTGCTTGACAGCGTCTGCGTCTGCGGAAATTCCCAACTCTTCGTTCTGTTCGTGGGTACGCGGGTATTCACGGCGTGTGTACTTGTTGCCACGGTCAGCGCTGTTAGGCGCAATCCATGAGTTTCCAGTAAGATCATCGAGGGAGATGGTGAAGGGGAAAGCAGCGTCGTCACGTTTCATGATCTTCTCGAGACTATCGATGATAGGCACAAGGGAAGCGTAAAGTTCAGGAGCTTGCTCCTTACGGAGATCTTGCTCTCCTGCCAAACTTTCATGGATGAGTTGAACCACTAGAAATAAAGAGGTTAGAATCTTGGAATTGATCTCTATTGCAACGGGCTTCACGTACTGCCTTCCACATTAGTCAGCTGGCCGGTTCCCTTGGGAACTTCAATCTCGTTGCCGAGCTTAGTAGTAAGTTTGAAGCCTGAAACATCACTGCGGATGACTTGGCGCTAAAAGATCCAGTTAGCTTGAGCGGGAGAAGATGGATGATAGCTAGATATAGATACCTGAAGATCCTCCTCATTCTCGACCCTTAAAGCGTAAACTGTTCCACGCTCCTGAATCTGGCCGGCAGATTTGATCGAGTTGTTCTTGAAGTAGCAGTGTTCACATTCGAAGCTCTCCAGGATGATGTCTCTGAAGTAAGGGACTCGGAGCAAAAGCAAGCGCGTAACACTGATTGAAGTGATTAAAGGTTAGCAATGTGCAAAACATAAGGACTGAGTTATAGAAACGAACCCTTGCTCATGGCAGTTCATGCAAAGCGATTCTATTGACATCGCACCTGTGTCCTCATCACGCTCGACAAGATCACCGGGCTTTTGGAACTGGGACTCAAACTGCGCCTCAAGCGCATCGTTGTCGGCTTGATTGACCATTGTATAGGAGTGAGGGATAGATTGACAATCTGTAGAAAATGGGAGATATGTGAAATCTGATAATATGTAAATATTTCTGTAAAGAGGGGGATCCGGAGGAAGATGTAGAGCAAATTCTTATCGCAAAAAAATTATCGGAGCCACGGGAACCTTCCTTACTGTTCTGCGCGGGGCAGGTGGGCTGAGGGGCGCTGACAAAGGGGATGAGGTAATCTGGTTCTGCCGATATGTATGCGGGTCACCGCCCAACCCTCAAGGCGGTGAGGCTGATGACTTTATCTCATGACGTTTACTCTAGGGCTACAAGGGATGTAGACTTGTAGGTCTTCTTGTACAACATGCATTGTATTGCGCATGAATAGATGACAATTTTAGCCCATGGCCTCAAGTTTCCTTCCTTGAGCTTCCCGCTATGTCCATCAATGACTGGAATCTGCAAATGTAGGTAGTTAGCGTAGTCTTGGAATAAAGAGTTTGGGAGGACTTATAAAAAAAAAAGTGGCCGTTTCCACCACCAAGGTAGTAGAAACGGCTGTCCACCAGATATCGCCTGGCCAAAACATTCTGCTCCCATGTAAAGAGCCATAATTGACACAACGTCCAATTCCCTATGATAATACAATAGTTCCTTAGCAGTACAGAGATCGCCAGATTTCCCATTCGTCGCTTTTCAGTTCACTCCAATCCGACAGTTAGAGCGAGCCTCGGCCGGGAACGCATAGCAGCAGATGAGAATCGTAGACAAGCCAAAGCTTTGATCCTCACTCGAGAGAGGTCCCACGATACCCACTGCGTAGCGCATACACGTGAGAACCGACTAAGGACATCACCTTTATGTCGATCGGAAATGGGCTGATAAGTCAAAGCGTTCGAATGTAGAAACCATACGTTTCTCCGACCAGAACAACTGCGATCAATCGAGAGCAAGAGGGAGAGCATCAATTGCAGGCGCAACAGGAGTTGAGGAATGTCTGGGAGCAAACGACAACCGATGAACGTAGTCCACGAACCCACGAAGCCCCACACAGCCCTCACAAAGACAAGGTAGACTTCGAACTTAGCCGAGACACAGTACACTCAACCGAATCTACTCAACGACGACCCCTCTCCGCAATTTCAGTCAACTTGCCGTTGTTTCACCGATACAGTCACATGAGCATGAAGCCGAGTCTCCCGTGTGTGGTGCAGAACCCTTTGGGACAGGTTTTTGTTTCTTCCCCCGGTTGACCCGAGGATCTTCCAGGAGGGCATTTTATGAAGCGGACAAAGAACATCCGGAAAAACCGCTTCCTTCTTCCCGAGGGAAGGCACAATGATGGAAGTCATTGTTGAGGTCGCCGTCCATCAATCTATTCGCAAACTGCTTTGAGAAGAGATGGTTAACACGGTCGGTCAGGATCTTCTGATGAAGTCGCATCGGTGGCGGGTGCCGTGATACGAGGTACCTAGCCGCCTGTAAGGCGTAGGAATAACAGAACCCGAGAAGGTGGAATGCAGGGGCAAGATCCCCAGGGATCTTGGAATAGGAAACATGTGCAGGAGCAGACAATTCATGATAGCAGAATTGAGGAGAGAACACAGGCAAATAAGTCCGGAAAACACAAAATAACTTGGGGAGATTTGTTTCCATCCGGAACGAGACAACAGTTCGTAATCTTTGATGTGCCTATTGAGATCAACATCAAAGAGTCATAGGCAGCATAATCAAGAGCCTCGCGACAAATTCAACTATAAAAATGCCTGGGCAATTTTCAGGGAGAGGAATATTGATTCTGGCGAGTGGACCCTTGGATATGCTGACACTATGACTGTATGTAAGAATACAGTTGTGTTCTAGGCACCAAATCTCTGAACCAAGCAATTTTATGCCCTAGGGTATTCGAGACTCAAATGTCGTATTCAATTGCCATCTGGTCGCGCTGTCGTGGTTGCTCCTAAAGGTGACATCTGATACCGAAGTACCCGACATGTTTCACCTGCATTCTCTTCTCATTGAACTGATACCCGAGGCATAGGTGACCATCCGGTTGTGACCCACATGCAGCGTCCAGCATTGGAAAACCGACGCGCTCTCCATTTGGATAACGCATAGTAAACCGTCTTTTATGCCCGAAGGCTCTGGCAAAGTCGAATATCTTTCACTTAATCGGACCATCACAGTCTTTTTCAGCTAATCGTATTATTCGGCATGCGCGATCCGTGAAACTGTGTCCATAAGGACAATGCGGCGAGAAAGGTTTAGGGTTAGACTCCAATATGTTCTGCGCCGAAACGATACGAGCCACCGAAGGCGAAACATATGTGACGGTTCACCATTGAAGGCAGCAGACAGAAATGAAGATCTAGAAGGGTTGATCTGTACATGTGTGCCTCGGAAGGCAAGAGACCCAAGTGGCTCCACGCTCAGGAAACGGTACTGGTGGAACTCCGGCACGTCTGAACAGAAATTGGGTCCAATAAGTGTCGTGAAAATAAGCAAGGTTAGGGGTAGCTGAGGAACTGGCCACGGCGGTTCAAATTGTCTGGTAAAAGGGTGTGGAATGAGCAGTGGATAGAGTAGACGGAGTTGGTGACAACAACAACATCCTGAGATCTTGGCTTGACGCGACTAGATCAATGCGGGCAGGCGCGACGGGGCACGAGAGTGACGCGATTACCACGTGACCCCCACAGGATCTCCTGTCCGCTGTCTGTGATTATATAATCAACTACGAACGCCAAGACTGCAATTGTTCTGATCACAGTGATTCATTTTTTGAGAACTAGACAATGCCGATGAGGCAAATACCTTCATTAGCATGAGTTTGAGATGAAAGTATCTCACAACTGTTTATGATGGGAGATCCACAGCAAATGCGTCAAGTGTTTGGCATTGCTAAGAACTTTCTAACCCCAGTTCTCGATCGAGGTATGCATATTCAAGATGTCTATCTACATTGAGATCTCTGGCGCTGACTGCCTTCCAGAGGAAATACAGAAGACCCAAGGTAAATCTTTACTTCAGATCCTCAGTCAGTCTTCGGGACATGACGAGGGTGTTGGTGATGATGCCGCAAGACCAATTGTGATCAATGAAGCTTTGGATATCTTGACCAGTGTCCACAAGTCCTTTGTTTCACCTGGGGACCAATATGGGTCCCTTCAATCGTGTGAGGAGGTTGAAGACTCACTGTCAGAAGATGCCAAGCGCCGTCGGATGCTACATGCATTACTAGACCTGATTTCCTTGGAGGGAATATATCCTTCACTATCATCTGGCGTTGGGATCCCCCTGCAGCAGCGGGTAATCTCAGTGTTGCCAGCTGGTGTTATTGCAAAGCAGGCTCAAACATTTACTAGCAGTGTGCCGCACAATGAGCCCCTTTTGCGCCGCATAATCGATGTTCTAGTCGACATTCTCTTCGACCCGAGACCAAGCCTGCAGACGATCATTCGTGGTCGTATATTGAGCGACATAATCAGTGGCACGTCTGATCTGGCTTTCAATCCAAATACTACGGAATCGTCCAACCGGAACGCATATCGGAAAAAGCTAGCAAAGATAATTAATGAGTACGCTCCCTTTCTCTTAGCTATTTCTAGGTAATACTAACGGCCTCAGTACCCCAACCACCGTCTTGCTACCTACACTGTCTGCATTCCTCCAGTCGGATACTGCACCATGGTTCAAGTCAACCATCTCCGGCCAGATATCGCAAGTTCCGCTACGACCCGGCGGAGTGGTGCAAACCATCATGTTCATTGCATCGCAGTTTTCCCCATCACTAGGTCAGGAGGCTCAGGACCAATCAAATGGCCCTCGTTTAACTGTCCAGGCTATCATGCAAATCTCACGACTCCTTTCTTCTGTGCCATCTGATATTGACCCAACTGTCTATTTTGAAACAATTGCCCCGCAATTGCTCGCATTAATAGACGGCGACGATCCAGATCTGAGGAAAACTGCATCATACGTCATCGGTAACGGAATTTTGGGGAAACGTGCTTATGGTGCTCCTGGTACTGTTGGCCACTCCATCTTTGTGGAGCCGATATTCAATGCACTTGCCGCGAATCTCGATGATAAATCGAGGCGATGGATCAGTCGGTTCACCGATATCGAAGGCTCTATGCCACCCATCACGGAAGCAGATCCCGCATCCAATATCTTGGTGGGTGGTGTCACGGTGGATCTAGCTCTCAACAGGCTCAGGTGTCTCACATTGCAACATCCAAACCCAGGCCTCGTGAAACGAATCGTGTATCCGATTCTTCTTCCCCTGTGGGGCTTAGTCTGTTTCTCCCAAGAGGAAGATCTCACCTCATTCCATGAAAGGGTCTTGCCCCTGCTTCAGACGTATTTTGGTATCTCTGTTGGGGTCCAACCCCTGAAAAAGCTGATCGATAATCTTCTTTGGGATGGGGGAGTGACGTGGACATATAAGAAAGATGCCGACGCTGGAATTGCGTTGCAGAAGCGGAATGAGAAAAAGAACGAGCATTCAAATCTCATGCGACTGATCGATTCCCTTCAAGCTCGAGCAGAACTTTTCGTCAGCCTCATTGGCTCAGATCCTAGTAGTGAAGAGCGGACAGGCGATATCTTCCTCTATGTCAGTCAGAACTGGCTAGTGCAGCCCCAGGCTTCTCCACTTCCTCGCAACACACTGAATGGAGGTCCCGTTGGCGAAAGTGACAACATAATCCAGAAACTTGTTAGCGCCAAGGTTGCAGAGAAGCTGCTTGAGAACTTCAAAGAAGCACTGACTCGACGCCCGCTTCGAGTTTTAGAGCTCATCAAGCAAGTCATTGATGGGGAACTACATAGACTTAGCGCCCAACAAACAGCGGTGCGAAGCAAATTAAAAAGTACGGTGTCCCTGTCATCTTTAGCTAATATCGTGGAAACGGAGAGCAAAGATGGGGAGCAATTAGACAACGACTCCTTCGAGTCCGTCTCAACAGCCTTCAGTTTGATGTCTACACTCCTTGCATCCGCCGATTTCTCCCCCACTGCTGAAATTATGCCCCTCCTTGAATCTCTTAAAAAGGACATCGATCAACTCATTCCCTTGCTCCCTTCTACCCTCTCTAAGCCAGCAACAACCTCGTCTATGCTGCTAGAGATTCACCTCGCCGGTGCAGACGAAACCACAGTCAAGGCAGTACCAGCTCATGTTCAGGACCTTGACACGCATCGTCAAGCACTTGCGAATCTCAACTCAGATTTACCACCCGTGCAGGCCGAGGGTCTATCGCTGATCTCGAAACTGATCATGAGCTCCTCGCCCGTTCTTGATGTAGGGTCAACCCTCACCCTTCTGCTCTCACTCATCACCGACACATCTAAAGCCGGTGCCAATGAGGAGTACACATATCTTGGTGCGATCAAGCTAGTTGGTACTCTAGCCTCACGTCATCCACGCACCGTGATCAAAACCTTGGTTGAGGAGTACGCAGACAGAAGCGAACGACGGTCATTAGACGAAAGACTTAGGATTGGTGAATCTCTTCTTCGAACGGTGCAGGAATTGGGAGACGCATTGACCGGCGAGACGGCCAAAATTCTTGGTGAGACCATCATTGCCGTCGCCGGACGGCGTGGCAACAAGCAACAAGCACAACAAGCCCGTAGGAAGCAGCTTGCCAAGGAGAAGCGGGAACAGGAACGCGCTCAGCGCAAGGAAAAAGAACCAGCCATGCCTGAAGGCTGGTCTATTTCATCTGGAGTAGCCAAAGCTGCCTCCGAACTCGACCTCACAGAGCTCCATTCGGACGACGAATCTCCAGAGCAATCAGCTTACGCCACAAACGTCGTCGCTGCGTGGGCTGCCGGTGCATCTGCAGACGATGCCCCTGATGACCTTCGCGTCCGCGCATCGGCCATTTCCATTCTTGGATCAGCCATTCACGTCAACATCCTCGGTCTTGGCCCCGTCATTCTTTCCTCCGCTGTCGAACTCGCGCTTGCTACCCTAACTCTCGAGAGGGAACCGGAGAGTGCCATCCTCCGCCGAGCGAGTATCATCTTGATCTTAGACATTCTCAAAGCTCTCGAGGCAGCGCGGGAGACGCGCCGAAATCAGGATATCGGGTTCGGCTTTTCGCTTCTAGATGATTCGTCTTCTACTTTTACAGCCCCGTACGGTTCCAGCATACAGGGGCAGTCGACCATTGGCAATATCCCTGCTATGCTACGCACACTTCGGTTCGTCGAGGGTTCCGAGGAGGACGGGCTCGCTCGTGGAAATCTGCGCGCTTTAATCGAGAGTTTGGAGGCTTGGTCAGAGAAGACTTTGATGTGGGGCATTGGTGCCCAGGATGATCAGGATGCCTTCAGTCCACAATTTGGACTGAGAGATAGGATCGCCGGTCTGCAGGTTGATCCCATGGCAGGGGAAATCACTGGACGTCCGCGCATCGAGGAGATTGAATGAAGCCAAGTGTACAGATACAATACTACCAATAACCACTATTTTCTACTCAATATTCAGAGTCAATAAAATATCGAATAATAGTCAGTAGTACTAGAGCCAGTTACCAACTAAAAAGAACTATGATCTTGTCTTTCTCTCAGATGTCCCTCATATATCCAACTGGGGACTTGCAGATATCAACAGCCAATCACCTATCTGATCCGCCTGTTGGACTAGCATCATTGGTCTAGTGGTAGAATTCGTCGTTGCCATCGACGAGGCCCGTGTTCGATTCACGGATGATGCACTACTTTTTTGCTTTTCATTTCCATTGAACTTCACTATTGATGCTATTGATGTTGAACTGAAATGTTTTTTTTTAAATAAATGCTGCCTTTAATTTGGTTATGGTTCCACCTGCAGCTTACAGGGCCACAAGGACTCAGGTGAAGCTGAGAGTGGGAGGTTGGTTATAACTGATCTAGCTAATAGACTTTTATATCACCATGTCAATGAAGATTGTTAACCAGAAAAAAGTGACAGAATAGGTGGAATTAAGGAAAACACCATACAAAATCGGTCCTATGTAGCTAGTAGAACGGCTATCCACAAGCCGAGTGAAGATGTATTCTATCAAGTCACTAACATGCAGAAATTCAAGTCAATAACAAGGAATCTCTGAACTAAACGTAAACTCATCTCTACAGTATGTAGTGCCCGCTGCGCGGATTCATAATTTCGTGTACATACATGCGCAGAGTAAAACAAAAGAAAAAGATATTGGAAAAAAATATTTTCTCACTTAAAAATCCTCACGATATCTCATTGGTATCTCATTCGTATCCTATTCCGTATTTCATTCGACGCTGCCAACCCACTAAAACGAACGGAAATGTGGTCCGTACGTGTGGGAAAGCCAAGGACTGATCAAATTACCAGGCAATATCAGTAGTGCTCTGGGCTGGGGGTCCTGAGCTACCACGCCCAGCACGACCACTGTATGCACCGCGCCCAGGACCACGTCCGCCACGGGCCCCGCGACCACGTCCACCACGTCCACCACGGTTTCCCTGGAAGTGTCGGGGGGCTTCAACGCGTGGGCCTGCTGCCATACGAGCCTGGCGTTCTTCTTCGCTCATGTCAAACTTATTCTCAATGCCGATCAGCTTGCAGAAGGCAGAAGTCTGCGGGTTGGTGTATTCCTTTGGCTGCTCCTGGGTGTTGATGGAAACACCAGGGTCATAGATGGGGGCAGTCAAAACGAAGTCAGTCGGGACGTCCAGCAAACCAGCCTTCACAATATTCTCTTCAACCCACTCTTCCTCTTCAATGATACGCTGTTGGTAGAATTCATATCCCTTGTGAGGAGGGACAGGAACATTGGGCGGTCCACCAAACTCGAGCTCATCAGCAAATGCACGAAGAATCGCCAGCCACTCCTTATCATACTGAAGTCGTAGGGGCGACTCAATTGCAGCACCGCCTTGCTCGGAGATTGGCTCAATCTCCAGCAGTTCAACAAAGTCATCATGGTTATGGGGCTTGTCCAAGGTCAGGAACTGGGTTGCAAGGTTCTGAATCTTCTCGGGGGCCGGGAGGTATGGAGCAGGCCGGTTTGACACAGGCTTTGAGAGAGACGACTGCCCAAGGCTGGCTGGGAGTTCGGTTTCCACGGCACAAACTCGATCGTCCACACCATCGTTCCACCAGGTATCCGGAGTGCGGTCATCACTCCAATTCAGAGAGATATCAGCTTTCGGCAGGGCCTTCTCAGCTGGAGGGGATTTCACGCTGGGGGCGCTGCTGGGGCTCGTGGAAATGCTGATCTTGTCCATATTGTCAGCGACCTCATCGGTCATCTTGACATCCGTGGTCGTCTTAGTAAGCTTAGTAGTCCTGACACTTTCGGTTGTTTCAACGAACGAAGACCCCTGCTGGGTAAGCACCTCCTCCAGAGGGATATCCACAGCGCTATTTCCCTCGCTGACTTTGTCGTGGTCTTTGATTTGCTCATCGTCGACCGGGGCAGACTCGATCTTTTCTCCGTCGGCGCCACGTATGCATGTCTGAACAGGGCCGCCGCCAATCTTGGATGTCTCATGAAAGGTAATGTTCCGTGGAACTTGTGGCTGTCTCGCCCTGATCATCTGCATAAACATCTCTTGGTCGTGTCTCTCCTTCTCAGCCCGCCGGGCAGTAGCTCCGAATGCATTCCAAGCTTTGATCCGAGTATGTTCGTCCCCAATGGCAGTGCCGAGCAATTGATGACCAGCGAGGGTGCTGGTGTTGAGGTTGCTGCGTGAAACCGGAGAGTCCTTCTTCGCATCGACAACGTCGACAGGAGGACTGCGGGGACTCAAAGGATTGGACTTCGCACGGGGTGGATTATGGGGAACCTTTGCAGTGAAGCGAACATGCAGATGAGCTGAAAGCCAATAGGCGGGACGAAGATGATTCAGAGCCTCACGTGCAGCCACACTTCCAAGCTTTCCTGAATCGGAATCAGCTTTGAAGCCTGACTTCTTGCGAAACAGGGTGCCATAGTCCCCAAGCTTCTCCACCCCCTTGGGCCAATCATGAGACAGTCCGATGTCGACTTGAGTGCGGACCTGAAGCAACTTGCGCACATCCAGCTCTCGGATATGATAAATTGAGGAAACATCATCTCGGTTGTAAGGCAGTCGCTCATAGTGGGCCTTGCGGTAGTCATAGCCCTTCCAGATGCCGGACATTCCGGAGATTCGGAGAGGTCCCAAGCGCATGATGTTGGCGGCGCCCATGAAGAAGATTTTGGGGGCCACCCAACCGCCGTAATAAAGCTCGGAAAGGTGATTGCTTGCCTCATGGTTGCCTCCGATGAACAGTGTCAGATAGGGCGCAGTACGAGCACCACTGTAGTATTCATGAAAGTCGCCGATTTGCTTGAACTTGTCGGGGACTGAAAGACAAGTCGCATCATTGGCATTACGTAGAGCCTAGTTTAGTCAGTCAACATTGAGCTCAGGTGAAATCGTACATGGCAAGGAACCGACCTGGAAATCTCCGCCGATGATGACAATATCAACAGAACCCCAGCCTTTCTCAGTGGCCTTGCGATCCACAGTCTCATAAATGTCGTTGAGGCTGCCATGGCCCTATATAAAATGATTAGCGGCTGCCTGTGAAGTGGGGATGTCACATGAAGTAGATTTGCATGCAATATTACTTACGCAGCCTTCCACAGCAATGCGCACAGGTGCCATAGTGGACGAATCACTGAGCTTGTAGATTTTGATAAAACAGAAAAACAGAAAAGCTTCAGAACGAGGCTGTCAGAAGAACGAAGTTGAAATCAAACCCCTGCTGCAAAGCTACTGAGAGCTGCAGAAGAGAAAGCAAGAGACAAAAAGCAAGAGAAGGGTAGAGGATGAAGATGGAAAGGGGAGAGGGTAGAGAGTAGAAAGAGATGTAGATGGGAAGAAGCGGCGGGTGGAGCTTGGGGCTTTTAAGCTCCCGCGCGGCAAATCTCTGAATAGCAAACGGCGCGCTCATTGTCTTCCGTTTGTCCCTATTGTTCTCCGTTTGTCCCCATTGTCCATTGAGCTCACGATCATTGCGGTTGCTCAATAGAAATCTTTTTTCCCTCAATAGGCAAGGTCTCACAATGTCTCACATTGATCATTCCTTCCTCATTCAGGCTATCTCGGCTCTTCCCCTCGGTTCGTCGACATCAGCTCATCTGCAGGCGGTGCACACCCGGCTCCTCCACGAGGAATCTAAGTCGTTGAATATCAAGCAAAAAAGAGACCACTGTGGAGCGTGCGGTAGCATTAGAAAGCCTCAGTGGAGTAAAGTTACTAAGATCAAGCCGAAAAAAAGCAAGCCTTTAAGCTCTGGATCGGCTTCTACGGGTGCCACAGTATACAAGTGTTTACGCTGCTATCAGCGGACAGTACTACCTCAAAGGAGTTCAAGGAATCCTGCCTCGAAACCTTCTTCTAGAGCAGCTACGGTCACATCTACTCGAGGGCTAACTCCTGTAGGGGCTGACGTGAAAGGTTCGCAGGCCTCAACAGATCTCAAGGCAGTTGACAACCAGAGCAGCAAAAAGAGAGCTAAGGCAAGAAAGCAAGGTGGTCTTCAAGCTCTGTTAGCCTCCAAACAACGTGCTCAGCCCTCACTCGATCTGCTCGACTTTTTGCAGTAGAGGTTGCGCACGTGAGTTTATCCCTAAATCGGGACTAGCGCGGGGCAGCTAGCTTGCCTGCGACTCCAGGCCCGTGACGGTGACCCCAATACCACATCTCCAGCGCGTGTGTCCGCAGAGCCAACCGCGATTTTCCTTTTATTATTTCACTAAAATACCTCTCTTGCGGTTCCATCATTGCCACAATGTCATCCTGCTCAGACGACGACGAACATGATCCCCAAGCGGATGAGCTCCGCGAGACCGCCTTGGTCACGCTCGAAGCGTTGATCAGCTCCTGCAACCAACAGATGCAACCATACCTAACAAACACCACTCGATCGGCTCTTCGATTTTTGAAATATGACCCAAACGTCGCTGAAGTGGAGGATGATGAGGAGATGGGAGGAACACAGGACGATGGGAGTGAGGACGATGACACAGAGGAGCCTGACCTAGAAGACGATGAATTTGAAGACTTCGAAGAAGAAGGCGGCTACAGTGATATCGATGACATGAGCTGGAAGGTACGCCGATGTGCTGCCAAGCTTCTCTACACCGTCATCTCTACCTACGGACTTGGTCGCGCTTCGGACTCCTCGGCCCTGTTTCAACAGATTGCCCCAGCTCTAATCTCCCAAATTAGCAGGGAAAGAGAAGAGAGTGTGAAACTTGAGGTGGTGTCGACATTGACGGCGCTCGTTCGGAAAACCGGCGAGGGCTCCATGATCATCACATCCAATGACTTCCTGGAGGCCGTGGGTGGCTCGAAGAATTCTCGCAAGCGCAGACGCCAAGATAGTGATGCGTCAATGATTGACTTTGAGCCGAGCGCTGGAACCTCGTCAGCGATGGATTCCCCTGCTGTCCCATCGTCCCCCAAGTCGGGTTCTCAAGCTGATCTGGCCCGCTCCGTACCTTTAATTGTACAGAACCTTGTCAAAGTTTGGAAGCAGGCTTCGATTCCTCTCAAGCAAGCTGCGATTATTCTCCTCAAAAGCCTTTCGTTAGTTCGCTATGGTGGTCTTGCAGACCATCTCCAACAAATTGAAGACCTCATTGCCGATGCGCTCAAGACCTCCTCTGTCTCAGGAAGCACTGCGGCGCATACTGGGGCTGCTGTCAGTGCAGGTACCCTCCAAATCGAAACATTGGGTCTCATTGCAGTGATCGCCGAGACCCATTTGTCCGACTCGCTATTGCCATTCCTGATTGCCCTGGTGCCCGGTGTGGTCGGAGCCGTCAACGACCGCAATTACAAAGTTAGTAGTGAGGCCTTAGGCGCCGTGGAGCAAATTGTGAAAGCAATCACACCCCCGCGTGTGTCCGCCAATCCTTCCGATGTCACTCTTCAGCTGCAAAAGCTCTATGATGTTGTTCACTCTCGAATCACCGACACAAGCGCTGATCTGGAAGTCCGGCAACGGGCAATTCATGTGTTCGGTGTTATCCTCGCACGCACATCAGGAGAGCGGGGTGTAGAATTCCTTTCATCCGAGAAAAGGGCTAATGGTTTAGCTGTTCTAGTCGACAGGATGAAGAACGAGACAACTCGTTTGTCCGCTGTTCGTGCGGTGGATGATGTTGTTGTTCTCGCCAACCGCAAGCAGGATGTTTCTAGTGACTGGGTTAACAATGTAGCCCTTGAGCTAGGTTCAAACTTACGCAAATCCGATCGTGCGTTGAGAGGCGCGTGTTTGGAAACTCTCCGCAGTCTTTCCATGAACTCCAATCTCAGATCTCACCTCACTCCTGAGACGATCACAGCACTCCAGAATGATGCTCTGCCTCTTCTCTCTGCAGCAGATTTCCACACTCTTACGCCCACGTTGATCATTATCGCCAAACTTGTCCCTGGCAATGCAAAACTAATAGTCAACAGCGGTTTGATCTCTTCTATCTGCTCAATCGTGACTAAACCACTCGTCGGAACTGTTCTCAAAGCATTGTTGCTGCTGGTCAAAGTCATTGGTGACGAAGGTGCGGGTGCTAGTTTGATGCAGAATCTCCTCCGTGACGTGGGAATTACAGGGGACTCATCAGTGGTTGGAAGAGCCGTTGGCACCCTTCTGGTCCACAGCGGACCGAATCTCGGAGTCACAATGGAAGATTTCTCCACAGAACTCAAGACTGCACGGGATGATAGCCGAAAATGCCTTGCTCTTGCTATCCTCGGCGAAATCGGCCTGCGGATGGGCCCAGAGTGCTCCTTGACCCCGAATCTCTTCATTCCCCATTTCGAATCCCAGTCAGATAACGTGCGCTTGGCTGCCGCCACTGCCCTCGGCAATGCCGCTGCAGGTAGCGTCAAAGCTTATCTCTCAGTCATTCTGAATGGGTTGGAAAAATCAAATCCTCAAAGCTATTTGCTCCTCCATTCGGTGCGAGAATTACTTCAGCATCCCGAGGTCGTACGCCCGGATCTTGCTCCATCTGCTCACAAATTGTGGCACGCACTCCTTGTCGTCTCTGAAGAGGAAGACAATCGGGCTGTCGGGGCTGAATGTGTGGGCCGCTTGGCACTTCTTGACCCCGTTTCTTACATTCCCCATTTCCAAGTAAGTCGTGTTCATTCTTCTACGTTTGCAATACTAACTTCATGCCCACAGGAGTACCTGGCCAATGCTGACCCGGCTGTACGTGGTGTGGTGATTTCCGCATTCCGCTATACGCTTGCTGATTCAAGTGATGCTTACAACGATGTCCTGCGACCGTTGATGGTGCCCCTTTTAACCAACATGCTCGGTGACAATGATTTGGGCAACCACCGACTTGCGCTGACCACCCTTAACTCTGCAATCCACAACAAGATGGATCTTCTACTCCCTCACCTCGACGAGCTGCTGCCAGCTGTTCTTGGTGACACCAAAATTAAGCCAGAACTCATTCGCGAGGTGCAGATGGGTCCATTCAAACACAAAGTGGATGATGGGCTGGACTTGCGAAAGGTCAATATCTCCTATTATTCCTCGTCTGATAGATCCCTACTGACTGAAACTTCATTCACAGAGTGCCTACGAAACCCTCTACGCTTCCCTCGACACCTCGTTCTCACGTACACACATGGTTGAACTCTTTGACCGCATCGTCGCCGGTATTGATGACGAACAAGACATCCGTGCAATCAGCAATCTCATGACATCCAAAATGATCAAGATCGCACCGGAGGATACCGAGCGACGTCTAGATGCTTTGTCAGAGCACTATACCTCTGTGCTTTCCTTCAAGCCAAAGGAGAACGCCGTCAAACAAGAGTTGGAGAAGGCCCAGGAGGCATCTCTCGGTATTCTGAAGATTACTAGAGAATTGAGCAAGGCGTTCCCCGGTGCGGAGGCATCAGGCGATCTTCACAAGTGGAAGACATACATGGAATGGGTTCGGCGGACCTTTTCCTCGCAGCTGACGACTTTGGAAATGGAGGCCTGAACTTGATACAGCGGAACTCAAATCCTGGACAGCTGCAATGGTTTTGTACGATGAAAAGCGTAACGGTGGACCATGTATCGCAATTAAGCTAGCTTACGACATATTCCAATGAAATAAATGATCATATTATCGCTAAACTTGCGGTCTTAGCTTTGTAAACATACCCGGAGAGCACGCCTTGGCTAGCAAATAACAGCAGGACCCTTCTCTAGTGCTGTCAACCTAGATTTATCCCGAGTGTGTATACCGCAGCTTTTTTCTTTTTGCCACGGTATCTATCTTGAATCCGAGGTTATAGAGCATTCATTGAGAGCATCTTCAAAGTATCTGTATTTAGTTCATTTCATATAAATCCTCCCGTCATAATGTCCCAGTTAGTTGCTAAGAAAATAGCTGCTACCACTTCTGTTACGCCTCTTCCTCCTTGATCTGAGTCGTCTCGGGCGTAATCTCTCCAGGAAAAGGCTTGCGCGCCCATACACGTCGTCTATAAACAAGGATCAGCATGTCAAGCCCCCCAATATCACATCACAGGGTCAGACTAAACTCACGCTCTCTGATAAAGATGATATCTTGGATTCTTAATCTCCGAACGAACCTTGGCCAAATAAACAGTAACTTCATCCTTCGACCAAGGAGACGGCGAACCGAAATGGGTAAGCAACCACATACACCAACCCTCCATACCCGACAGCCAATGCTGGAAATTAACAACGCCTGCCTCTTTATATTTCTTATCACGAGCCCATGGGCCAATCGGCCATCTGTATACCTGCTCGTGCAAATCCACAAACCCAGCTTTTTCCATCGCGCCGCGCATGGTATCAATAGTTTCCAGCGGGCGTCCGGCGCGCGCACCGCAAGCGTTCATATTTGGACCCCATTCTCGCAGGATACTGTTTGCTGGCAGGCTGCCGTCGTCACATTCGATGCAGGGACTGCTCTCGAGTTGTTCGATCCAGCCTCCTGGTCGTAGATTTCTACGAGAGACCTGGTGTCAATTCAAATGGTTGCAGATATGGGTAGGAGTTGGGACAAGTGGGTGATTTACTCAAAAGCGCTTTTGTAGACGTGGTCCCATCCCGCGGAATCAAATGAGCCGATCATAACCCGCATGTGAATTAGGTCAAGGGGCTCTTTCCAAGTCCATTCTTCTAGGATATCGTCGATTTCGAGAATACAGTTGGGCGGCACCCATGTAACGGGGGGTGGGAAGAGATCTACTCCTCGGATGGTTGCTAGATGATGTTAATTTACCATCTTGTAGATATTCAGGGGGATAGGCACTCACCAGATGGGAGCATATCGGCAACATCACTAGAAAGATTTTATGTTAGTATAGGTCCTATATGTTATGGACAAGGAAGGGCTCGTTTTGACGTACATAGCCCAGTCGCCTTTACCCGTTCCAATGTCGAGAATATGCTTAGCATTTTTCCCAATAGGTGCTCTAAAAAGCGGATTCTCTCGTTCCGATTCTAAAACGAGAGCGAGCAAATGGCTGAGAGTGTTAGAGGTATGATTGACATATAGAAAGATTGGTAGTACGTACGCAGCTTCGTAGGACTCGAATGCCTGCTCATCGGAAGGAAGCCTAGTAGGAATCTATAATCAGTTGGCAGCTTCTTTAGGAGATGCTATGACATGCATACAGATATTCTTTGTTGCTCAGCGTTTGATACCTACGGATAAGAAGTAAGCAAAGGCCTGAGCTAAGTGCGCCAAGTGCGCGGAATGTACGATGAAACCATACCGTCTGCCATTTTCCATCAGGCCATGATAGATTGAGGAACCGATAGACGTTGTCTCCCTATGTAGTACCGTGTTAGAGATCAATAACATGAAAGAGCGGTGGAAATTCGAGTACTCACGACTGCCAATCGTCGCCATAATTTGCTGGCATATAGATATCCGTATCCTATAGCTTGTTAGAATAGCGGGGAGAATGGCTGGTGGATAAACACACCACCGCAATTCGGGGTGATCTCGCCATGGTTCGATATTTGGGATTTTGGAATGACAGGAAAGAGGATAAAGCGAACTGGTTAAGGGGGTGTTGACATGTCCATGGGTACTAATGTTGAACGGTTTTCACCGGCTTGTCCCGCAATCCTGTAGGAGGTTGGAGAATTTGGATTGGGCGATGAGGCACGAGTGCGGTATGGTTCTCCACGGTTGGAGCCCGAAGGGGTTTGGTGCGGTATTAGCCACGCTGTGTGGAGGTTACCGTCGACGATCATTGGGTTGATGTTGACAGGGATGGGTCAAGGCTCCATGTGCGCCACGCTTCTCTATCCTTGTTTTATCCATACTCCGCCTCAATAATAAAAGGAAGAATACAAATTACGGAGTACAATGCAAATTTACCCTTAGAATTGCGGCTTACCAAGGGCGAATAGAAAAGGATGAATTCACTGTGATTGTAGTGCAACAGTCCCAGATAATGGTATACATATTGTCTCATATATCTCCGAAATGAGCACAGTAAAGCGGCCACGGAGTTTCTTTTCAAGAGAGCATAATAATTATAGATAAGAATGCGCACTATGCAGGTTGACAGTTAAACCTGGGGAAATGTACAACTATATGCCGCGCATGAGATCCAGCAGGGAACGGACGGTTTCACTGAGCTACCAGAAAAGGAAACTTGCAAGTGTGCCCGAAATTTCTAAACTATCTCGGGCTCTATTACGAAGTTAAGGACCAGAAATATAAGCGAGAGAGTTGTATCAGAAAAGGATACGAGACTCCCAACCTATCTGGCAAACATATTTTCCGGGCGAGCTGCAGTCCGGAACATATGCGGAATAGTAAATGTGATAGATCACAATTTGATATCTCAACAACCATTTTATTTATTTCACTGTGACCCAGTAACTCTTCATAGGACTTTTCAACGGTTTGTAGCAATTTTGAGGCAATTGAAAAGCTGCATTGATATGGTATTGAAACTTCCATGGCTGTGATAGAAATATATATCTTAACCAAGAAGTCATGAAATATCCCAAGTTCTTTTGATAGTATAGAGATATATATATATGTATACCCAACCGTTAAGATATCAGATATTGCATGTAATTCATTGCATTTTACTACGTGTTCTGAACTGCACAGCTTGCCCAGGGAATACGCTACCTTATGATTCTGTATACATAGGGCTTTTGTATTAACTTCCAATGCCATATTCTAGACACTTGCGTGTGCTAAAAAGATACTCCGAAGCAGGATAGAACCATCATCATTATATGCACAATTCAGAGACAAAATAAGGAGAATTTGCCTCACCCAAAGAAACCCTAGTGGCATTAGTTTTTCGGAAGAAGAGTACAATGCGTTTTTCCCAGCTTCAGACTACGGATTCAACACAAAAGTTTTCCACTTCAATCAAAATGTAGAGTAAAATTAATGAAATTGTAGTATGTATTGAATTTGCAAGTCCATCTGTAGAATTCCAAGCTTTTTCTGTCTAATATCAAGATACGCCGCCGAAAAATAACATCAATGAACAGACATAATTATACGTTTGCTATGGTTATGCGTCTGAGCTCTTTATTCCCTTTGACATCTTTGTGTCTTTGTAATCTTCATTTCAGCCATGATACCGAAGAATTACAAGCTACTTTGCGCTGAGTTCCCCTTCCATAGACTCAGTCCCATCCAACAACATCGCACATATTTCATAATGCATTGTCAATCTTCTGTCTCTTCTCGGTTCTTTGTGCCTTCTGGCTCACTGTATTCAATGTTCCCTCTCCAGAGGTCCATCAAGCAACTTGTTCAGGTCAGAAATACATAAATATATAACTGCCTCGACCCAAGGATGGAGCCACCCCGACATTGACCATATTGCTCATTTTGATTCTTGCAACCACGCTTTCTCGCAGAAAACACTAAGCTACCAGCACATTTCTAATAGTCTCCAAAGGAGATGTTGTGGGGACCACCATTCTAAGCATGTCTCTTAGGCTTTGTTATATAATACAGTATGTTGCCCCAGGAGTAAGTTGTGACATGGGGCTGGTTCTAATCACGGGCAAAGCCACACCATTAATATTAGCTACTGTTCGTACTCCTGTTTACCTTAAACATGTGGATTGCAATCACAGTGGGCCTCATGTTGTAATCATATATTGTCGCGATCAATGAATGAAAAATATGTTTCTTCTTTATTTGACTGCCCGTCGAACAATATTTTCCACAACCTGAGAATCACATATCTCTAATGCCATAGACCGAAACAGCTTTGAATTATCCGCAGTACACCCCCTCAAATGGAAAATCATCAATGCCGTCAAATAACTGCCTCATCTCACTAGCATCTCCCATCATCATCCAGAGATCCCAAAGACACCGTGTCCAACATCTCATCCACCCCGGAAAGGTGTCATACTGATCTGTTTCCGGAAATGCTTCAAGAACCTTTACACATCGTAGCTCATCATCGGAATGGTATGGGCTCTCATTTCCAAGGGCCTCTGCTGATGTACCTTTCAGCGTTTGCAGAGATTCTTCATCAATAATCATGCACATTCGCCATTTGGTCCAGCGGTCACGCATGCCTTGAGATTCCACCCACGCTTCAAAATGAGCGCGAATTGCCTCGAGAGACGCCCCATTGAATTCCGCGGGATCTTGCACAATAGTCGACCGGTATTTGGCGCAAATTTCGTTGGGTTTATTTGTAGGATCTTCTTTGTGGTCTAGGAGGAATGATCTCTTAATACAGGCTTCAATGTACCTGATAGCGACTGGGAATAGAGTTTCCGATTCAGCAGAGTAGGTAGTGCGATAGATGACATATCCCCAGTCTGGGTAAGTGCCAAGGCTATTTTGGAGCTCGTCCATGTTGAACTGATGTTCGCGTGAAATTTGAGGGGAGTGGAGAAGAGAGGAGGGAAAGTATGAGTGTCCAAACATGTGCTGCCAAGCCAACATTTGAAACCCCAACCGAGTTTACCAAGACAATCTTTGAGCTTGCCTAAGCCTCTGCAAAGCCCACAAGGCCCCCATCAAAGCCCATTTTGCTGCATAAATATCATCTTGGCATACATAAAGTAGCTGATTAATGACTGTATTTTACGCATTTTCCAACCTGTATACTCAGTAGTATTCAAATGTTTAATTATCATGGTAAAAAGTAGGAATTATATGAATATAACACTAATTCTAGTATCTTATTCATCAAATCAAATCATTTGAATCATTTCTTTCTATAAATTTACTTGTAAATTTGTAAAGGAAGAAGAAGATGAAGAAGAGGAAGAATATGATGATTCACGTATAGCTTTATATACAGCCTGGATAGTAATCTCAATACCCAAAAAAACCAGCAAAAAATGTATTAATTATGCAGTTGCGATGGATTGGCATGTTTGTATTGTTTGATAAATAATGGGGGCCCAGTATGGGCCTAAATGGGCCCTATGGGCTCGAGATATAAGCCCATAACCCATCGATGGGCCCTAAGGATGGGCCCAAAGCCCAACCCATTAGTGGGCTGGGTTGGGCTGGGCTTTGGGCTTTGTGGGCTTTGCAGAGGCCTAGGAGGGAGTTGGAGCGGTTTCGTGCGGAGCGAAGCAAATGTGCGCTTTGTCACGCGACTTGTAAATCGTAAGCCAATCATGGAGACATGTAGATTTCGTTCAAGTGTGGTGTAGCGCTGAGAACAAATTGGCACCTAGGAGCTAGAGATGAGCCTTGGAAGCTACCGATGTGGGCCTTGGCGGGACGATCCGGTGCTCCACTCTGATCGGAAGGAGCTCCTAAGGTTACCTAGATACCTGTAGGTAGAATACCGATTCCAGTTCAATGTTCATAACCTGGGAAGTAAGCAAAGGAAGATTTAGACTTCTTTCTTGAAGTATGCGGCTGAAAGAAGGGGAAAAGCTTGAATTTGGAAACCCATCTACCTAGGTAGTTATATGAGGCTGTATTACTAAGCTTTGTTTTGATCTGACCTCCAGGGCTGGCTGAGAAAGGCTTGGATAGTCGCAGTTTCCTATTTGTTTGCGCAGTTTGCATATTTGTCTTGTTTGATTATTCGACATTCGAGAAGACACAGATCGTGACTGTGACTTCAAGTCCACAACTACGTTATGGAGGAAAATTGTTAGCGTTTCTATTATTAGACAATTATGCAATTACCACCGCGTCGTTTACCTCTTTATAACGCTCTGAACTCAGGGTATGGTCTGATAGGTGAGTCATAAATTCAAGGAATAAGAGTGGGGTATACAGTTTAGGGGTCAAATGATTCAGAAGGTGATTTACCAGGTACTTCATGTAAATTGGTCCAGATCCCACGCGATTTAGGACATTATTTAGTCCTAGAAAATGAAAGTTCCTCTTGGGATTCTCGAGCTTATCCTCCAGAAAGCGGCGGAGTGTCTGTCCTACGAGGATATTGTACGATTCAGACTGGTCAACAGTGGGTTCTCATCCAAGCTGCATCTCGTTTCCACACTAAATTTGTCTGGGCCTCTTCGAGAAAGCGCTATGGCCAGCGAGTGCACATCTACAGAATCAAAAGTCTCTCTTCACATCATGGGACACATTCCCTCACAAGCGAAAATACACTGGTACTTGATTGAAGAGCACGACACCCGGCTATGTCATTTCTCGTATTTGATCCAGAACATTCTTGAAGTGCTTCGTGCTGCGCGCATGAGCATTTGAAAGCAACATATCATCATCGACAAGATGATTGATGCTATTATTCATAGTGCCAAAGATCCCGAGGTTCTATATGGACATCCTGTGCGCGAGGCGTCACAGGATTACTTCTCCGTCGGGGTTAGGATTCCTCGGAACGGACTCTCGGCGCAGCACTCATTGTTAGCACAATCTACCGAGGGAATCATGTGGAGCTGCAGGCTTTGCTTGATCTGCGTGATTGCAGTGACATATAGGATCAGAATCTTGGTTTAGCACCAGTGGCGTGGGGCATTTAGTTACAGGCTCTCTTGTCCCTATATCTCTTATTTTGAATTTGTCATATTTCTGAACTCGAAGCCAATTTCCACCACACCTTATAGGTGGATTTCATCTTGTTCAATCCTTGCAGTCCTCGTCTTTCTCAAGCTCTCGCACAATGGTCTTATTGCCGCTTGTTCGCAGACATCTCCATCTGCAACAGCACCAATTCGGAAAGCCTGCCACACGCTTGGGATACAATGTGCACCGGATACCTAGGGTTAGACGTTGCAAGTAGGATTCCTGGGCGACAGTGTAAAAGATCGCCTGTGCTAGGAGACCGGAATGAAGCGCGCTATTCCGAAGCATCGCCCGTGAAAGCTCGGGATCTGACGCTGGATAGTCCAGCGAGTTCAAAAAGGAATCTCGCTCTTCTATCTCGTTGCCACAAATTAATCGCAATGATAGATTTGTGAGATGAGGAATCCCCCCAATGGTCCTGAAAAGTGATCCTTCCTCTTTGAGTGTTCTTCGGTGCACAGAGAGCTGCAAATCACGGATATTCAGGCAGTGAAGTTGGATTTGGGTGATCCAATTGGTGAAGGAAGGAACCACGTCGTAAATGTCGGACCCAAGTGGGACAAGTGAGAGCATAGTGAGAGATTTACCGTGGTACCTGAGCGCTGCTTGGAATGTATGTTCCTTTTGGCTGCTGGACAGCCGGATTGATTCCAATGGAGGAAGAGAGGAAACAAAAGCACTCGCTGCTTCGTCATAAGAATCCCATCCTGGGAAGCTTAAAGCCAATGATTTTAACAAAGGGAACTGGCAGCTGACAGCCTCGGTAAGAACACTCTCGGAGACATCCCAGAGTTGTAAAACTCGAATCCTTAGAAATGCATCGTGCTTTTGCCAATCTTTGAAATAGTCAAGGCTGACTGCATTTAAGCTGAGATGTTGTAGATTTCCCCCATGTAGTATGTGCTCATCCTTGCGGGTTTGAAAGAAAGTTTGCAGTACTGGGCCTACTGGCTCCTCGGGATCGAGCCTCCCTCCAGTTTGTTCCTCAACAATATGCACTTGAGACAGGTTTGGAGCTAACCCGTTTGCTAGCTCTACCGCTGCTTTGACATTGTAGTCTATAAGCATGGGGTCTTCTTATACCGGGGCTAGAATGCTAGAGAGAGAAGGTGACGTAGCCAATTGATAATCGTACTGATCAAAAGGCCCATAGCTCAAAGTTCCCAATTTGAATGTCATGAGATGGAGTCTGCAATTTGGTATTGACTGATGCAAAGTTTCGAGCAGACAAGGTGGAAATACTACGACGCAGCTTCAGGTTATATCTCGGAGGTGCAACAGTCGGGCCAGGAGGGATTGAAGGGAACCCCAGATAGCATCCTGACGGTTGGAACAATGTTCAAAGAGATCGTCAATATCGCGACGGTAGTAAGTACCCAGACAGCTCAGATCATCTACATTTTCCTCTTGAGGGATAGTCCAAGTTTCCGGTACGTGATGTTTGTTGTGCTCACTGAAAGAAACTGATGTGCCCCGAACTGTCACCGAGCGGACAGATAAAAATGCAGATGAATTGCTGAGAATCTCGTTCCATCGTTGGATATCTCTATCCAGTCTTTCGCGGCTCATGACGGTGAAATTGAGTTGCCGGAAACGATGCCTATTGGCGAAGGCTAAGCATTGCTTGTTCACTAGAGCGAAGTTGTAGACACTGAGTGGGTCATCAGACGCGAGGTGATCGCATATTTGATCGATTATTTCTGGCGAGACAAGGAGTTGGAGTGGCATTGTTGCGTTGGAAGCGCCAAGGCAGCACTGGTGTTGAGAGAAATAAAATAGCGTAGAGGAAAGGAAAGTAGAAAAAATAGGGAAAGGGGGAAAAAGACAATAGAAAATGGAGGCTCCTAGAGCCCTCAAAGTGATGTGTGCTAGCCGTTGATATGCCAACGGTCCTGATGCTGTGACACGCTATCTAGGTGTAAATTATGGTAAATCTCTGGGCTAACAGTTGTTTTCGAATATTCCATGTCTATATCCAACGAGAGGGTTGGTCATTTATAGAAGAAGGGGAATATACTCTACATATATGTATTAGATGGGAGGATGAATCGATTCTATAGAAACGAGAGGGAAAGAAAGCAAACATTGAGTGTATGAATGCATGAATGCTTCAAACCCGCCACCCTTTGTGACTTGTACAAACATGTGCTATCCCCCGGGCTGTAGAACTCTCCCACTTGCAATGACAGGCGTAGTTTTATATCAACACACCCATTTGCACCTTCCCAGAAGAGTCACACACATATAAACTTATGAAGGAAGAGATGTCTTCTCTTTGAAGCAAAAAGTATAAAAAAAAACGCTTCGACCTATTCCCAGTTGTGTCACACGCCGTCCCCGCGTCGCCTGTTGCAGTGGGATAACTTCTGAACGTGTTGTTAGCGAATGCCTCACGCGGCCCAACCCCAGCTGCCATTGCTGGCGGGGCTGTCTAGGCGGGTCGAAACACCTATGAGGGCCTATTTTCTTAGAGACAACGCCCAGGCTTGAACACGCAAGCTCGCTTTTCTTTGCAACCAGTCGGGTACTCACTAACGTAGTACTACCAGGACCATTACCGTTAAGCCAACGGGGCTTGGGAATTGAACATCTGTTTGTGATCTTCATGATAACTGAGGTTTTTTTGCTGTTTCTAGTGATATGATTGGCTAGATCTTACTCTACCAAATTGCCTAATGAGGTGATCATGAAGCTATTCAGGGTGCGGTCCGCTTTTCTTCAGATATCTTTCTTATCTCGTCGCCCTTGGAACTACATATTCCTCCCTAATACTTACGTACTTACCTACATTGCGTCTATCCCCATGATTTCTCATGCCTCTTTGATTTCATGTTCCCTGCGTTCCCACTTTGTCCTTTATCTAACTGGATGGCACCTAAAACAAATGGTCTTCTTGATACACACTCTCCACAGGCCATCTATAGCTTCCCTTTGTGGTCCACTACGCTTTCGATACACGAAATTCTCGGCCCTTTGAAATCCTTACCGGCAAGCAAGCTCAACCTCCTTCAGACAACCTGTTATTCAACGAGTGGACTCCCAAGTCCCGACATCCTCTTTCATCTCCACGCTACTGTTCATCCGTCTCTTAAACCGTACATCAACACCGCTTCTAGCACCCTCTCCGTTTGGCACCCCCATCTCCCTTACCACTTCCAATACAACATGTTATCCCTACCGTCTCTCACAATGGAGACTATCGATCAAATATGTGACCACCTCGCGTCTGATAACCTACCCGGTGTCTACAAATTTACACTCAACCCATTTCTAACTGCTATCGTTTTCAAAATATCCATTTTGCCCTTCTAAATTTACACGATTTTCACTGCAAAATACGTTGTAGCTTACCAAATTTAACATAGGATATATTTTCCCTAGGAGTTTGAGATTCTTAGTATAGCGTTAGCATTGACACGATCTCTTCTAGGCGAATCTCTTTGCGAAAAGTATTTGAACAATACTCCCCGGGGTATGAAACTTCACTACCAAATCGAAGGCAACTCTCCATTCGAAAGCCGCGAGAGTCTTTCGTCGCTGAATTGGAAACATTCCGGAAGACCCGTCTCACCCCAGGTCTTGCCAAGTACAAGTTGGGCGACAGCCGGAGCACATGTAAATATCCGGGCCATACCTGTTGCAAGTCAGCATGTCATCTTTCAGGATATACTCAACAAGGGATAAACTCACCATGACCGTTAAATCCGGCACAAACATACTGCCCAGGCAGCGAATCAATTGCCCCGACGAACGGAACAGAATCCGTAGTCATAGCAATTATTCCAGTCCAAGCATGATCCAGACCCTCGCCGTGCATGGCAGCATGGGACGAATAAGCAGGAAACATTTTACCAAAAGTTCGCAGAGCATCCTGGGCAATCTCATCGTTGTACCGAGAATCGTCGGTGCTAAATCGACCAGCCGCTGTCTCGGGACTCATTGTTGGATTTGATCGCGATACACCTAACACCAATGTACCATCTCCCTTACGTTGAATCAGAGAGTAGAAGTGGAGGAGGCTGAAGCGAAGCGAGAAAGTGTGCTGCAGAGCCCTTTGCCCCGAGAAAGCTGGAACAGGTACGAGAGAGTGAGCCTGTGCACGGTTTGGCCGAATATAAGCCTCCAACTGCGGCAGTAAGAGAGCAGCATGGGCATTTGTGCAATGAATAATTTTCTCTGCTTCTATTATTCCCCGGGGTGTGTACACCTTCCAGGTTTCTGGGGTTGCATCGCTCCGTTCAATTTCAGTAGCAGGACAAAACGTGAAGAGCTTCGTGCCCTTGGATATCACTGCCTGAAGCAGAAACTGTGCAAGCTTTGCCGGGTGACTTGATCCTGCTGGCCACTCATATGCTGCTACAGCCCCTGGGACTCTAGTTTTCTCCTTGGCCTGGTCTCCTTCATAGAATGTGATGTGTGAAGTATCACCGCCGGCTTTCTTAAACGCTTCCAGGCTCTCTGCCTCGTAAGCCGCAAATTCGGGGGTCATGCAAACATCAAATGTCGTTGTCAAGTTGAAGTCGCATTCCACATTATATTTTTTGACAAATGCATCGACTCTTTCTAGGACAAGTCGCTCATCCTGGATGATCTTTAATGCTTGTTGCTCGCCATGCACTTTGGCATATGCACTAAACCCCCTGAAGGCATCTATCTCCAAATTAGAACCGCTCATAATAACACCAATGGAAGTCCACAGACCTGGTCGCACATGTCCGGCATTTCGTGAGCTCGCGCCACTTGCTGCCTCTCGTGCCTCGAGAATCACTATATCCTCAGGTTTGGCCCCTCCTTCGATCAGGCTGAAGGCCGTCAAACCACCAGAAATACCGGATCCCACGACGACATATTTTGACGTTGATGGAACGGTTGTATTGATATTCGCATCCAAATTTGGATATGCTCGGGTTGTTCGCTGCCAGTAGCTCAAGCAAGGGGTGGAATTTGGCAGGCTTCTGCTTGTCTCAATATTTGAAGCCATCATTTCAAATTGGAGGTTTGCAATGAGTCAAAATCTTCGTAAATTTATATTATGTATGTATATAAATTGGAGAGAGAAAGAGAGAGAGAGAGACTCTCATGCTCGCCGTTGTCGGCGCAGGGGGATGCGGGGAAGCCCCTATCACGGACTTCTCCCCTCGAATCCTTCAAGCTCGAAGGATTGCTCCCGAGGTCAACTTATCTCCAGATTTGAAGTCCGACAGACATTGAGTGGAGTTGGTTAAACGCCAAAATGTCTAGCGTCTCTGTTGCGTATCTATACATCAGCAACTCGGCATCCCTCCGGTGTTACCCCAATGGGGGAATACAACTATTGGTGCTTTACATTCTTATCACGCGTGCACCTTGCAGAAACATCCTTGTGTGATCTGCAATCCGAAGTCTACCCCAGATACATCCATGGATTATCTGACCTATCTGTGAGGGGTCATTCGGGTCTTATCAAGCTCGGGCCTGCATGGGCCTGTATATGAATGGCTAACGTCGCTACAATGCCGGCTTTGTATTTTCCCCTACCACACCGCCATAATTATGGTGTCCTTCAAAATGTTTCGTCGCAGTGCGTCGACAAACGTTGATATCCGATCTCCAGAGGAGAAGGACTTGGTCCGACGCCTTGACTTTTTCCTGATGACTTTCGGCTGTCTTTCACAGGGTGCGTTGGGCTACAAACCTCCTCACATGTTAAGATCACCAAAACTGACTTCTGTCAGTTATTAAATATCTTGATCAACAGAATATCAACAATGCCTACGTATCTGGCATGAAGGAGGATTTAAACTTGCTCGGAAATGAGCTTAATCTGTGAGTTGCCACGAGATCTTTACATACCGCAGAGTTGGCAATAGCTAATAATGTCTAGGTTCACAACATATTTTAACGTCGCGTACTGCATAATGCTAATTCCCTCCCAAGTCATCCTCACCTACGTCCGCCCAAGTTATTGGCTGCCGGGCCTGGAGATTGCATGGGGTGTTCTGACCGGATTGATTGCGATGACGACGAGCGCGAAGCAAGTCTACGCTATCCGTGTGTTCCTAGGTCTATGCGAGAGTAGCGCTTGGCCAGGAATGATGACATTATTCAGTATGTCATTCGAAAGCCCCTCCCTTGAGCCACTAAATTAACCGACTCTCCAGTGTACTGGTATACCCCAACCGAACTCGCTAAGCGAATGGGATTCTACCACTCCTGCCAAGCAGTCGGGCAAATGCTGTCCGGTGCCATGCAAGCTGCAATAACCAATACTCTCGACGGACATCACGGGCTGGCAGGATGGCGCTGGCTGTTTGTGATCAACGCAATCATCACGGTAATCTGGGGATTCGCAGGATTCTTCATGCTTCCCGATCTCCCGAACAAACCTAACCCGCGCGCGTTCTGGTTCAAGAAGGTCCACGGCGAGCTTTCACTAGAACGACTCGCGCGCAACGGCCGTGCCGAGCCAAAGAAGATGACCTGGGCTGGCGTGAAGCGCACGTTCTCGGGATGGGTTGTGTACTTTATTGCGGTTTTGTATATCGCGACGGTTCTTGGAACATACGGATATGTTTATTTCGGGCTGTTCCTGAAGTCGCTCAAGAACCCGGATGGGAGCCCGAGATGGACTATCTCACAGGTCAACGCTATCCCTATTGGTGGATCTGCAATCAACGTCGTGTTTGTGTGGATCTGGGCCCTGTTATCTGATTACTTTGAAACGCGTTGGACACTTATCGTTATTCAAG